TGCCATCAATGTTGGTCAATTGGTTGCTCTGGTAACAGAAATAATTTGTTAAAAAGTGCACATTAAGGGGGTACTATGAAAGCCATGTATAATTCCTAGAATATTCAATCAATCATCTTGATATTTACGGGTAATCATCCGTGCCTCAATGTTGCCTCAAGTGCCTCAATGTTGGTAATTTGGTTGCTATGGTAACAGAAATCATTTGTTAAAAGAGTACACATTTTCGTAAAAATCTAAGATTCATGTAACCTTTGACATTAAGCACATAATATGTTCATCATTTTGGGAGAAATAAGCATGGAAACATTTCATAAAACTTATCACATCTCATCAATCACAACAGTGGACGCTTTATTGCCATCACTGGTCATCAACGTGTTACGCGGTAAACACGATACAAAAATATGTCATATTCCGCAACGAATATGGCATATTCACTTGCGGTGTATGACAGATTCACCTGCGGTATATGGCATACACACTAACCAATGAGAACGTGATACGGAAGTGCGTAATTGTCAATTGCATCGGTTAGTAAAACGTTATAAATTATTATTTTATGAAGTATCAGTCACCAATCTCGCGTAATAAACTTACTCAATCAATCCAGGATTCATATATTAGTACTCGACGCACTAACTATATTGGTAATCCAGCGTAGTTTTACATTTAGAGTCGATTCTCGCAACCAATCAAATTAAGGCTTTCTGTATCACGTTTTCACCTGCAGTATATGTCATATTCACCTGTGGTGTATGGCATATTCCGCAAGTGAGTATGACATATTCCGCAAGTGAGTATCGGGTATTCACTGAAATCAATGTATCGCATATTCACTGCGGAATATCGCATACTCACCTTCGGAATATGCCATATACCGCAGGTGAGTGTGGCATATTCACCCGTATCACGAATACCGCGCAACCATGAATGTATGCCATATACCTCGTAACACAACGGACAGGTTTTACACTCAGAGTAATACATGCTGTTGTTCTCAACTTTTTTATGTCTGATGGTTTTTTTCAACTGTTCATTGTTTTTAGAATTCATTAAGAAGCATTTCCAGTATTTTTAATTGGGTGTAATAGTTGTATATATCTCTTAGTTTGTTTATTACAAGTGATGTGGTAACTTGTTGATGGCAAAATAGAGCCAAATTGGCCAGACCAACCGATTCCACCTAATGATCTCATAGACATATAGTCACATAGATTGCAACGGATGCTTTGACAGAAGTAGACGTTGAAAGATCTATGAATGAGGATTTTGATGCAAATGATATAAAAGATGACTAAGTGAGATCAGCTCATAATTTACTATGTCCCTACGCATAATGTGACAGCCGCATTCTGCATAGTTTTATTATCATAAGCAAATACAATATATCAAATGGCCCAGATGAAATATCCATTGATTAAATATTATCAGACATACTCAAAATAGGTTTTTAAAAATGTTTTCATGCTAATTCCTCCCAATTTGATGAAGATTTTCAATGTCTTAAAATTTTACGAAATGTGTACTTTTTTAACAAATAGATTTCTACCCACATTTGACCCACATTGACGAAACTTGTCATCATGGTAGGACATGCTAAGTAGTAGATTGTCTGTAAATATCATAATGATTGTTTTGATATTTAGGGAATTACAAATGGCTTTCATAGTACGCCCTAATGTGTACTTTTTAACAAATGATTTCTGTTACCATAGCAACCATTTGCCCCGCATTTATGAACTTTGTCATAATGGAAGAACATGGTGAGTAGATAACTACCTGCCAATAACAAGATGATTGGTTAGATATTCTAGGAATTATATATGGCTTTCATAGTACCTCCCTTAATGTGTACTTTCAAAAAAATGATTTATGTTTCCATAGCAACCAATTGATACACATTGATGAAAATTGTCATGGTTGTAAGACATGATATGTAGACGATTACCTGTAAATATCAAGATGATTGGCTGTATATTCTAGGAATTATAGATGACTTTCATTGTACCCCCATTAAAAATCATACCAATGGGGTATAAATCTGCATAGTATAGTAACCAGTAAACCAACACTGCTGAAACTTTCCATGATAGTCAAACATAATGATGTGAATAATATCTGTAAATAACAGGACAATTGGTTATTTATTTTCTTCAAAAATTTGGACACAAGTTAAGAATTCTTTGGAAAAGTGCCACGTCCCCTTTCTAAATTAATTTGCATTGCCATATAATCATCAGCAATAGATTTCACTGTGTGGATAGGATAAAACAGCACTTGATTTAATATTATCAAACATACTCTGAATAAGTTTTCTAAAATGTTTTTATAGTGTTTCTTTCCAATTTCATTAAAATAATATGTGTTTTGTCTCATATTTTGACGAAATTGTGTACTTTTTGACATATGATCTCCGTTTCCATAGCAACCAGTTGACTAACTTTGATGAAACTTATTACTTTTGTAGGACATGATAAGTACATGATTACCTGTAAATATCAAAATGATTGGTTGTAAATTCTAGGAATTTTACATGGCCTTCCTAGTACCCCCCTCAAAATCAAACAAGGGGGGTATAAATCTGAATATTTCCAAAACGCTGAAAAACTAGACACCAGTATTTTCAGAATCAATGTAGAATCATAAACCACAAATTACCTACATAAAGAGAAATTTGCTACTTTTCAAAACCACTTTTACACCACGCTCATCCAGTATATACACAGTGGCCATTTTGCTATTTAATTTGCGATATTCAGCACTGCGTATCTTGTTGGGCATTTGATAAAAATCGATTCACTTTCTTAACTATAATATAGCATTTTTCAAAACCTAATAGATAGAATAGAGTTTTATCTGCTAATAAACAAGACACACAAAAAAGAACGGCCCTTTTTGTCGAAAAAATGAAATGGCCCCCAACCCATCCTTTGGCCGAAAAGTTATTCATTGCATTACATTATACAGGGTGTCCCGAAAGTATGCCCCTCCCCCCCCCCTAGGTAGACATACACCAATGTTCCCATAGTATGTGTCGTATATCATTTTAAAGCCCATCCAAAGTTACATTGATTTGCCAAGTATCATCGTTCAACTTACAAATGGGAAAAAGTTACAGGCATTTCAAAACTTAGTGTTTGGCCAAAATTAAAGTTGAAATCAGTATCCTGGAAACACCGCTAACCTGAATGTGACCAAAAATATGGGTGCTATCGTTAAAGAGAGGGTGGATATTGAGTTGTAAAAAGAGGTCGGTAAGGGCAGATACTCCAAGGAAACTCTTCTAAAATGCCTTAAAAAGCTTTTATGCTGTTAACATGGCCAAAGGAGACGCGGCGACTATTAATTTTGTGTAAAACTAAACTTTAATTTTAGTAAAACACTACATTTTGAAATGTGTGTAACTTCTTCCCGTTTGTAAGTTGAACCATGATACTTGGCAAATCAATGTAACTTTGGACAAGCTTTAAAATGATATATGATACATACAAGTACTATGGGGACATTGGTGTATGTCTGCCTAGGGGGGGGCATACTTTCGGGACACCCTGTACATTACATGACTGAGCTACTATGAAAGTAGCGAAGGACCGTAGTTCCCATGTCCCATGCCAGCATACGCAAAACTCGATTAGATCTTGGAACTAGTGTGATCACCGTGGTGACAATATATAAATTTAGTACTATTAGCGATATTTCATCACTTATTATCACTGGTAATTTAAACTTGAAATGGATAAATATTATATGCAGATTATTGGAATTTTCTTAACGAAACAATATTCGTTTGTAATATACCGTATTATGACAAATGTAAATAGCGTGATAATTATTGTGCTCGATTGTTCTAAACAATCGTTAAAATCAAACACTGAACTTTAATTGTTTTCACGTCTATTGTTCACGGGGCATCTATGATTTCGAACGATCAACTGTGATATAACCTGTATTCACCCCTGATCGGCTGGCACACTGTCTGGGAGGTGTGGTTTAAGTAAAATCATGATAGAAACCCGGGGATAGAAACAACATGTTCAAAATAAATGCGATAGACTTAGTTTATGTTTTATGTTAGTCTCGGGTTTAGAATAGCAAGAAAATGTAAGGGAAAACATTATTTGATGTGAATGATATATGTTATTAGTTATTGAGTGATTTGAAGTGCAATGCAAAATATATTCTGCTCGAGAAATTCTGTATTGGAACGAGACGAAGTCGAGTGCCAATACAGAATATCAAGACAGAATATATCCTGTATTGCACTTCAAATCATTCAATAACGTTTTTATCGTGTGATCTTAGGCCAATACATTTTACTAAGGAAATAATCTCCAAGAAATATTCTGTATACTCTGTATTGTTACTGAGATTGTCCCCTCCGTACCAATATTTTCTGTATTGCTACTGAGATGAACAATGGGGACAATTCAATAGCAAAACAGATTGGCGCAGCACAAGAACAGACCAATCAGAGGGCTTCATTTTACAGATCATACGATAATACTATACTTACCGGTGAATAACACCCGGGAATGTATTTTTATCTGAAAAAATCGTATTTTCCCGCCGGTTGTCCCGCCCAATCCCGCCCACGAAAATCGTGTTCTCCTCTCAATCCTGCTCACAAAAGAGGTATTCACCTCTCGGGGAGAATTTTTCCCAAACAAAGCTACCTATTACGTTCGGTTGGGTCGATATAGCGTGCTTTAATGATGTTCTTGTGTGAGAAAGGATATTTTCCAATAAAATTGAAAATATAGATTTTGAAACGAAAGAAGTATGAAGATTATAAGCTGAACATACAGGGCAAATTGTAATTTCATCATCATACCAATAACGTCATAGAAATCTAAGCAGTATGCCAATGCCCAGTGATGGTCAGGGTATACAAGTCGATATACAACAACTTTAGTACATCAAAATTACATAAAATCAAGTCATATTTTGTAGACTAAATGTATAGTCTTGTTTTGTTTCGTACAAAAATCAGATATAAAATTTCAACTCATGATTTTATGAAGAGAGTCATGAATATCATGGGACAAAGAGTTTATTTACTGGTCGGGATTAAATATGGGTATATGACAATATAATATTTCCCTCTGGCCCTCTGGGCCCTCGGGGAAATATCATATTGTCACTCGGAATTAAACTCACCAAGTAAATAACCTTTATATGTGTATGACTTTTACTTATTTGGATCTTGTTGATTATTAGTTGGATTTTGATTTGCAGACGAAAAACTTTTTTTAATTCAAATACTAGTAGTATACAAAACTTAAAGTACAGAAAGTAATACGGTGATCGCGTAATTATTTGCAAGGAAATCCTATTCCAAATTTGATGCAAGGGTTTCCTTGGAATATATATTGAATTATGAATATTTGATGGAAAATCATTCTCCGACACGATGCCAATAGTCATGACAAAAGAATAAACGTCGTGGTATCAACGTCAATAAATTGCGATAGTGTGACAGACAAAATCAAAAGTTCATTTTGAAACAGCAAATATAAAGTCACAATGGATTAATAGGATATAAGAAATATGAGATATAATGGGTAAATAAATAAATATGTGTAAGTATGTACAAACAAATCTAAAAACAATTCTGGTAATTTTAAATATATACCATACGATTATGTAATAAAACTCGTGTTTCACATGATTTGAATATAAAAAACACAAAATGAGTACAAAGTTATTGCCAGTTTCCAACGCAACAGATCTTCGGGAGATATCACTACCCAATATAACCATAGAAACCACCGGATCTAGAACATCTACACCATTGACAGAATTCCCAAGATCGGATACATCTCTAACGACAGTCACTCAACTCCATAGCAACCTCAACACTCCTAATACCCTGCCTTACACAAGACAAAATACCATGACAACCATGGATGAAGATACAGTATCTATGGAGTTAACTGGTTGCTATAGTAATTCAGAAAGTGACTCAGATGAAGTTGACGATGATGTTGGTATTGAAAGTGATGAGACTGATCTTGATGTATCGGAGACAATCCAAGCTTGGAGGATTCCATCATTATCAAGTGAGTTCGCTCGGGCATTTTTCCAAATTTCAAGGGCCTTTTGACATGTTTGACATCCCCGGATTCAGTCCTAGAAAACACTTTAAAATGGACCGTTTTGGACACTTTTGGTTCATAAGTTTTAGACACTTTAGTTTTGGTCTAAAAGTTTTGGACACTTTTGGTCAAAAAGTTTTGGAGCAAATAGGGCGCCCAAAATCGTGATAGTAATATCTGAAAAATTAAATGAGATATAGCAGAAATGTCCAAATTCATTCGAATTCAAAAAGAGTGCATTGACATTCCCAAGATTATTGCAGATTAACCTTAGAATCAGAGAATGTTTATGAAAATAATTCAGATTCACATTTCAATATTGATATTTTCATCTTTAACTAGAACATATTTTAGAGTCCCGGCAAGAGATGAAAACGGACTGTTTGATAGGGGAGAAGAGATACAAGTTTGGCTGTAGCCATCTCAATGAGGTACCTCAGACGACTGTTCTTGATCAACTGGCGAATTCTGAACTTAATCTGCCTCACAGATATCTCAATGGAAAATCTCTTCATCCATTGACATTCGCCTTGAAGGTGAGTGCCCCCAGTGCCCCACTTACGTTTGAGTGACGACCGGTGGGAGGTCTTATCAAATTATGGTCCTACTCTCCATTGATTTATATGGTGACCTCTTTCCCTTATTATCATATACACAATTAGGGCCAATAAGGGGCGTTAAGACGGGGACCACAATCCCCGGGGGACCATAATTTCTTTCACAAAGGGAGTGACGATAAGTACATGTAAATTGCGCTGTGTATATCTCCCATTTGCCCCTGCTTTAAAAGGTACATCTTTCACCCAATTATTTACTGGAAGGGACGTTTTGAGGTACTTCTTTGCTTTTTAAAGCCTGCCTCCATTTTTAGTATTTATACAAGTATGTAACATTTCATTTTAGGAAAACCGTAATGTGGCTAAGCTTAACTTAAAGAACAACAGATTAGGAGGGGATGGAGCAAAGCACATTCTCAACCTACTGAAAGCCAATGACTTTATAACTGAACTGGTGAGTTAGGATGATAGACACAGTAAGACGCCTATAACTTAATTATCTATTTAGCAGGGATTTTATTTGAAAAAATCGTCACTGTGACCAAATTGCACTTGCCGAAATAAAATATTACGCACCAATTCAAAACATTATCTTTTTCCTGTAACTTTTATATTTTAGAATTTCAAAATGTCATATTTTGTTGACTTCCAAGAGAAATATCTGAAAATTCAAAAGTTGGGCTTAGAACTTACATGTATCTGAAAAATATATATATGTAAGCTCTCCCACGTTTATTGATTTTCAATCCTAAAAGCTACATGTACAGAGTGGTAAAAAAATGGGACAATCATATTTCAAAAATAAGTATTGATTTCATTTATGTAAATATGCCATATTATATACGATTGGATAGGGAATTTACTTATCTTTAATTTGGTATATCATAAGTTCAAATATATTATATTATAATGTCTGTCAACCAGGATCCATAATATAAATTACGTCATTTTCGTTTCAAAACGGGTTTTTGCAAAACTTGCAACAACCCTGTACATCCCTGAGTAGAAGTAGTTCTCTATAATTTTTATCATAAAAGTAAACAAACATAATACTAAGTGGAAGTGAACGTAACATTGCAAAATATATTTTATAACATAAACTTATTACAACAACGACACGCAGAGAATTGTTACAAATGAATGTACTCTGATGCGAGTGTCAGAGGTCTTCATTTTGAGATCATTAAAACAATCAATGCCCAACATAAATAATACATTTGATATAATAGGGAAATAATAACAGTTTTTGAGCCTTTGTTGAGTCAAACAATTATTTATTGGAAAGGAATTGATTTGGTTTTTATAAGTCATTATGTATTCTATGTCATGGTATCTCAATTGATTATATATAGCAGTGCAATTTTTAAACAAGTTCAAAATGTATCCTCAGAACATGAATGGCAATTCGTGATATTGCAGTCAATCAATGAACATGTCTCTTAAAGTGGCAATGTATCTGGGAATGGGTTAAATGACAATTGATTGAAGAATGCTGATTTTTAAAAAAAATATAATTGAAAGGCAAATCAACACTTTAAGGGGGATGGGGTTAAATCATAATGGAATTAACCCCATTTTTTCAATTTAGGACACCACCCCTTAGATGTTATATGGTTTTGTAAAAATGAACCTGATAACTTGTAAATACTTGTTGGAGGTTCAACATTTAATACATTTAATTTCATATAGAATATGTAGGGTTGGTTATAATTTATTACACTTTAAGTTCAAAAAATAAAATTGATTCTTATGTAGCATTGCACTTTACAATTCATTATTCTGAATAAAAATTGTACATGTTTTAAGTATGGAAATATGGAAAAATATTTGTAAGAAAATATGGTATAAAAGATAGGGCCATTGAGCAGTTGAGATTTATGAGATATTGTCCCGTACAATTTGGCAAATTTTTCTGTGAGATGTCCAGTCAGCTTTTTGACATTTTTTGTCGCAATACGCTTCTCCACATTTAGCACATCGTTTCTTGGCACCAGGCTTACTACAATTGCTACATACTCTGACAGTTGGTACATCTTGCATCTCATATTCATCTAGCTCTGCAAGGAGAAAGCAAAAGTTATAAAAAATGTTTTTTTGCAGTATTTTATTGTATATTTGTATTGCATTACATTGAATTGTATTGTATTTATTGTTTCGTATTAATTGTATTTTAGTTATTGTTTTGTATTATATTGTATTGTATAGTTTTGTATTGTATTTATTGTTTTGTATATTGTACTGTATTGTCTCTTTATTTCCTTCTTTATAAGAAGATTTACAAATCACAAAAATAGGATGGCAATATGACAAACATTAGATTTGCTTTTTAGCGCAGTTTAATTAAGTTATCCAATATAAAGTGTCTCTTAGTGAAATAAAATTAATTTATTGAGACAGTACATTGCTTTGAAGAGAATGTCTATATGTAGCAAACCTCTTGCACATGAAAGAATTAACTCAACTGATTCAATAAATTGATTGTCACCTAAATGGAATTTGACCCTGCTGCCAAGTTTCGTTTCTAATACAGTATTTTCATCCATGTGAAGCAGACACAATTCTCTAGGGACAGAGATTAAAGTCACGTTTAAAGTATTAATTTCTCTCATTTATAAACCAAACATGTCATGGAATGTGTGATAATCGAGAATCAGGAAATACTTTATATTTTGGTGGCGTAGTTAGAGACATGGGGTTGCTAATTCCCACAATTGCAGTGTTGTCTGTTCAATTTACCATAAAACTGAAGGTTCAATTGACAATTTTACTGTATTGGAAAATAATGAAAATGTGTCTTCTGTATTTACTCTGGCACGCTACTTAGTCTCTTCAATGAATTTTATTTGATTATTACAGATAAAATTGCTCTCACCATAAGCTAGCCAGATTTGAGAAAATTATGAATAGCTATCAATCAAAAAATTTAGAAATCAAAGCTCAACAATCCCAAATTTTCAGAGTAAAAAAATATAGATGAAAAACTTTATGTATTTTTGGCTTTTGAAGGCATGCAAAAAGTTGATATTTTTCTGAAACATAGTTCTTACTTAACAGGGACTAAACAATAAAATAAATAGAAATAAAAATAGTTTCCACAAACAGTTAATGTACTATTACTTTGCTACATCAATCAGGGTTTTCATTTATATAAGACTTGATCTCTAGTAAGATCAAGGGAAAGATCAATACCCGGTGATTTCAGCGGGAAGTGGCGTTTCGTTCAGTGGATGAGCTGCGCGCGCACGCATAAATGTGATTATCCAATATAATTAGGGGAGGGATATTTGAAACAGTTTTTGGTCTCAGGCGCGACCCAGGGCTGTTGTCTTAAGGACATTTCGTTGAAAATAAGCCATTCGGCTAATAATTGGTAAGAGTTTGCGATCTTATAATGTATAACTGTTACTCAGACACATATTTTGACACGATTCTGGTTGAAATAAGCTTTGAACCGAGAGATATTCACGATTGATCACATTTTTGATTGTGCCATTGCTTTTCCATTGCTCAATCCATGTATTGATAGAAGTAACATTAATAATGCAGATTGGTTTACTTTCAATACATGGCAGACACTACATATCGGTCTATTAAATACCAGTTTGTGCCTTAAATAGTTTTATATTTCCATCCACGGCCTGGAGCCTGGGTGTGTTTGTCTCTTGTGTTTGTGCTTGTGCATGGACTTCTAATCACTAGCAGAATTTAACATGATGCAAACTCGACATTATAACTCATGCTGTAACATTTTGACTTTGCTGGAAAACAATAGGAATTATTTTTCTTGCCAATCAATCATGAATCACAATCAAAATTCCACTATGATCAATCAGGCAATGGTCCAAATCAAGTTATAACATTATATGATATTCAGCAAGAAGTCCGGTAGAAATACAGAATATTTAAACATCAAAGCTGAAAGTTAAAAGCTAATCTGTCAATTTTCTGTCTGCAAAAGAGCGTTTACATTTGACACAATAACAGACTGAGTCTTTGAAATCTAGGATTCCCCAGGAAAATATGACGTCATACTAATTAGCATAAGGATTTCCCTATTGGTATGGGTCGAGCCTTGTTCGAAAACACAATCCATAAATACATGCTAATTTCTAAGGAGATAGGAAGTGTATAACGTGTTTATCGATTTTGTTCAAAGATTTAATCAATTATCAAATTGTTTAAGTGGATAAAGTGGTAACACTTGCTTCAATTCATAGCGTAATCGACGGATAGAAACTGACCGAATTCCCGATATCCTACCCCGTATTACTGTAGGCTATAAGCACAGTGACCTACAGAGGGCGCTATCACAAACAAGTACTGCACGAACCGATAAATTCCCGGGTATTGTAACGCCCTTGGTAAGATCTTACAGACTGGTCATTTAATATTGATTCATGAATACTCTAAATTAATATACTTTTATTGACTCTTACACTTTTCATCCAGTTATTCCCGGAGTTATCATTTTCATAGGTCATTGGAGAATTTCCCGATTTAGTAAAGTGATTTATGACATTACAAATATGTTTTTATGGCTGTGATTCCAAATAGCTCATCAACAAATATCTTAGTTTTTTTGAAAAGAACTACAGTGAAACCTGTGTAAGTGGAACACCTCCATAAGTAGAACACTATTCAAAGTTCAATAATTCAATGTAAAATTAATCTGTTTTAGTGGAACACTATTTCAAGGAATGGGTGTTCCATTAATACAGGTGTTACTGTACCATATTTATTTTTTCCTTATTGGGGCTTGTGTAACCTTCAACCTGCTTTCTCATTTTAAGTCTAACCATAGATCTTGCCCAGAGAACGCTCAAAGAACTTGTACCCCCCCCCCCGCCATTTTTCCTTACCGTACATCTGACCTCCAGAAACCTCCATGAACTTATCAAAGCCTCCTTTCATCTCTAGTTCCTTTTCGGTTAATTTGCCATAAATGTCAAAGCCAAATTTGTTGAGGATTTTCAAATGATTCCTCATGGTTGTTACGCCATCCTTTCCTTTCTCCTCAGGATGTTTATCCAACCATGCACACATTGTGTCCCATTTGCTGTCAGTCTCATGCTGCTTATCAGCCCCACTAAGCTGTAAAACAGAACATGAAATTAAAACTCTTACCATGGATTTCTAATCAATGGATTGCAATGATTGCAAAGTCCATGGTCTTACTATCTCTGTGCCCTTTTCAGCTACTGGACTCTGCAATGTAATCTTTGAATTCATTGGAGGTAGTTCATTCAAGATTGCCCTGAGCAAAACAACACGATGGCCCATGGTGAAAGTTAAATGTTTGTCATCTACACCATTTATTTTCCATAAATTAATGTGGAAAGATGTGCTTATCATTTATATATATACCCTACTCAGTTACTCACTGGTAGTTACAAATAACCTTAGTCAACCTCAGTAAAATTCATGCCATACTTGTTCTATTTTAGTCAAGATATTTAGCAGATGTTGACAACTCTGTGATTCCTGCTTTCCTTCAGCCATTTTTCTCAAAATACAAAATACAACAGCTACAAGTCAGTTGTTGATGACAAAATACAATGTGATGACAAACATGTAATTGTGATGTAATACATCAACAGAGCATAATTTTATTATGATGTAGTGTCATTCCATTATTGAAAGAGTGTCAAGTAAAATAAAAATGTTTCTGTGGAATATTTATGTGGCAATTGCCTTTCCTGACTAATGTCATTGTTGCTTTTATCCCATGGGCCACCTTAATATATGACAGCAAAAATGATACCAACTTAATCAATTCAGCTTGAGTTCAAATCAAAGACATCTGATTCACTTACTTGGGCTAGTAGGTTGGTCATCTTCATGAAATCAGTGGTGGCCGCCTTATGTCCAAATTGTCGAGCCTTTTCAAAGTGCTGCTGGGCCTTCTTACGGTTCATACATGTGCCCTCTCCTAGAAGAAATGTCACATGTACTACATACACAAACATATGTATGTCAGTAGCATAGTCTCTTAAATCAGATGATAAATAATCGAGGCAAAAGGCTAATAAAGGTATATAACTACCTTTACCAGTTTGTTTCTTCCATTTTAGTTGAAAAAGTCTAAAAATACATAGAAATTGTGGGGCAGATGCCCACCTGTCTCACCTCTGTCTACGTCCATATATGTACTGATAAGGCTCGTGAAGCCAAAGTATCACCATACAATTTCTCTTAAATACCTCACTCAAATAGCCAAACTTTGGGGTTCTTGTCCCCCTACTCACCTTGCAAATACATAGTTCCTAACATCCAATATGGATCACCATTTCTGATCTTATCTGTTCGATAGTCTTTCAATGATTTCTTCACAAGTGAAAATGCCTTGAATGGATCTTGCTTGACTACTCCACCTTTACCAGTCTGGTAGAAGTGGGCAAGGTTGTAGAGAGAAAGGCCAACCCCCTTTTCTGCGCTCTTTTCAAAAAGTTCAAATGCTTTTCTAAAGTTTTTCTTGTAGCCTTTGCGAGAACCTAAAAATAATGAATATTGTTATTGATTAGTTGGCAGGGATCTCCACAGGATTTTTTCTCAAGTGGGTGCAAAATTCTCATTTTCATAATTCAGACCAAAATTGGTCAAAATATGATAATTTTTTCATGATTTTTCTCATTTTCAAGTGGATTCAAATGGATTTTCAGGTGTGTGCAAGACTATTTTCAAAATCTCAGGCGGTTGCTGCGCCAACTTGTTTTAATGCTGGGGAGTTCACTGGTTGGTACTGTTTATAGGTCTTGGTTATTTGTTTTCTAGCCTGAGTGTTTTCACATGATAAAGTAACTGCTTGTGCAACCTTATACAGACCATTCTTTTTCATTTTCTATGGCAAGAACACTAGAACTTGGATTGTTAACATTGACATCTTTTTAACAATTAAGTTAAAATAAAGTTAACTACTGAAGAAACACTTCGAAAAAATTGAAAAAATTGTTCACATTGACTTTGGATCTAATTCTCTCTCACCTTCTAAAAACCAGAGTGCATAATTAGCTTGAGCTAGTGGGTGTCCAGCCTTGCACGCTTTCTCATAGAGGTCACTGGCCTTTTGATAGTTCTTCTTTTCATATTCCATATCTTGTGCAGCAAGGAAATCTTTAAAGCCTGGTTGATCAGGGAAGAGGTCTTCATCCTGCAGTCCAGGTTTGATGTTAAGCAGCTTCAGCATGTTTAGCAGCAGCTCACCCATGATTTTGATTGTGTTATATCACCTGAGTAGAAATTGAGAGATCAATTGTCATAACCAGTCTATAGCATAGGATATCACAAAAACAAGTGGCATCTCTTCACATGATAAATTGATAATAAAGTAAACTGCTAATCAAGGGGCATCTCGTCACATGATAAATTGATAACAGAGCAAACTGCTAATCAAGGGGCATCTCATCACATGATAAATTGATAATAGAGTAAACTGCTAATCAAGGAGTATCTCGTCACATGATAAATTGATAATAGAGCAAACTGCTAATCAAGGGGCATCTCGTCACATGATAAATTGATAACATAGTAAACCGCTAATCAAGGGGCATCTCGTCACATGATAAATTGATAATAGAGTAAACTGCTAATCAAGGGGCATCTCGTCACAATATAAATTGATAACAGAGCAAACTGCTAATCAAGGGGCATCTCGTCACATGATAAATTGATAATAGAGTAAACTGCTAATCAAGGAGTATCTCGTCACATGATAAATTGATAATAGAGTAAACTGCTAATCAAGGGGCATCTCGCTCGTCACATGATAAATTGATAACAGAGTAAACCGCTAATCAAGGGGCATCTCGTCACATGATAAATTGAAAACAGAGCAAACTGCTAATCAAACCACTATGTTTTGAAAATGGTGATAGAAAGTTTATGGTCCAAACTGTACAGTACATTGCCACTAACCCCCCCCCCCCCCTTCCCCTCCCTGTGTCCATACTTATGATATTTTGACCATAGTGATGAAGGTGAAACATGTCCCACACTTGAATATACAAACTTGAATATGTTGCACAAATGATTCATCCTTACATTAAATACAAACCTATTACAGTACAGTGGTTTCGTAAATAATGAAAATATGAAGTCAGAAAAAATACTTAACTTTTAAAAGATTTGCCGCGAAACTCTGCTGGATTACGCTAATTGTGTTGTGGTAAAGTGATTGTGCCCCGGGGATTGTGCTTTCCTGTACATGTAGCTTGTAGATTGTGTTTTTTGTAGCTGTTCCAAAGGACTTAATCAAGATGATTTTTTAAGAAGTCTTGGAACTAGCATTGGGTTTCAATCTAGTTGAAAGCCCATGGAACTAAATAAGCCAAAACCATTGATGTGTTGTTCTGAATCATGTGAATCAAAATCCATTTATTTCAATCATCTCCAGGATATATCCAACAATGCTATCCACCTAAACAGAGGAGCTAAAGCCATCAGTGCTATGATGACAGATAACATTGGCCTAGCAACTCTCAACCTTTCAGGCAAGTACTATACCTACAGGGTGATACCAAAACTGGTTACCAAAATGTACAAACATACAGAGTGACCCCAAAAATTAAAACCTCTAATCTTGGAATATCTATTCTCATACATTGTACATATTCTGGCATGTATCCAAATGTGTTTTATTTTATACATGTATTATAGAATAATAACAATTTATACTGGTTCTTGTATACAATATTGTTTTATGTATTGTGAACAATCATCATGTTTATTTACAGGCAATGATTTTGATGACCATGATGCTGTGTTCCTGGCTTCGGGTATTAAGGTATAACTGGATTGTTATCATATCATCTATTTTTTTCAATCTATGATATAATCAATAATCATACACTATCTGTGTTGACTTTTGAGAGATAAGATACAAATCCCTTCCACAAAACAGATATTGAAAGACAAGAGAGAAATATTTGGTAAAACAAGAAATAATGAGCCCCCTAATATCCCCCCCCCCCCTTAAAAAAAGGTAAAACTCACCGGTAATCAATATCCTTCTTCCAGTTCAATAAATTCATTAGTAACCTGGATCTGAGCCACAATGACATTGGAGAGATAGGAGCTGGTTACTTGGCTAAGGCTTTGGAAGAGAACACAGGAATACAGACACTCTCCCTGGCATGGAACAAGATACGCAAATCTGGTGCTGTCTCCATTGCGAAATCCCTCAAGGTAATGCTACTGTTTTTCATTTGATTGGATTCCATCAATCAGTAATATGTAACAGGCATGAGTGTTATTGGAGTAGCTTTGTAAATATGTGTCATTGTATATGAGTGTCATTGCAGAGAAGTGTCATTGTATGTCGGTTTTATTTTATATGAATGTCACTGTACAGGACAAATACTATACAGTCAGGAGTGTCATTGTAAAAGAGGGTTATTGTACACAAATGCCATTGAATAGAACTAATATTGTACAGAAGTGTCATTGTACAAGAGGGTAATTCTACACAATTGTCATTGTATGGGATTAATATTGTACAAGATTGTCATTGTATAATAGTGTTATTGTACACAAATGTCATTCTATGGGATTAATATTGTACAGAAATGTCATTGTACAAGAGGGTAATTCTAAACAATTGTCATTGTATGGGACTAATATTGTGCAAGATTGCCATTGTACAAGAGTGTTATTGTACACAAATGTCATTGTACAGGACTGATATTGTACATGAGTGTCATTCTACAGGAGTGTTGCAGCACACAAATGTCATTTTACAAGAACTTAATTTTACACAAATGTCATTGTACAAGCATGAGTGTTTTCGTACACAAACGTCATTGTACAGGAGTGTTGCTGTACACAAATGGGTTTTTTTCAAAAAAAAGAACGTAATTTTACACAAATGTCATTGTACAAGAGCAGTATTGTACACAAATGTCATTGCTCAGAACATTGTACACAAATGGCATTTTACAAGAGTGTAATTGTACACAAATGTCATTGTACATTACTAATATTGAACAGGAGTCTCATGGTACAAGTGTTATTGTACACAAATGTCATTGCACAGAACATTGTACACAAATATCATTGTACTTTTAGGTGAATCATACAATTGAGAACCTTGATCTGTCATGGAATGGTGTGGGTTACGAAGGATCCTTAGCACTGAGTCACACTCTAGGGAAGAACATCATCCTAAAGTCACTTAACTTGGAGTCCAATAGGATTAACTGGGATTGTGCTCTCATGTTATCCAAGGCACTGAAACAGAATACAGCTCTTGAGGTCCTTAAGGTAAGCAATTGTGATTTAACTGCCAATTGTTACTACCATGGCTTCTGTGATACTTCCACCATACCACCACTAATGATTTAACACCATGGTCCCTTATTTCAGCTGTCTTTTTTCTTTGTTCTTACCCAAAATTCTCTCAAAAAATGTTGATGATAACAATATTTTGGTAACATAAAAAATTATAAAAGGCAAAATAGTTGAGTTACCTTTGCTTTCCAGATAGGAGACAATCCTTTAACAACAACAGGGTGTATGGACCTAATTGAAGCTGTAGGCCATGCAGACAGTGCTGTGAAACTTCTAGACCTTGGCGTATGTACATGACCGATTACCAAATTTCTCCAGAACTTCTTTCAATTTAATATCTAATATCAAAGTAAACCTACATCTTAGAAGTTCAAAACATAAAGAACTGCAGTGAGTGAAAATGTCTCCATTGGTCTATACACTGACATTATGTATTTCCCTCATTACTTTATACTCAATTGGGGCTAGTTGCGGAGTAATACAATTTGGCATAGTAAATATCATCATATTGTGAATTCAATGTAGATACTAGATTTCTCCAAGAAAAGAGACAAGTTGGCAAGGTTTCAAAGAAATTGTTCCAATTTTACAATAATTTTTGCTCTCATTACATATACATATGTCATGTCTATTTTCCAAAAATTCCATCATTTCCTCTTTTATTTTGTTTCAAAAAGCCAGCTTTTGGGATGCCCCTTTTCCAATTCTACTGAATTCCTGTGTCTTAAATCTTCAATAACTGATTTTGAGGAAATAAAGTAGAAATTGTAGAAAATACTTCCAATAACCCTCTATTCCTTCTAATTCATTTAATAACATTTCTTTACCTTTCAGAAAACACCAATAATCTTGGAATGTCATTTCATAGCCTCTGCTATACAAAGTGATAGAGAGTTCCAGTGTATTCATGGAGCAATTGTACCTTCCCATGACAAACTGGGCTTTCGTAAAGGTATGAAATAATGTAACATACACACATGAATAATGACCTCTTTTTTCCTTGGTTGGACATTAACAAAGATCTGCCCCTTCTCCCTAAGGTAAGCCGAAGGAATTGATGACCTAATGGAAAACAATTTATTCTTAAGAATAACTGTTTTGGTTTAATGATTTTTAATCCTTGTAAAAAAAATTTTAGCTGCTGAAATGGACCCCTTGAAGAAAATGCTGTACTATGTAAAGGACAAAGAACTGCGTCTGGTTGAACTTTTTCGGGACTTTGATAAAGGGGTTGAGATGAAAGTAACGAATGAAACATTTGTTACAAGACTACAGGTAATTTTTGGGAATTTAATCATAATAAGTAAAACAAATATTAAATTCTGGGATGAGCATCATTCTTTTTACTTTTTTGCCAGATAAACATGTGCAGTATCTGTAATGTATGAACCCCCCTGAAAAAATAACAATGTTTGTCATGTCTTTTTTTTACATTTTCTCTCTTAAATCTGAATCAACTGCTTGATTTTCGAGCATTTCTTTACAATTTTAAATGTTAGATACATGTTGACTTCATTCCTTGCTAATTCCATTGTTTTCCACTCTATTTTGCATTTAAAAACATGACCATCACATTTCTTTAATTACAATTTTAAATGTTAGCTACATGTCTGTTAACTTTATTCCTTGTCCATTTCCCACTCTGTTTTTCATTTCAAAACATGATCATATTTAGTTATAATGTTGCCTTCTTTATTTACAGAATGCTGGGTTAAAGATACCAAAATGGGAACTCCATGAAATGATTGAAGCTGTTAATAAAGAGGATGGTAGAAAATCACGCCAGGGTGATCCCATCACATATAAGTAAGATATAATCAAATATAAACGAGACATTAACATGGAAAATGTCACCACCCGCCATTTGTTACAGACACCTAACGCCAGACGCTGGTCAGCAACTGCCGTATCAAAAAATGAAGACCATAACAATATGTCACCACTTTTGGCAGTGACAAAAAAGTAGAACTGTATATTTCTTTAAATGTTCAAATTGTAAAGCTTTACCACTAAAAGTCATTTTTCCTGCTTCTTGACCTCAATTTATAAAACTTTTTTTTTATCAATTTACAGAAAACTGGTACAACGAGTCCAAGAATTTACTGATGAAGAACGTGAAAAAGAAAAAATAAAGCGCAAGAAAGAAGAAAGAATGCGTCAGTATCACACTAGAATTCTAGATCTACCCAAAATTGAGCATATTCGACGACCCTCGGAAGTTAGTAGTGAGAATTCAGAAGAGAAAAATCGACCCACACTCCGTGGCGCAACAATGAAACTAATGTCTATGAATCTTGGAAGTATTCCTAAAAAGAAGAAAAAGAAAAGGGGCAAGAAAAAATCAAAGAAAGCAAAAAGTAAAAAATGAATGATGATGGATAGTGAGTTCCGAGCCTAGAACAGTTCTTATGTTAATTCTATTAGAGGTGTTTCATCACACAAAAAACAAGCAGTTTATTAAGTTTCCTGTAATTTATATAGTAAATTAGATCGTGTTTCATTTTAATGCAAAGCAATAAAATAGTGAAACATCGATGCCATCCTGGGGAAAGTACAATTAGACTTGTAAAGAGGAACACCTCTGTAGGTGGAACACAAATAAACTTTATGTTAAATGAAACTCTGTAAGTGGAACACCTCCGAAATGGAACACTATATTGAGATACTACAGGTGTTCTATTTACACTGGTTTTACTGTAAATACAAGCACATTTCAAAACAATATCCATTCATACAAACAAAATAGCTTCAAGAATCATACAAGGCATTAACATGTAAAATGTCACTACCTACCATTTGTTACAGATGCCGACCACCATACACTGTCCACAAAAAATTGGAGACTATTACACCACTTGTGGAGGTGACATAAAAACAAAATCAAATTGTAAATATACAGTGCAGTGTCTAAGATCCCTGAAATTAGCCATATGGTAGATCTTCAATTTGTTATGTAATAAAAACAAATATTTTTAAAGTTTTGATTTTTGTTTATTGTAATAGATTTTCAGGAATGATAACCTGACAAAATATTATGGCAAATCTGCCATTTTCAAAACACTGGCGATTATTTCATTTGGGGGATATTTGGTTTTTTTATATTGGTTTTTGACAATGACTTAAATTGGCAATCTTGTTCAGAAACGAGATTTTGCTATATTACAATTATGAAACTGTTGCAAATTGAACTCATCTATTGTTCTATGTCTTGCAAATAAAGATAAAGACTACAGGCCCAGAGACAATATCAGCATGTAGAAGAAAATAACATAATAACCGATTTGAATCATGAAAAAAATCATGTATTCTAGCATATTTCATTAACTGCCTCGATACACGTGGCTAATGCACATACTTTACTACATGGCTAATCCATAGCCTTTTAGCTCATATGCAGCCCAGGGCTGAGTCATAACTTATTTATAAGTTCCAAGGCTAAAATCCATAGCCTCTTTAGTTCATATGTAGCTCTAGCAGCTAAGTTCAAAGGTTAACTCATCATTAGTCCATAAGGTTTTACAACTTATCTTAAGTTCCGTGGTTTATCTGTATCCTCTACAGCACAGGTTTAACTTCCTTGATACTCCTTGATAAGTCTCACATTCATACATTAGCAAGTGGAACGTGATTTATAACTTATCAAACACACTCTATATTGTCCATGTAGCTCATGCTATGATTTGGTCTCCTCGCTGTTATAGTTTGACAGAGTCAATCTTGGCACAATGTTCATAGATTGGAGTTCTTGGAATAGCAGTTTACATGCATATGGCATTTTCAGAGAAGACACGTCTGTACTGGATTTACAGTAATGGCACCTAAAACAAGAAATCAAGGCATTAACACGACAATATGCCACATTCTGGGGACTACATGTACATTAGATTCAAGCCCATAGCCAGGTTTGAGCACCCCCAGTCTCTTGCGAAAAATCTTTCAAAATCATGCAGTTTCTCACCACTGAGCACTTTTCAAGTGATTTAGGGCCAAAGTTATAAAATGTGAACCTGGAACACCCTGGAATTTTTTAAAAATTGAGCCCCCTTGGCAAAAGCTGGCTATGGGCCCGTGATTGCAAGTCACCAGTCACACTATCCTACTACCTCTTGGTGGTGATATTAAAATTGAATATTGTAGACATCTCAGTTTCATAATTACTAGGAATATATTATGTTATGATATGTAGTTATTTTCAAAAAATGAAAAAGACAATGCTGAACTTTACATGCATTTAAGGTTACATGGATCAAATGAGTAGTCAACTTTATTGATAGCTTGTCTTCTTTGGCAGACTTAAAGATAGCTACAATATACTTTACTGTGGCATTACATGACTTCAGCCTCGATAAACACAGCCCTGAAATGAAAATACAACTAAGTTCTGCTTCACTAAGTTGAATGTTTACTTACCAGCCTGAATATGCTAGGAGACCACATTTATTGCACACATCTACTTCAAAAGCATCACTCGAGATCATGAGACGTTCCAACAGCAGCATACTGAAATCAAACGTTGAATTTAAACAGAGAATTGTACCACAGAACTTTGCTCTCACGATTGTTTCGAAAGAGATTGTTAATCAGAAAATATCCTTGTGCCAAGTTATGTCTATAATTACTGAGACAAACACAATAGTATACAAACCTTGCACCATATCCAATAAGACAATCCCGTTCCATCTCTCCGAGTCTAAGGCCTCCATCCCTAGATCTTCCCTCGGTTGGTTGTCGTGTCAACACAGCACGTGGCCCCTTGGCCCTGGCGTGCATCTTGTCAAGTACCATATGCTTCAGTTTCTGGTAGTAGATTGGCCCAAAGAATATATAAGCACTCAGTGGCTCCCTGAACAAAATATTAATGATAAAATTGTACTGTAAAACACACATGGTGGCCATTTTGAATTACGACCCAATATTGAAATTCCTTTTCAATCAGAAGTTCTATACCTATAATGCATCAACCTATATGATTTTAACAGAACTAAACAGATTTATTACACAGAATGACAAATTGATTTTCTGCGAGCAATAGAATATCAAATATCTGTCAAATAGAATTCATCAAAATTATCCTCATCAGTCGAAAGTCAGTTTTTAAGCCTGGAATTAAGGAGTAAAATAACTGACAGATGTTATCTTTAACAAAAATTCAATACATAGTATAAACTATATGCGCGACATGCTCCCTTACCCTGTAATACCAGATGTGACATAGTACTTACCCTGTAATACCAGATGTGACATAGTCTTACCCTGTAATACCAGATGTGACATACTCCCTTACCCTGTAATACCAGATGTGACATAGTCCTTCCTTACCCTGTAATATCAGATGTGACATTATCCCTTACCATGTAATACCAGATGTGACATAGTCCTACCCTGTAATACCAGATGTGACATAGTGCTTAACCTGTAATACCAGATGTGACATAGTGCTTACCCTGTAATGCCAGATGTGACATAGTCCTTACCCTGTAATACCAGACGTGACATAGTCCTAACCCTGTAATACCAGATGTGACATAGTTCTTACCCTGTAATACCAGATGTGACATAGTGCTTAACCTGTAATACCAGATGTGACATAGTGCTTAACCTGTAATACCAGATGTGACATAGTGCTTACCCTGTAATGCCAGATGTGACATAGTCCTTACCCTGTAATACCAGACGTGACATAGTCCTAACCCTGTAATACCAGATGTGACATAGTTCTTACCCTGTAATACCAGATGTGACATAGTGCTTACCCTGTAATACCAGATGTGACATAGTCCTTACCCTGTAATACCAGATGTGACATAGTGCTTACCCTGTAATGCCAGATGTGACATAGTCCTTGCCAAGGTAGTTGAAGCCATTGTTGATGAGAATCTCTGAATACTCCTCCACTTTATTACCTCCAAAAGCTAAAAAAGAATCAAAAGGGTAATTCTAGATTCATCAAGGTAATTCTAAATTTATCAAGGTAATTCAAGCTTTAAAAAAGTAATTCTAGATTTATCAAGGTAATTCAATATTTAACAAGGTAATTCAAGATTTAACAGGGTATTATAAGAATTAAAAAGGTAATTCATGAATTAACTTTCAAAAATTCATAAGGTAATTCAAGGTTTAAGAAAGTTATTCAAAAATTAACAAGGTAATAGCAAGGCAAAATGAATTCAATCAAAGATCTCATTTCCATCTCCAAATAACTGAGAAGTAATTATAAATCTGTTCCATAGTGTTGACTCCTAACCCCATTCCCCTTTTCCCAAAATTATATTGCCTTTAAAAATTTAATTTCTCATTGTCTATGTTGGCCCCTTATGAAAGTTGGTTGGTTACCTGTGCCATAGTGTTGCTTCCCTGCCAAGACACCAGCCTTCCCTCCCATGAGCTCCAGTAGTTTCCCAACAGTCATACGTGATGGGTAACCATGGGGATTCATGATCTAAAATATACATGTAAGTCTGTAGGTATATAATTCATCATTGTTTAATATTAAATCTTTAATGCAACATATACGTTTTGATTGTTGTGTTTCAGTTAACAAGACTACAAGTCAGTACATAAATAAATGTTAGTGAAAACATTTAGCACAAAACTACATTGTTTCTGAATAAGTACATAAGAGAATAATTTCTTTTCTTCTTATTTTAAAGATATCGATTGAATAATGGTAGATACAACAGTGACTATATGGTAGTGTTGTCGCGATGTGCCATAATCGTACATCAATGCATCGGCAATTTTCAGTAGTAAACATCGATGCACATCGCGATGTACATCGAGAAAAAGTCAGAGAAAAATGCACTGAAATACCGAACGCTAATGCACTAAAATACCGAACAAAACAAATTAATAAGAGTACGCTGGTACATCCGAGAGCTTCTAGTAACGGTGAAATGAAAGTAAAGTAAATTGTTTTAGATTAATGGTTCATTTCGACTAGCTAAAACAGTTTTAAAGCAAAAGATTATCAGAAAACATCGGAAAATGAAATAAGAAATGAGAGAGGTAAGCAATTTGCGTCAAAATAAGATAAGAAAGGGTGATTTTTAGCAAATGAATTTTTTTTAAAAACATCAATGTTTTGTTTCAGACATCGATGCATCGCCAGATTCAGCTTTGGCGATGTATATCGCGATGTATCGATTAATCGCGACAACACTACTATATGGTACAGAACACGGGCTCATTTTCATACTTACAATGTCTGGGCAGATTCCCTGAAAATAGAATATGATGAATGAAGTTGGTGAATATACAGGTGCATTCTTTCTTCAATATCATATATTCCATCCAGAACAAAAGTTCAATCATTTTTGTACCATCTAATTCATTTTCTTCTATATTCAATTACATAAGTTTGTGTACACACACTGCCAAACTCGAGTCAATTTCTGTTTTACTACAGTACTCAGTATGGAACTCTTCCATTGCAAACGCTGTAGTTCATTGTTACATACACAGTAAAACCTGTGTACAATGAACACCTATGGAGCCACAAAAATTGTTCACTTTAGGTAGGTGTTCACTACAGAGAGGCAATTTTAAACAGAAGTCAGTGGAGTATGGGCTGAGAAGAGGTGTTCACTAGACACAAGTGTCCACTAGAGACAGGTGTTCACTAAGACAAGTTTTACAGTAAATGTATTATTACATCCATTAACCCATTAGCTATATGTATTAACTTACACTCTTTAAATTAATTATAATCTCCTTTACTGAATCGGTCATTTTACAGATATCATTTACCCATCAATATTTCTGATAAGGTCTTCATAGAGAACTGTTCTGGTTAACAATTAAGCATGTTGGGTTGTTCTAGCCAAGGAGTAAAGGCCACCATTTTGACACTCTTATCCTTTGAGAAATATATGAATCAACCATTTAGACTTATTCTGTAGGATAATATTCCTATATCCTACCCTCCTAATGGAGAACACATACTTACCAGGTCTGTGAATGGCATATCCTCCTGGGGCACAATCAATCCACACACCCTAGGAATAAAGAAGCGCTTTTGTTTGTTCAATTGAAGTCTGATGCCACTATCATTATATCCACAATCTTATATTTCAAAATATGACAACCATGTCAATATATGTCATACCACATATCCGTCATTTTTTAAACTTTATGTCTTTTGTACATATTTTGTTAGGCCAATAAACTTAATCCATTTTATTAAGTGCTCGAACACCAACTTGGCAAATAGCTAAGTATGAATATTGATATGAATTCAGTGTGAAACATGCAAATCTGGGCCTTACCCCTTCTGTCCATGCCTACTGCTGAATTTGTCTCCTATTTCAGGAGTACGAGTCTGTCTCAGTAGTGCCTTGATTAGGAATGCTTCCTCAGGATTGGATGATATCATCACCTTGAAAACAACAAAAAGGTTTGACAATGGAGGCTCTTGGTATTACAACCAAACATTGTCAAATAAGCATTTAATTTGTCCTTTTTGAGACCTTTTTGAAAATAATATTGAGTTTTATTCTTAAGACATATAAAACAAGTATATATATGGCTCAATAGATGTCAGTAAGTGCATTTAATCTATCGTCGCTCAATTCAATTGCAAATAATTTTTGATTTGTGATATTCCCCAACTTCACCTATTATTTCATATTCATTACATTTTGATAATTAAAAATGTGAACAAGAACAGCAATACCTTCTCAATGTAGGAAGGAACAGCTCCTTTATAACTGACAGGGACTTCTCTATATTCAGGTGCGGCGGGTTGTCCCGAAGCTTGCACCTGTGTGTTGGTCATTGTAGGCATAGACTTATTCACTAGAATCTGCTTATTTTCAACTTTCTCACCTGAAATTACATGTATAAAAAATAATTCAAAACACAAGGCTTTTGCAAATAAAATCATAAAAGTGAATTTGAAACACAAATCACACAAGTTTATAATTTTCCCTATTTATAAATAAATATAAGTAATATTGCATATTATCTTTTATAATTATTTTGAGTACCTGGGGCACATATCCCATCAGCATCCAGAATCTCATGTCTCCATATGGGTTTCCTGGTAGTGGCATCTACCATTGGTCCCATCACCTTATCAAAAGTCTGGTTGGCATAGCGTTTCAAGGTCACATTCTGCTTTCTGTAAACCAAGCAACGACCAAATCCTGCAATAGAAAAACAGTTTGACATGACAACAGAATTTAGTAAGGTTATATTTTATTTTATTTAACAAATATCAATTAAATTATGGTAGTTATAGTTACAAATTGGGTATTAGGAACACAACAAGATACATTTGTACAATAAAACCTATCTAAGTGGAACACTTTTGGGACTTTTACTTCAAATAAGTAATCAAATTGGGAGGGATCCACGTATAGGGGTTGACTATTTTCAAACGATCTTGAAGTTTTTCACTTATAGAGAGGTGCTCAATTTTACAGGTTTTACTGGACATATAATATAACACGATTCTACTATTTTCAGCTTTACATGACAGCTGGTGACAAGGTTGATGACAAATTGTCATAAAGGTTGCTTTACCTCTATCTACAGATGCCTTATTGAGCACTAGAGCATCCTCTATGTCATATCCACTGAAACTCATCACTGCAACTGTAGCATTCTGACCAGCTGGCATCTTCTCAAAGCCTATTAACTCTATTGTCTGTAATATAAACAAGGCAATAACATGCAAAATGTCACCACCTGTCATTTGTTACAGACACCGACCATCGACTGCCAAACACCAACTGTTAGACACCCGCAAAATGTCAACAGCCGAACACTGTCTACAAAAAGGTTGGAAACCATAACAACTGATTGGTCACTAAATAATACTAACTCACATGAGACAACACATTTTGATTTGTTGTTGCTCGATCAAATTATTTTAAATCAAATGCCGACAACCTACAGCACTCAAGCTAATCCTTAAAAACCAACCATTTAAACATTGCAGTGTTCCAGTCCAGAAGTTTTACTTAATCTAAAACTAGTAAAAATATCCCAAACTCCACATCTCAAATGGACACCTCTATGCAGAGCTATTTTCTGTATTTTACTACAATTTCAATTTATCTCATATATTTTTAGATGTTTACCTTAGTTTTGACCATGGGTGTATGTGGGTATACAAGGTTGTACATGAGCGTGTCTATCCTGTTCCTCTGATTGTAAGCAATGGTACCTAAAACAAGGAATGACTATTTTATAACCATTTTCAAAAAAATGAAATTTTCCATTCAATATAGAAATTATGAAAATTTTTATCAGAATTCCAAGTCAACTTTTATCACAAAAAGTATAAAAAATAAAATTCAAAGCATATGAGAGCTCATATCTAATTGAACTTAAAATGAATATTTTAGAATTTTGCACGGGGCCTTTAATGTCTAATGCTATTGATGGTTCATAGAAGACTTCATACCCATTGCCTGCTTTCCCATAGCACACTGGTATGTGTTTCTGGGAGATTGATTGTGATGTGGGTATGGGATCAGTCCTGCACATACTCCAAGCAGAGTAAATGGCTCAATCTCCAAATGTGTGTGATCCCTGAAACATGTGAAATATGATTGTTATCAATACAAATGTGTTTCTGGGAGATTGATTGTGATGAGGGTATGGGATCAGTCCTGCACATACTCCAAGCAGAGTAAATGGCTCAATCTCCAAATGTGTGTGATCCCTGAAACATGTGAAATATGATTGTTATCAATACAAATGTGTTTCTGGGAGATTGATTGTGATGAGGGTATGGGATCAGTCCTGCACATACTCCAAGCAGAGTAAATGGCTCAATCTCCAAATGTGTGTGATCCCTGAAACATGTGAAATATGCTTGTTATCAATACAAATGTCTTCCTGGGAGACTGATTGTGATGAGGGTATGGGATCAGTCCTGCACATACTCCAAGCAGAGTAAATGGCTCAATCTCCAAATGTGTGTGCTCTCTGAAACATGTGAAATATGCTTGTTATCAATACAAATGTCTTCCTGGGAGACTGATTGTGATGAGGGTATGGGATCAGTCCTGCACATACTCCAAGCAGAGTAAATGGCTCAATCTCCAAATGTGTGTGCTCTCTGAAACATGTGAAATATGCTTGTTATCAATACAAATGTCTTCCTGGGAGACTGATTGTGATGAGGGTATGGGATCAGTCCTGCACATACTCCAAGCAGAGTAAATGGCTCAATCTCCAAATGTGTGTGCTCTCTGAAACATGTGAAATATGCTTGTTATCAATACAAATGTCTTCCTGGGAGATTGATTGTGATGAGGGTATGGGATCAGTCCTGCACATACTCCAAGCAGAGTAAATGGCTCAATCTCCAAATGTGTGTGCTCTCTGAAACATGTGAAATATGCTTGTTATCAATACAAATGTCTTCCTGGGAGACTGATTGTGATGAGGGTATGGGATCAGTCCTGCACATACTCCAAGCATAGTAAATGGCTCAATCACCAAATGTGTGTGCTCCCTGAAACATGTGAAAGATGAAAGGAATTAAATGTGCTCCATGGAGCATGCCAGTATTATTGTCCATTGAACAGTGTGCTAGACTTTTCCAACTATAGATACCAGTCACATTTTAGGCAGTGGTTGGGCAAGATATGTAATAATCTAAGTTATTTATTGAAACAGGTTATTCCTTGAAGTGTTGCCACTTTCAATCCTTAACTCGCCATGCTAAAAGGACAATGTACTAGTGATAACACCACAGTGTACTCCTAGACACTATAATAAGCCACTGATACCAAAAGAAGGCTAAAAACCTGATAATCCTGATGGATATAACAATTGGACAAAATCTAATCACTCACCTTGTAATGTCTTTCTCATATAGTGCAATCATACAATCGTTTTCTTCATTCACATCTAAGTATTCAACCAGTCCCTCATGCAGGAAGTCATCGAAGCTCCTGGAAATAGTTTTTTCTTTTTGTAATATTTGAACTCAAACCCTAGAGGCTTTGAGAGCTACTAAGAGGCAATCAAGTCCAACTTTAGCTTCCAGTATAAATAGGGGAATAACAGTGTCACTGCCTCATCATTTAATTTTGATCAGTATTACATTCAACACCATAAGGACACACACTTTATATAGGCAAACACATCGTGAATGAAAGAGGTACAATTCAAATCAAACCTTCCCATATTTGAGATTTCCAACAGAACTCAGATTCTGATGTTTTCAGCCCCGAACCAACGATTTTGCGATTCTACTGACCTGAAGCCTTGTGTCAATTCCTCAATGTGTCTCGTAGCCACTTTGGGTAAACCTTTCTCTACTATAATGTAGGGCCTGGAAATAATACATATTAACAAGAGCATATTAAACAAGGCATCAACATGCAAAGTGTCACCACCTGTCATTTGTTACAGAATGCTAAACACTGTCCAATGTCATAGAAATTCAGTTTTAATAGCAATACTTCAAATCAACCCTTACGTGAGGGTAATATACATGTAGGCATAATACATTCAGCCCCAAAAAATGAATGTTAGCTAATATTAATTTTCCACAAAAATAGAAACAAACCAATACTTGGCAAAATGTGTTGTTCTACAATGCATTTATTGCATTATGTATTGTGTATAGGATTGTTTACAAAGCTTGAGAAACATCTTTAAAAATCTTGAAAAAATTTGTTCCAATATCCATACCTACAGACCCTGCCTCCGTCAGATGAGATGTAGACACACCTATGATTGTGTTTCGGACAGATGGATACAAACTCATTGACATAGCCAGATCTACGTAGCAGTCTAAACATCCGCACCAGACGCTTATAGTCACGAACCACCCCAAGTATGTTTCCTGAAAATATATATAACAACCATGTAACATCCTCCTAAGCAGGTGTCCAGAATCTGTACCTCCTTCTTCCCCCCTGGTATAACCAATTTGGAAGCGCAATGACTTATACATGATTTCTGTCGCAGTGTTGCGACAGCCAATCAGATTGCGAGTTCTTAATCGGGGAAATGCTAACTGCTTATCGCAGGGAGAAAAAAGAAAGAATATATTCTGGATTTTGAAGCCCTGTGATCGGAGGTTGCCATGTAAGGATGATGATGAAACATCCAAAATAGACAATTAGTTAAGTCACAAACCACTTCAAGGCAAGTATGTTTCTAAAGTATATGAGGAACCTTTTGAACAACAAATGCCAGGGCAGTTATGGTTTCTAAAAAGGGAGGAAAGGTTAAATTATTATTATCCAGAAATTACAAAACTTAAAGTGTAACAGAAAATGTTTAATTCTAAGCATAACACTCTTACTATTTATAACAAGCACATACCATTTATAAAGACCAAATAAACATGTGGTGACGTCATCTCCTCTCCACTAAGCATATGTATATCCTCTACTCCTAGATTGAACGCTAGCTGGACCAATGGGCCCTCATCCAGGTCTGTGGTGATGTGCGTCATGAGAGCGAGGTTCTTCACAAGCCCACAGGCCTCCCCCTCAGGTGTATCTGAGGGACACAGCATTCCCCATTGGGACGGCTGTAGGGATCTTGGACCACTAACTTTACGTGTTTTCTCAAACTATACACATAAAAACAACAAAAATTTATTCTTACCAATAGAACATACTTTCTGTCTAGGTTATCATGTTTTTAAATGTTAATATGAAAACATGAGAGTCATAAGACTCAAAGACCAATGATGACTGAAAAAGTGAAATAATCATGACCCAGATGGCATTGAAAATTGAAATTATTACCTGACTGGAGATTCTTGTCATCATGCCTAATGCAGATATAAAGGACAACCTGGAAAGAACTTGGGTGACACCTGCACGCTCCATCTTGAATCTCTTAATGGACCAGTTGCCTTAAAAATAATATTTTTATTGAGGGATTTGGCAGTTACTCCCCATAACATAATGTTTTCACCCAATAGTTTTATGCAAATAAAACAACACATACAGATTAATACTTTTACAATAACATAATAATTAGAAAAAATAAAACCATCACAGACAGATAAGAATGTTTTCCCTAATGTTTTGGATATCACAACCAAGTGTTGGTAGCTGTTTTCCTGATTTTCACATGTAGTGATAGATTAGTATTGAATCATTAAATCATCAAAATACCTGAAGATATTGCATGCACCAATCCATTGGTGATTTGGTCTTGACGCATATGTTTCACAATATCAAACTGAGCTGCTCGAGGCTTTGGGATAGTTTTGTCAGCAATCAGCTTCAACTGCAAGAATAAAGTAACAACTTCTTAGTATTTTCTTTGAGAAAATGCGGTTTCTATATCTAAAATTGAAAAAGTAAAGCAGGCAAGTAAATATCCTCAAAGTTCAGACATGCCAGAAAATTTGGCAGTCTATTCAAATTTAAAAGGGAAAAAGCAAGAAAAAGGCATGATCCACATCCCATATCTATTTGTTTAGGGCTTACCTCTGTGTTGAACTTTTTAAAGAGATCTTCAAACAGTAAGGAGAGAAGTTGACCTGCCAATTCCAATCTCTTGTTGCCATAGTAATCTCTATCGTCTACTTTCACTGTGTCTCCTTGTGCTAGGATTACACGACGTACCATGAGAGACAAGTACGCAGCTTTCAGCTTAAAGTTCCAGCGTTCAACCTGGAAAAGGAAGACAAATATGAATGACAGAAGGGAGTTTGTATAATCTAGTACACAGCCACTAAGCACATAGCAAATAAGATCTCATGTTAATTGAGGAGACATTTCAGGCCTGTGCCTCTACATTAACCAGAACAACGGCAACGCCAAAGCGTAGCGAATCCCATCGAACAGAAATGGCTGTCATTTTTACAAACGAAATATATAGAAAACATCATAAAACAACACACCAGAAAGGCTGACTACTCCCCAAAGTTTTATTAGACAATGTGCCATGCTTAAAGTATTCACATATCAAATATGAACAAAATTGCTCCACTTCTTTTCGAGTTATAGTAAAAAATGTAAAAATGACAGCCATATTTATAAAATGGCTGCCTACTATCTGAAGTGTCATGAGACAGTGTGCAAGGCTCATGAGTATTCACATATCGCTTCACTACTTTTCAAGTTATAGTAAAAAACATAAAAATGGTGACCATTTTTCAAAATGGCCACCTACTACCCAAAGTGTCATTAGACAGTGTGCCATGCTTATAATATTCACATATGAAATATGAAACATACCAAATATGAACAAAATCGTTGCACTACTTTTCGAGTTATAGTAAAATACGTTAAAATGGCGGCCATTTTTCAATTTTTTTTCAAAATGGCCACATTCTACCAAAAGTGTCATAGGACGGTGTGCCATGCTTATAGTATTCACATACCAAATATGAACAAAATCGCTCCACTACTTTTCGAGTTATAGTAATATACGTTAAAATGGCGGCCATTTTGAAAAATGGCCGCCTTCTACCAAAAGTGTCTTTAGGCAGTGTGCAATGCTTATAGTATTCACATACCAAATATGAACAAAATCGCTCCACTACTTTTCGAGTTATAGCAAAAATCGTAAAATAACGAGTAAAGGCCGCCATTTTTCAAGATGGCTGTCATGTGCTTCTTTAATGTCTACATTTATAGCTTTATTAATGTCCTTCATAATTGTTTTACATTTAAAACATATTGCTATTACAGTTTTACATATTGCACCTAAATTACTGTAAAATCGGCACTAAAATGGCCACCATTTTGAATTGAGCGGCCATTTTGAAAATCGGCTTTCGAGCAGAACTTCTACCCCCATAGGGTATATGTGTACAAAATATTAACAAAATCGGGCCAACGGTATTTGAGTTAACGCCCGGACGGACAGACAGACGGACGGACGTACGTACGGACGGATGTACGTACGGACGGACGTATGTACGGACGGACGGACGGACGGACGGAGGCGTTCCCTATATCCCTCCGAACTTCGTTCGATGGGATAATAAACATTCAGGGTAAGTAGAATTGATCGACCACTTACTGATATCATGCAAAAATTTTACCTGGCATCCCATTAGACCCGCTTTCAGACATGTGTGAGTACAGTGGATGCAAGTACCTCACTTGTCTCCTGTCTAGTTTTGTTTTCTATTTCTAGAGCCCCCATCCATACACAAACAATTCTCCATCCCTGATCCACCCCTGATACCTACCCCATACGAGGAACATGTACCAGCATGGTAGGGCTTCCCCACATATAGACAATACAATATCCTACCCCCTTTAATGCATGAGTCTTGCTTCACCTTTTTCCCACATAAAGACAATACATTACCCTACCCCCTTTAATGCATGAGTCTTGCTTCACCTTTTTCCCACATAAAGACAATACAATACCCTACCCCCTTTTAATGCATGAGTCTTGCTTCACCTTTTTCCCACACATGCAATACTCACAGGAACATGGGCAAGCACAGTGGTTGCAAGTATGTCTCTAGCCTCATCAGTTTTGGATTTCTTATTACTGCTCCCCCACATGCGCCTCTGTCGTACTTTCTGCCCAATATACTTCAGTGCCTAATAAAGAATAGGAAATTAATGTAATTTAGAATACAACAATTGATATAGAGATGGTAATAATTAGATAACAGTAGTGTTTTGAATAGGTTGGATAGCAACCACCTGCCATTTGTTAAAGATGCCAAATGCCAACTGCCGATATATAAAGTGACAAAAAGTCACTTTAACTTGAAATATTTAAAATTGGGTTAATGTGTTTCAGTATTCTTCAATTCATATGTGGGACATTTGGGCTTACAAGATGAACAGTGTTAAAATTTAGACATATTTGTGTTGACTTTTACCTGTGTCTGTGTAAAGACTTGAGCTTTGTGGCATTCTTCTAGCATGGGGGCAACTGCAGTTAAGACATTCTCCTCACTGCCTATCATCTGTACAATTTCCTGGTCACATTCAATCCCCATCGCTTTGAATACTATTGCTATGGGCACATCCTAAGATATGGATACAAATATAAAAAACAGTTAAATCAGGCTTTGAGCTGAGTTTAGCATTCAGAAAATAAATATATGGCACAACTTATATCAGTTCTACTATTTAGAAAAGATCTATTAAAAATAAAGTCAAAAGATTTATTATGAAAGATTTATGCTTTCTTTTTCCCATATCCAAAACTTCCTACCAAACTTCATAGTATTCACAAATAGTGTATATCTCATATAGCCTTTATCAATGTGCCTCCCATCTCATTGCAAACTATATTGATCACTGAATAAGATTGTGAAAAGTCTTACCTCAGTAAATGTGTTGTGTTTAAGATAGAACTTGCCATGTTTCTGAACCAGGTTTGTTTTACTCTTCTTTTCATGTGTGGAGCTGGAATATAATTACAATGGTAATTTTCCCAGTAGGCAGAAGTAATTGAATATAAGCACTAATCTCTTCTAGTATCTGTAAAAATGTCAAGTTGAACACAAAAGTAAATTTCCTGGATATTTGAAGACAAGATATATGTGGCACCCACTCAGGAAGATGAAAAGGACAAAACCCATAGCAATTTAAAATATATAAACTACACATGCATGTACCTTGTTACGGAGCAACCAACAACTCCTTTTCTGTCAGCTTCAACAATCATCCGATTTTTTGACAGTTGCTCCTGGATCAAGATTACCTTCTCTGTACCTCGCACAACAAAATATCCTCCAGGGTCTACAGGACACTCATTTAACTTGGCTAGTTCTGCGGGAGATTTGCCACTCAGGACACAGTTTGAGCTCCGCAGCATTATTGGCATCCTATATACGGTATGAAACAGAGATGATTTAATCACAACACCAAGACAAAAATCTATATCAAAGGATAAACAAATAAGAAACCAACAATAGAGAACATAATTTAACAAAGTATTAGAATGGACAAATGCACAAACACATATTTAAAATCAAACTTTTTCTGTTATAGCTTTGCTTTACTGATTAATCTTTAGCATAGTTCGCTATAAAGGCCTTGTGAAAATCTGGAATGAAAGACATTTAGCTTGCGCAAGTTCTCTGATATAAAAAATTTAAAATTGTGAATGTGATTAGAAAAAAAATTCCATACCTCCCAATTGGCAGATTATTCCTCACAATACGTTGATGCCCTCTGGTGTATTCTATATCGACTGTTAGTGGGGCTGAATAGGTCATATCACGTAAACGACACTGAAATAAAGTAAATTCATTCTTGAAATGTATTTTGTTATGGAAGTATACAAATGCAACCTTTAAAATGTTCAAAAATTGCATTCAATGTTAAATCAAGTTGGAAAATGTTGAACTTGAAGATTTCAATTCAATTCAATATACATGTATGTAACTTATTACAATATCTCCTGAGAATATGTGGATTAAATATGATGACAACTGATTGAAAAAACATCCTACCTCATGTGGAGAAATAGGTTTGGTAATATTGAACCCTTCTTCAACATCTGGCATACCTACATATATATTCAAGTATCTGTAATAGAAAATACAATCTCATTATCTAAAACCCTTCATTTATCTAGTGATGGTGTTATAAATCAACCATGACTTGTTGAGAATTGATTACAAAAACAAATTTTGTTTCATAATGTCACAAAATGCAACTCTCAGAAGTAACAAACATGCACACTGTTCCATGCATTGAGGCAAGTTTTTTTTCACATAGGCAGCTTAGGATTTCTGCAGTATCATCATTTCAATAAAAACATTTTATCTATTTACCCTACCCTTACGTCCTTTGTGTAAAATATCTTATTTATTTGCCCTATCCTTACAGTACTTACTTCATGTAAAACTGTGGATCTGCATCACTGGTGATCTTGTCATTGGCCTTCATGATATCCTTGATCTGAAATATTTTGAAAGAGAGATATTATCTTATGATATACTGTTTGAAAGCTTAATGCAAATTGAAACAAGTTCTCTTGAGATTTTTGTGCAAAAGTATTATATTACAATCAAGATATGGCATCCTTTATTCCTTTATTCTCAACTAAAACAACTAAACGTAAGAGAGGTGTAATACCATCGGGATAACTCTACTAAACTGCAAATGAACTTTTTAAATGGGAATAAGGTGTTTCTCATATTATTGACTGGAGACTTTACATGTCACATTGCTTCAATGCTGGGTGATCACAGAGATCATTAGGCATGTGTTTTGATCTCAAAGATTTCTGTTTCCTCATCAAATTCTCTTCTTACTTACAAGGATTGTAGAATAAATATGCATGGTCCTAGTCCTATGAATATATTATATATAGTGAGGGTTGATGTACTATGTAAGGAATCAGTGCAAGGCTACTGAGTTTACATTTCAAATATACAGTATTAGGAATCCAATCAATATTTTCACCTCAGATTTGTCTAGCATGGCTGGTATTGGTGAAGAATGATTTGGATATTAAAACAAAACAATGCTTACCCCAACATTAATGAAGTAGTTGAATGAATCAATGTGCTGTTTGACAAGTCCCTTGACCTGTAAAAATGCAGGAAGGAGTTTCCACTTCTCCTGAAATAAAAAAAAGACTTAAAGATGAAGAAAAATTTGAATTGTGTAGATTCTTGAGCTGACTTCAAAACAGATGAATATGAGACACTGCACATTGCACATTATGTAAAAAAGTTCTCAAACGAAGTTGCATCTAAGGGCAGTCGTAGAATTTTGACCAGGTGGATAATATCCTCTGCTCTAACCATAGCTGTGGTTTTGCCTAACATGAGACATAAGCATTACATGTATCTAAGAAAAAATTGAATTTTAAAACTGATCATGGTAAGCCTTCTGGAAGTCTTAGCCCCAGTAGCATTTGCTCTACAGTGACCATGTCTACCATAGTTCTTTGAAATCAGTGAATTTCTTTAATGAGTGTAGGAAAACTGTGATTGCCTTGCAGTATCCAGATGGCACTTCCAGTTTTTAACAGGCCATAGGCTCCACGTTGAAATGACAGATTTTTATTCATTTCTGCGGTCACCGCAGAAATGTAATTATTGAACTTTAGCCAAAAAATGTAAGGATGAATTCTAAATACTGGTAGGTTATTTTTGTATTTATTGTCAACTTCTTGTTTTGCTTTATCAGACTTCTATTTTCACTGCCCCAGACTGTAACAGAAGTGAAAGCGTGTAACTAACCAAGAAAATATAATAGTCAATCAAGAAATAAGCAGAAGGGTAATCGCCTGATCAATGTACGACAGAGTGCTCTAATCTTCTAAAAACGTATAAGAAATGTGTCTCTGTAGCTATTGAAGATTTTTTAGATAATAAACGAAATGCAGGGCTGTCAACTTGGGACAACCTAATATGAGTGACTTACAAATGTTGGACACCGAAGTCCAAATCTGAACACTTTTGTCCAAATTTTGAACACCTTTGGCCAACTTTTAAACACCTTTGGCCAAAGTTTGAGCACCTTTGCTAAACTTTTATCACCTCAAATTTTTCGCGCTCGCTACGCTCGCATGCGCGACATATACGGGATTCGCGTGACAAATCCGAACAAATTGCGTTCGTTTTTTTTCCGACGTTCGTATTTTTACCGTATCATAAACATATTTTGAAAAATTTTTTACAGAAACATATTTGCGTGACAATTACCAGGTAAAATGCGTATTTGCGTGACATTTTGTGTCACGCAAAAAAAACTGGCGTGACTTCAAATTCTTCAGCAAATGCGTGACAAATACGCAAATTGCGGGACAGTTGACAGGCCTGCGAAATGTATTACAATGAGCACAAAGTATTTGGGAATCATAGAAACTTTTAGAAGACAATGTTTTACTGTCACGACAGTGACCAACTCATTGAGTCGGTGACTGTTAGTCCAGTGCCAGAGGTGTTTCTTTTTTTATTTTCAGAAATGGGCGATAATAGGTGATATTGCATTATAAAACAAAATTCCTGCTTACCTCAATTGTTTTTACTGGTTCGGATAGTTTTCCCGGAGGCAAATTCATCATTTCATCTAGACTACCCATGTCATCAATCTACAATTATATGACAAAAACTGAGAAAGATTTTCAAATTTTGAAAAAACTCAGACCGGAAATGCATGAGCTGGTGTATTTTTGTGATACAGATATTCTGTTCCCGATGTATATATGTGTATCAGCAATTATTTGCCAACTACGACCAATCATCTGTATATTGCATTGACATATATCATTTAATGATATTTATCTACATCAATATAGGATTTATCACAAATAATCAACTATTTTTTTAAAAATTCATTCAATAATCATGGTATCCTTAATTTACCTTACGCCATTTACTTCCGGAAATATTTTTTTAAATTTATCTAAAATTCCGGCAAATATGTCACCAAATGTAGCGAATATAGGAAGGAATTAGTCTACCTGAATGGCGTGGTAAGTACATAATTTATTTCTGTTTGTGATAGATTCCATATTCACATTGTATGGTTGGTGTGAAGTTATGATTGATGATCATAAGAACAAATGTGCTCTCAAAAAATGTTCAATCAAAATAAATCATGAAGATCATTTATTTCTGTTTAGAATAAATGATTCACATGGCAAGTATAGTAAGAAAAAATGATTCATTATGAGGTTGTCAATCACAGAGTTATTTTTCTCAGTTGATTACTTGTACAGCCGACCATAAAACTGAAGTCCATGCTTTTACTGTGATACATTTTGTTTCCCAAATCGATCGATGAAAGCTACTTTTAGGTCTTGTCAGCATCACTCTTTATTTATTTCTCTTATTCTCTGCCTTGTGTGTAGTCAAATTTTTTTATAGTAAATTCATAGACCAAATTTGTATTACCAAATAAAGGCTGAAATTGAACCTGAACTTTTGGGAACATGTCTTAGTTATTATCCCAACAAACCAAGTTGTGTAGGGATATAGTAAAGCCCTCCATCTGTCAGTCGGTCTACTCGAATGTCCATCCGGAAGATAACTCGAATAGTAGAAGACAGATTTTCTTCCTTTTTGATGGAAAGATGGACTTATCCTTGGACTTATATCACGCCGCCCATGTCAATCTGCGCGCCTACTAGGCACGCAGTTTGAAACTCTAACATAAACATTTTTCTTGTCAATCTGCGCACCTATATTCACATGTATTTCCCAAATTGCGTGTCTAATATTTCTAAACTGCTTGCCTATCCAAGCTTGTTTTGTATTATTAGAAAACGTAAACGTAATCTTATAAAATCTGACGATATAGCAAAATTCCCAAAGCTATATGAAAAACATAATAACATTATAAGCATTTCGCCTGCCAGTGTATACACCCTTTAAGATCCATTTGTACAAAGTTTTTGCTAGTATTTGCAATATTCGTATATTTGCCACAGAATGAACGCATTAAGCAAGAAAACAATGCAGGATAAATGTCTAAAAAATTATGTTTCAAAATCCATATTCCAACTTGAATGATGCAATGTTGTTAGGCACACAGTTTGTGATCAAAACAAACTGTGCCTAAGTAGGCGTGCAAGATTGACATGGTTACCGTGTATATTATAAAGCCTAAAATGTATTGTAGCTGCTTCAGATATTACATCATATCTATAATTATGTACTGTATATACATCTAGCAATATGCTTTTTATCAGGCAGCATATGTCTGATCTCAATATACTGTTCCAGTAGTATATGTATGTTGTTAAATATCTTTATCATGGTATAGCTATGATCTTGTAACAGACTTTCATTGCATCCATAAGAGAATGCTTTTATGCAAGGTACATAAGAGCAGAAAACATTATTTTATAGTGCATTATTGTTTTATAATGAACTGAGCTGATCTATTAATGGTGAGAGTGATGTGATGTCACTACAGTGGCGGCAATTTTGGTTCTGATTTTATAGTAATTTAGGTATAATATAGAAAACTGTAATAGCAATATGTTTTAAATGTAAAAAAAGTTATATAGGACATTAATAATGCTGAAAATGTACATATTTAACCCTTTCACAATGATATGCTCTATATGGAGCCATATTACGTAATGCCTTTTAGGACGATAGGCTCCTTTTGGCACCATTATTTTTATTTATATACATTTAAAAATGACAATATCTCCAGTTCTATTCAGTATTTTTCCATCAAATTTTGACAAGTTGTTGAAATGTGATAATTCTTATCAAAAATTATATGTCATGGGGCCTAGATAATTTGAAGTTTTTCCCTAAAACGCTCTTACTTTTCCGTCATCAGGCCAACATTTTCTTCTTATATTCACATAGGGAAAGGGTTAAGAAACACATGGCAGCCATCTTGAAAAATAGTAGCCTTTACACTGTTTTATGATATTTTGGGCATATATTTGTACTATATTTACATTTATGTGGTAGATTCATATTAGAAAAGAAGAAGTAAGGCTGATGTAGGCAATAAAATATTACAAATTTTATTGAATTATGTAATGTTACATAATAGTTACAATAAAATAATTTTTGGTTGGGGCAAAAGAAACACATGGCAGCCATCTTGAAAAAAGCCTTTACACTGTTTTATGATATTTTGGGCATATATTTGTACTATATTTACATTTATGTGGTAGATTCATATTAGAAAAGAAGAAGTAAGGCTGATGTAGGCAATAAAATATTACAAATTTTATTGAATTATGTAATGTTACATAATAGTTACAATAAAATAATTTTTGGTTGGGGCATGGGCTTTCAACTAGATGGTTGGGGCAAAAGAAACACATGGCAGCCATCTTGAAAAAAGCCTTTACACTGTTTTATGACATTTTGGGCATATATTTGTACTATATTTACATTTAAATTGCATCCTAAATTTTGATGCAGATAATTTTGAGCTTTTGAGTTTCATATATCAACTTATATGAGCAAGTTTTGATTTATTAACCTGATGGACCATTGATATGAAATTACACATAGCAATGTTCTGCTAAGTTACTGATTCTACTATAATCTTATCCCTCTTTATACTCACCCTTGAACCTTATCAAAGCTGGTGGACAAATGTTACTAATACATACAAACAAATAAGATATCACCTCAATTAAATACTGATATGATGCTTGATAGCTTTAAAAGTGATAGTCTAGTTATAGAGGTATCTACTATCTAGTGGGGGAGGGGGTCACAGGCCCATAGCCAGCTTTTGTCAAGGGGGTTTCATGTTCATGAAAAAATCCAGGGGGAGTTGGCCCAAAATCACTGGAAGAATGGTTAGAATTGTGAAAAAGTGCATGATTTGAAAGAGCTTTTGGCCTAGGGGGGGGGGGGTTGCTTGAACCCCCTGACACCCCCCTCCCTCCCCAGGCCTGGTTCATAGAGACCCCTCCCTGTTACCTGTCTTGAACATTCTACATTATAATCCCCATTGTATATTTGCTTCCCCCTTTTCTGTCAAGCCATCCATTTAGTTTCCTAAGATGAGATATACAAAATTCAAATCGCAAAAGTCAGTACTGTATGTAGAAAGTGAATTCATTCAAAAGATTTGCTTTGTTTCAAATACACATCAATGTAGTAATATATTTCGTTTTATTAAGCATATAATATTTTGTAATTAATTCGCAAAAATGTGAACAATTCATGAATTGTTCACTTTTACTCTCTGGTTTTGATAACAACATGAAGGTCATAAATATTTGTTAGTAATATGTTAACACATAGTCTGGTTAAAGCTTCATATTTCTGCTCTTACATTTTTAGTGACAGACTCTAGTGCCTTAACATCACACAAAAATCATAAACTTCAGTATGCTTTATGTCACATGTTACTTCTAAAATTAAATTGATTGAAACCTTTATTTATAGCTGGCAGTAAGGAATGTCATTTTTGTCTCATATAAGCATCAGTGTTTGGAAGTTATTATTATTTTGTTGACATATACCAGATTGCTTCTTGGATTGAGAACAACTAATTTTGTACAAGAAAATTTGTATGTTTGTTGATTTTCAAATGTGGGACTGTTATTGTTGGGAAAATATACTTATTTCACAAATTGGCTATTAAGTTTTGCTTTAAGTTTTACTTTAGAGTATAAATTTGTATCAATGCATTTGAAATGCAAAAGGGTACATAAAGCAAAGTTAAAATATTTTGATAGGTTCGCTGATTTTAATGTACAATTAAATTAAAAGCAACCTCTAACTTGCATCATCATTGCCTTTGCTATAAAGCTTCCCTAATCTTTTTTATATTTTGCAGTATATTTTCTCCTTGACTGCAATGTTTTTCATATCAATTTCAAAGAAAGACAATGAGAGAAGTGATCTCCCCAGGACGAGACCAGATTAGACCAACTTGGTCAGTTAAAATCTGCCACCCTTTAGAAATTCTGTTTTTTGCAAAAGCCAAATAAGTTATTTTATTTTAAATTTTTTGCAAGCTGTTTTACCTTTAACCTATAAATCAAGCTATCATACTTGTATAATTTCTCGCAACCTTAATTAGATATTTTTGGGTTATTGGACCTATTCTTCACTAATTTTACAAGTGTTATTCATCTTAAAATCTGCAGATAACTAGGGAAGATTATTTGGATTATGTACTACTATAAAATAACATATGGTAAATTCAGAAATTATACTCATGATAAATGATGGCTGAAGCTACTTTTGTACTGAACAATTTAACACATGCAATTTTGGATGAAATATAATAATTACAGCCGGCTTGTTTGGCCTCGTAGAATGCATAGGGGCAAAGTACCACCCAATTAAGGACAATTGCTAGCTGACCTCATATTTTCTATCTTATTTATCAACATACTGTTATTATAACAGTTTAAGTTTAGCTTTCCTGACATATAACTAAAGATTTATTGATATGTTTTCTGTAAAATTTAATTTGTCCTTAGCTGCCTTTTGCCAAATGTATTTTTGGAAATACCCCCCTCCCCATCCCCTAAAAAATATTTCCCCACAATTGAGTCCCCCCTGGGATAATATATATATATAGAGATTATCCTATAGTCGGTTCAGGATATTGGGTTTATCCCGAGGCCAATATAATATATTTGCCCGAGGGCCGCAGGTCCCGATGGAAATTATATTATATTGGCCAAGGGATAATCCCAATATCCTGAACCGACTATAGGATAATATGTTTATCCCATACCAATCTTGGTCATCTGGTTCACATTGTTCAATCGTGGAAATATTTTAGAATATTCATGTCCAGTTTTGTTTTCTTGGCTGTGGGCGAATGTTCCTGTTCTCTTAAATATTCCCACATTTATTTTCTCGAATTTTTTGATTGATTAAGTGGATGCTCCTTCCCTTTTTAAACCATCAAACAGATCCTGATTGTCTGTGTTTTCTCCATTGTCGTTAACAGTCATTACGCGAACGTTACAAATTATGAACAAATATGCGAGCGGCGATTATGACGTAGCGGGCAGATATACTATATCTGCCCGCTCGGAGCGGGACGTAAAGCTATGTATTTCATACTTGAGTGGGTTTGGGGTAGATATCACCCGGGAATATATATCATATCTGAGGAGCGGGCAGGATATATTGTATATGTCCCGCTCTAGGCCAAATGCGGGCAGATATAATATATCCATCCCGCTCCCGGGAATTTTTTCAAAAGTTTAAAAAAGTTTAAAAATTTTAAAAATTTTAATTTCAGAAGTTTAAAATTTTTCAAAAAGTTTAAATGTTGACAATTCTATTGTATTGAACTGAAGGAATATTAAGAACATGTTAAATATAAATTGTGCTTTTACAGTATAGGTCTATCTTGTCATTTGAAAAAGGTGGTAAAGGTTATATCTACCCCAAACCCACTCAAGTATTAGATACACCAGTTATGTACGGTCGGTTTTGGATACAGTGTTTATCCAAAACCTCCCAGTACATAACCCTTATATCTGCCCGCTGATGAAAATACAAGTTTTTACAAACCGGCTTTATGTACCTGTAACACGTCCAAGTATGGGAAAAATATATATATTCATGTGCATATATGATGTATGTAGTTCAGTTCAATTCAATATACAATGTATTACATCAAATATAAAAATCAAATTGCCCATCAGTGCAGAACCCTTTGTGAGAGTGATAGACTTGAATGTCCTACACACTTCTTTGCTGATAAATCTAATAGAACTCTCCGAATCAATAAGAGGCTTTCATCCCTCAAGTTCAATTGCTTCATTAATTTTCAATAAGTAAACAAATCAGAATCTGTATTGGATCTGGTCTGTATCAACCAAAATCAGTTCCCATATCAGAATAGAACTATTCCCTGGAATTTTCTCAAATTTACGTTTTTTGTTCTATTTCCAAAGTTGTTTAATAAAAGTTGAAAATGTTGTGTCTGATAAATTAAATTGTACCAATTTATATCACCATCATTGGGTCTTAGGTGATGATATATATTTAGCTTTTAAATAAATAATTTCAGAAAAAATATTATGGAATAAATAGGTTACTAGTGTTCGTGATGAAATATGAATTGATGAACTCGAGAAAATATGATATTGTCCTCGGAAAACATTAAAATGACCTCCCTTGGCCAATATGATATTTTCGTAGGCCAGTTTTCCTTTGGAATAAAATTCATAGTCCATCCCTCCCATTGAATAACCTCTATATATTAGTATGAATCTGTGTTGCTTTTTGATTTGTTAACACTAGAGTTCATAAATCAATTAGATCTAGCTAGAGGATGGTGTTCTACTGGTGTATGAACTCAGGGTTTATGAATGTGGATCAGATAATTCAAGCATACACGTTTATAAAGTGACTCAATGGATCTCTAGCAAAGTTTCATACAATTCAGATATAAAGCATTTTGGACTCGGGGTATAAATATATATTTATAACATGTTTATGGGTTTAAAGCATGTAATCACTTCTAAGTATTTTTTATTCAGTCATTCAAATAACTTATAAACAGCATTTGAACAGAACAACAAAAAATAAATAAAAAATCAAAAGTTTGATATTTTAATAGCTCTTTGATATGAATATATTTATGAATAGCTTATTTGTCAGTTAGGTTAAAATGGGTGTATACTATATAGTAATATTGTAATCTTCTGACTTGCAGATATATAGGAGGTAAATACAAGAGATCAGAGGTTATCATAGCTCCACTACTATATAACTAAGATAAGGTAAGTTATCAATCTGCCATTTATATCTCTTAAAATACATGAAGGCAAATGTACCTCATGACACCCCCTCATTTTAGCATGAGATGGGGCTTAAGGGGAGGGGTACAAACTTCATGACACCCCCCTCATGTTAGCATGATATGGGGCTTAAGGGAAGGAGGCTTAACAAGACAACATTGGTACTAAGTTTTTGGAGGACTGTCTATTCACGGGTAGTATCTAAAGCCCCGCTATGATTTAGAAGTCGCGAGCAAATACCCGCTGAAATCGCGAGCAATTAAAAGAAAAGAAGGGTTATCTTTTGTTTACTTAAATTGTATGTTATAAAAAGCGTTTTCATTTAATTTTACTAAATTATTACATGGTATTGATACTAAAAAGCAACTTCTGCAAAAAAGGATCACGAGCTGATGTTCTGAGTTTTGTTATTCGATAATTGGAGAGAGAATGTATCATCTTGAATCTTTATCTATATATTTCTATATTTTATAGCTGAAGAAGGTCATTGTCCTTCAGTTGAAATGGTCATAGTAATATGAAATGAAGGTATTGTGAGTTTCACTTCCTAAAGTTTCACGAAAAATTATATATTTCAATTTTAGCATATCCCTTGAGGCCCCGCTTCTACCATGAGCAATAAACTAAAGATCCCGCTGAAAACATGAGGAGGCCCCGCTGAAAACATGAGGAGGTCCCGCTGAAATCAGGAGCAAGTGGCTCTCTAAAATGGAGTGAAGACCGATTTGACTTTGCAAATCTGCCTGTAGCCAACGTAATAAATATATTAATTATTGATACTCTACAGAGCACATATATATCATATATCATTGTCATTGTTATTATCGGTTCGAGCAACCCCCCCCCCCCTTACCAAAAGCTGGCTACAAGCATGATTCCAATAAAACCATTTCACTTAATGTATTTCGACCTGACTCCATCGAGAAATTTACCAAGAGAAGATTTAAATCCATTCCACGACTTTTGACAAGTTTCAAATAACTCGTTCTTCTTTGTATGCAATATATATTTATATTTCACTGAAGTTACATTATACTGTAGATCAGTATATTACTACCTTAGAGGATTCAGCACCAATGGCGCACACGTTTGAAAAGGCAATTTATGGATCAACTGCTAGATGTAAGTAACAAAGGAGTACATCATCCGATTATGAGTCCGAAATAATAATAATCAAATAATTTCATCATTAACAATTAATAGTAGGTTAAGTTAAACGCACGTGTTACGCGGAAAACATGATGCAAATATTTGTCATATTCTGCAATAAATATGGCATATTCACTTGCGGTGTATGACAGATTCAGCTGCAGTATATTGCATACCCACTAAGCAATGAGAACACGATACAGAAGTACGCAATTGTCAATTGCATTGATTGAACAAACGGGTAATCATTGTGTCATTTTCACCTGCGGTATATGACATATTCGGCAAGTGAGTATGACATATTCTGCAGGTGACTATCAGGTATTCACTGAAATCAATGTATCACATATTCACGGCGGAATATCGCATACTCACCTGCGGAATATGCCATAAACTGCAGGTGAGTATGGCATATACTGTATACCCGTATCACAAATACCACGCAACCATAAATGTATGCCATACTCCGCGTAACATCGTATGTGTTACGCGGAATATGGCATTATTCATGGTTGCGTGGTATTTGTGATACGGATGTATATGCCATATTCAGCTGTGGTATATGGCGTATTCCGCAGGTGAGTATGGCATATTCCGTATTGAATATGTGATACCTTGATTTCAGTAAATACCCCATGCTCGCAGAATATGTCATACTCACTTGCAGAATATGCCTTACACCGCAGGTGAGTATGCCATATACAGCAGGTGAATCTATCATACTCCACAAGTGAATATGCCATATTCATTGTGGAATATGACATATATTTGAATCGTGTTTACCGCGTAACAATATGTCCAGGAAAATGGCTTATGCAGGACATACGATTTATATGTCCCGTATCCTCGTTTGAGCGGGACATACGAAAAATATTTTCCCGGATATGGAATATATTCCCCGGTTGATATGTCCCTGAAAATTATCAGGTATGGAATACAAATCATCATTATTTTAATAAATAAAAATTGTTAAATGTTATTGTTAAATTATAAAAGTAGAACCTGAATTATCATGGAGACTTTGTGGTTCTCCTTTCTCTCTAAATTTCATCTTCTTGCAACTTGGGGTGTCTTTGTTTAATACAAGACTCATTACCCTGAACCTCAGGCTTCAATTAAGTTCATTCTTGAAATGATATCCACCTTTCTCCTATACATTTTGATATGGATGCAACTCTTTAAAATGTTCGACGAAATCTCTGGTGGCTTGAAGTTGGAATGGAAACATTAGAAACCTGGCCCTAGAATGAAACAGTATATATACAGTAATTATTAAAAGTACTTAACTTGGTCTTTCGTGTACGTTTATTTGAAGAACCTCAATATTTTATGTAATAGTAATGAGCTTTCCTCGTGATCGAAGCGGGTACTCGTGATATCTGCTCCTGTTTTCAGCGGGACCTCCTCATGTTTTCAGCGGGGCTTCCTCATAATTTCAGCGGGGCCACTGGCACACCTTCAATGATGTATTTCACCCCCCACAGTGGATGTTTTTGAAAACAAACTTATCAATACATACAATGTTGGTCCAATATTCATAATGAGGTATGTATATCGTAGTTCTTGTCTCTATTTTAACCATAAAAGTAATATGTTAACAGTAAATTATGCAAACGTGCATATTGACGCCCGTTTCTTCCATGCCAGTAAAAATAGTTATCTTTCATGTCATTGTTTGTGAAGATATACCTGTTCTGAAAGTATACCTAAAGTATCAAAGAACAGTAATGCGTAGTCTTACCTTTTTGGTCCATATTTCCAGATGAATTAAATAAAAAGGACTTTGCTCGTGATTTCAGCGGGAACTTGCTCGCGATCTCTCAATTATAACGGGGCTTTGGATACAACCCGTGCTATTGGGGCACTGAATTCAATGGTCTCCAATTTTCTTATAATGTTATGATGTGCTGCTATACAGTATCATATACCGTATTATCCCTATTAGATGCACATACTCCAATAAAAGCACATAATGCAATACCCTATTTTTCTGTGAACGAATTTAGGCAACTTGAGTGACATAAATAAAACATAATTCCCAAAAATTGGTGGATAATAGGTTTATATGATATCTTTAACAGGATGAGTTAAAAGCTATAATGAATATTAATTCTGAACACAGTAATCGTGGGTCACCATTTGACACTCTCAATGCATTATGGAAGTTTCAGAGTCAGAAATATTTCTCTACATTTTCCCACACAAAGAAACAATTGTTCCTTTTCAAATGTGTAGTATTATAATATGATTAAAAAACTTTTAATTCAGATATTTTCTCTTACTATGAAGACCAGTCAGTGAAAGAAAACCTTTACTAATAAGATCTTGACTTGGGTATTGCCGTATATTTCCAAAATGGTAGCCTGCTTAAACAAATGGGAAGAGAATATTTTCATTGATATTGATGTATATATGCTGATGCATGAGGAAAACATCAAGGTGTGTCCTTCTGTTACTGTATAAGTGGTATTTAATCCGAGTGGTTAATTTTTCGAATGGTCAAATTTCATCATTTTCCTAATTTTAATTTTCCTAATGACAAGAAACCTCCCATTGGATAACATTATCAAGACAATATTTCCGACATTTAATTTTCCGAACCTGGCAAAAATTAGGAAATAGGCAAATTAAATGATTAGGCAAAATTACCACTTATACAGTATTTAGTTGGACTGAGTCCAGTTTTAAGAAGGAAATTCATGTTTCACCTTATTCTCTCCCATATATTTCTTGTATGGTAGAAACACTGCACATTTAATGGAGAGAATATACGTCACAGTGGATGATTTGAGAGTTGTGTGTGTGTGTGTGGGCTAGTCATTAGTCAAGATGGTGTTCCAACTAAGCCTATTTTATTATTAGCTCCTACTTGATTTTTATCTCCCCACTTAGTCAAACTTTATAAAAATAGCATATCGACTTAATTTACTAGTTTCTTACTCTGTTCTGTCGATGTTGTTGATTTTTACATGGGGAGGCCTGTCTCTAAACGTCATTGCCTCGCGAATAGTATCTGTAGCATTGATCAGAAAATTTAGCTCCAAAACATGTAAAGTTTACCATTTCTAATTCTATATACAAATTATGAAATCAGGCATTTATCCAAATGTTTTGCATGTTAAAGCTGGACTACGCTCCGAAACGCAATCTTGGGTTGTTTCGGGGGTGAACTTTATCATTTTGAGCTTAATGAAAGATTATAGAATGATGAACAAATGGGGCAAATCTTGTGTAGAAATACTTACGATAAATGTGTCATTTCAAAGATTTTTCATTGAATTTGCTTCGATCGGTGCCGGCGATATGATTTTGGAAAGGTTTCTAAATGAAGAACGTGACGTCACTTCCGAATCATAGCATTCAAAATAGTAGCGTTTAATTACTTACTCCTTTCATAATAATACGGTGGTGTAGCGGGTAGAATCCTCGCTGAGCACGCGGGAGGCCCGGGTTCGAATCCCGCATTAGCCTTTTTATTTTTTTAACTAAATGATTGTTCTTTGATATTACGCAGAAAAAAACAATTTTTATTTACATAAACTTTATATTAGAGCTTGAAAATGTAAAAACAATATATGTCAACATATTGCGTTTTGGAGCGATGTGCAGGTTTAAGACCAGGTTGAGTTTTGGAGATGTGTACTACAGTGTACATGTTCTTTGCAAGGCAAAGATGGTTTGATCAGAGTTTCAGAAAGCTCAAGTCATGTCAATACAATCATTTTCTGAAATCAAAATTTTAATTTTATTATCCCTTTAAACATGGGAATAAAAATAGTACACGTTAATTCATTGTGAACCAATATCAGAAAGTTCAGAGAAAATGGCATAGCTACCAACAAGTTAAATAATTGTGGAATTATCTGTTGTACTTGATGACATTTTCTATTTATGGTTAAGCAGTATTCATTTCTGTTTTGATTCATGTATCCAGAGATGAACTGCTGAATAATCCAGAAAGTTAGATTTGGATGTTATTAATATAAGTTCCGAGTTATTTGGTACATATTTTACTCGGCAAGTATAATTTTCCATTTGATCGTATCACATTAACTTCTGAATTTCCCTGTTTTTGAATATTTTCATGATGAATTATGGAAAACATTGTAAATGAGAACACCAAACATAAATGTGTTCACAATAAAGGTGTTCTCTTTTATTTAAGAATTTGTGATAACACTAGACATCTAAGAATGGTACCAGAAAGTGTTCATATATCTACATTTTCTCGTTTATTATTTTTTAAGATTAGACATACACATCAAACTTACTGCACATGTTACCCTGCGTGCAGAGTCTAGTTAAACTACACTCTGCCTAGTAGAGACCATATTACAGTTAAGTAGCCCCGCCCCCACGACGGGTACCGCCTTGTACCGGTGACAGTTTAGGTAAATCACTTTTGACCTATGCGCTGACCTAACACACATCAGCGAGCTTAAAAACATACGCCAAATGCGTTCTAATTAAATATGCGCATGTCATTGGTCAATTCCGGGCTCAACGATGACGTCAGAAGGAATGACTATATAAAGAACGTCGGTCAAATTTGGCCGACGAACACTAATTGGCGCGGTGAGTTCACAGGTTTATTTTAGTTTGAAAGAGTGAAGACAAAGCTCTCTTTTAAGAAGTGAAGTCAAACGAATGCAAAGGGTATGCACATGTTATGGTTAATCCCAAATATTGTTTCACAAATTGATATTAATTTTGATCTTACTCATTGATAGATGTCTCTGGTTGACTTTGATGTAACAGATACAGCCCTGTCTGAGTCTCAGAGGCCTACTATTCCAAATGGTTTACCTATCGTGGTATATTTTCTAAAAATTGATTTGATGTATTTTGATAGTCATCCCAAGTTTGAGGAAAAAGTACTCAAAAATGCAATTTGCGTAGTTGGATTAATTTATTCATGATTCAAAATATGTATGGAATCCTTGCTTTAACATACTTAATACACGACTATTCTGTTTATAAATACATATATTGTGACATGATATCATCAAAAGGGCAGTGACACCAGAAGTCAGATTAAAACCTGTTGTTGCGTTTTATTTTATGTTTTATAAATATTCCTTGTAAATGTCGAAACGCCTCTTACAACTTAGAATTTTAAGGATATACAAACCCATTTGATTATCACCAAAGTTAGCTGTTGTTGTTGTGTCAACTTACTGATGAATAGGTTTGTTGATTTAAGTACCAGAGACTGTTGGAGTATGAATATAAGTTTGAAAAAATATATATTTGCACTCTCAGAAAGGCTAGAGCTCTTAAGTGCTAGGGTTAAGATTTTTTTAGAAGATGTAAAAGAACGGAATACAGGTTTTTCTCAATCTAAAAATCTTGCGAAGTTTGTTTGATAAAATACACATATTTCTCTTAATCTGAGATATAGTTGAAATGAAACCAGCATATGATCTAATACAATACTTAAAAGATGCAGTAGTTTGAATTTTTTGGATGCTAAACACTTCATTCTTTCACCCAGCCTTAATTCAAATAATGAAAAAGAAAAAATAGCTCATGATAAAAGAAACTTTGATGCAGTACCAAGTATCCAGGGCATTAATCTTTGTACTTATTTCTAAAATTGTTATCATATTAGTGAGTTAAGGATTTAGGATTAGGATTTTATAGTTAATTAAACATAAGATTGAACAGAGAAGGTATTTGGATTTTTATGTGATTGCCAAAAACAGCTAAACCATTAACTAAATGATTTCATGGTGGTCTTAATTTTCATAATTTTCTTCTTGTGCATATAATCAATGCAAAATAAGGTCATTTATGTATTAAATGTGTAAATAGTTCATTTCCTTGATTAACCTTAACCTTATATCACTGGTTTCATGATATGTGAATTTTAATCATCATATTTTGGCAAGTAAACAGTCACTTTAAGTGAATGCTGGTATTCAGACTGATTTCATGATAGATTAACAATGTTTGAGAACCATATAATCATGTTATGTTTTTTCAGGCAAAAATAGTTTCTAGATTTTGTCTTATTAGTCTTAATGTTTTCATGTAGCAAAAATGTGAATGCTGCAGGGCTAGCTAAGAATGTTCACAGAGGTGTGACCATTAAACCATAAAATGGGAAAAATGGGGTATCCAAATTATGGGACTGAAATAAAAGCATATACCCAATGTTCACATAATATGCAGGTTTTATATATACGCTCGTATTAACATGTTTTGAGTATATTGAATTAAAAAATACATGTACATGTATCATGTTTTCAAATCCTTGCTGTAGTGAACACCTTCCAACAGTGAACATTTTTTCTCGGCAAAAAAGGTTCACTATACATAGGTTTTACTGTATTGAATTTAGAAATACTTATATTAACTTACATAAGGTTTTACTCTGGGTTTACATTGTTTAAACCCACATGATTTGTCCTCAAAATAAAATGAAGTCGATGAACCCTGTGGTACATTTTGCTCCATTTATATGATTTCATTTGGTTTATGAATTTCAGATAGAATGGCCTAACGATAAATGATCTTTATGCTAAGATACCTGGATCTTAATATTGACACGATGACCTGAATAGATACCAAATCAACCAAGAAGAGTTGTCACACAGGAGCGACATTAACTATCATGGAACGGAACTTGCAGTAAGCATTCAAAATGTCCGCTATACGCAGGTAAGTCTTCGTTAAAGTTGAATTGTTATGTTTTTTTTCTTTAAAATGATAATGATATTTCCTTGTTTCTTTTTCAAATTTATTTTGTACAAGCATAACTTGAATAAGCAAGGAAAATGTGAATATTCTAAAATGTATATAGAATTGTCAAAAAATAATATTCAGTAAATAAAAACCTGTAAAGTGAACCATGTTTTAAATCACTACAACATGCTTGTCAATGGAATATCCAGAAAATTGACTGAAGTGTTTGTATTTTGAGGTGTTCACATACAGTGTTTTACAAAGCAATTTGCACATATATAGTGTTTCATATACTTTAAGAAAGCTGAAAATAGAAAGGTTTTGGCATTGCTAGATCTGTGAGTCAGTTGAGATTTATTTATTTTAACTATAGAAAGATGTCACTCGATGTCATTCTACAATACATATAGCTGTTCCTTTATGATTCATAATCTAGGATATTATCACATCAATAGATAACATGCTGGTAGAAATGATCTGAATAAGTCACCTGTTGGTGAGACTGGTAACTACGGGCACATTGGTAATTATGGAGAATATACTAGACAGGTCTTGGGGTCTGTTATCAGAACACTCTTAATGTGAACACCAATCCATGTAGTTTTCAATTTTAGGTCACCGCCATAAGTGGTGACATATTGTTAGTCTCCCAACTTTTTTGTGGATGGTGTTTGTTGTTTGGCGGTCAGAATTTGGCATCTAACAAATGGCAGGTGGTGACAATTTATATGTTAATGCCTTGTTAAACAATCCATGCATGTACTTTTCTGTACATATGTAAATGTTTAATGTTTCAGGTATATGCTAAACCATGCATGTATTTTACTGTACATATGTAAATGTTTAATGTTTCAGGTATATGTTGGGTTGTGTAAGTAGTCGTGGTCATGAAACTCCTACAAGAAACACATTGCCCCAGACACAACAGAAACCTATCAAGTAAGAAATTTCAGTTTTTTTTCATGATACATGTATATACTGGGGTTGTCCAAAAAGTGTTGAAATTTTTGCTCTCATTTCACCAAATTTTATCTATCCTTGCTGAAACCATGGGCATTCAATAGATTGAAAGCCCATGCTGAAACTTGTATATCGGGGATTTATTTTTGTATATTTTTATTGATGATTTTGCCTTTTGTATTTACTTGCCTGTTAAGTAATGGCTGGGCTGCTTAAAGGAATATTCCTTGCCAAACCATCTCTCTCCTCATATGGTAGCTAGCTATAACCATATATATGCTTGCCATGTTTAGCAAAACACGCAAAAATGTTTTGATATGGTCAAATTTGATCACTTAGAAATGTGATGCTCAATTCCAGTAAGCTGCCATCTTTTAAAATTTCACACAGGAAGTGATGTCATTGACTCTCAACTTTGCATATAGCATTAGGTGAGGAGCTATTAAGAATTACAAAACCAGCTAAATATTCTTTTTCAACTTTGTATCTTATTTAGTCCTTCTGAAAATCTCTTCTTTTATTCTAAGTTGACAAGCCCTGAAAATATTTTTGCACAAAAAGTAATGATCACTTGTCTAGAAGTGATTTTGTGCTACTTTCCTATTCTGTTATGGGCAAGGTTATAGAAGTTGAGAGTTGATGACATCATTTCCTGCAAGAAATCTTAAAAGATGGCAGCTCACTGGAAATAAGCACTAGATTTTTAGATGATCAATATTGACCATATTAAAACATTTTCCCATGTTTTGCTAAATATGGAAACTACATATATGATTATAGCTACCATATCGAGAGAGAAAGGGTCTGGCAAGGAATATTCCTTTAATCCCCCTGAATTTCTTCAAGGAGGCCATCATTAATATTGTGATATCTCAGAGTGATTTTATTCAGATCAGTTGATCTGAGCATTGAGTGATGAATATACATGTATTGCTGGAGTTTTGAATCAATCAGAAACATGTTTACAAGAAAACATTCATTGTGATGCCAGATATTCTTAGAGCTCTTCAAGTTGAAGTAATGCAGTATAGTGTGAAAACTTTTGTATGGTGACTCACTTCACACAGAAGACCAAGGGCTGAGATGGTTCAGTCTAGCATGAATTGATGAAAAGAAATAATTTGGATAACAGAATGTTTAGTTTCTCTTCTAATTGAGATGCATAAAATCAATATGATCATGTTATTTTGTGTAAAGTACTATCAATATATACAATAGTATGTATGTACAATATGTATACAGTGATACAGAGCTCTGGGTTTGACTCTCTTTAGTGGAGTGTTCTCTTTTTTACAATTTTGACCAAAGTTAGATTTTGACCAAGAGGTTTTAGGAAAAGGAGATAAATCCCTGGTTAGTTCTAAACCAAATTTTTAAAATGATGAGTAGTATGATAATTACGTTTTGTTAAGTAGGATTTGCTACATATGGAGTTGCTGTTTTTCTAGTTTTAAATTATCAAGTGGGTGTTGCGCCCCCACTTGATTCAGTGAAGAGGAGACCCGCGAGATGTAATATGAATAGTATGTGCTAGAATCTACATCATCTTGTATTGATTTCTTCATCAAATTGCAATGGCAAACACTAAGCATGAGAACTCAAAAACAATCATGTATTCTACTAATTATCCAATAATTTGATGTAGAAATTTTACATACTTTGGCTTTTGATGTTTGCACTTTTGGGATGTTCCTTGGATAAAATGATCAACATTGAAACTGTAAAATTGTCCATCAAATTCATAGAGTAATTATGACTACTTGTTTCAAGGCCCCGGGGTAATTCAAAATGGAAACTAGAATGGAAAAAGGGTGGATTAGCATGAATTATAGTAAGTTAACACAGAATAATAAAAAATATCAGAGCGTTAAATACTCCGTTTACGATTTAAAGGGAAAAGTAGAATATATAATATGTACGGCCTTGGGGGATTTTTGAATGTTGTAAGATGAATAATATTGTTTGCTGTCCTTACTGAAGGAATTGTAAAAGGGGAATGCCTATTTTCCCATTCATCAGTTATTCCACCAGGAGCTAAATTGACCTTCAGTGAACAGTGTTACCATACACCTGGGACAGTAAGTCTATAAACAAGTGAGAATATGGATGAATAGAAATGGATCAAATCAGGAAATTAGGTCTGAATGAAAACTGGAAATGAATGCATTTAAAAGACGTAACATGATGTATTTGTTTGAAAAATGCACTTTGCATTGTTTTCCTTTTCAAAAAATGGAAAATAAACTAGAAAATTCTGCTTCACACACATCAAAAGAATCAATTTGACATAACAAGCATGTTTCGTGTGATCCTCCTTTAATTATTAAAATAATAGAAATCCTATATCTACTCTTATTGGTCTCTTGCTTATTAAACAATTACAATTTATGATTAATCTACATGTAACATCAGAATGCACAGAAGGCAACACTGGGAAAATGATAAAGGTAGAGATTTAATAACCCAGATGGCTAGGTAGCTAATTCGGGTCAGATAACATGGAAAATATAGTAAAAAGTTCCCTTTAACTTGAATATTCATCAGTTCTAGTGGATAAATTTGCATATTACCCCTATGTGTCTTGATAATTATACAAATGAAAGTATATCCAGTCAAAGAAGATATTATCTGTCTAACACAAGAAAAGATATATGACTTTTTGTGAATTTATAACATGTTGTATATGGGGATTCTACCCATTCTAAGAGCCACATTTTCATAATTTAGATGTTCCTTATTAAATAATTCATCCACTACATGTATGAATGATTATTATTAGCTCATGATAATAAGGATGATTCAATATCTTGGTTTCAAATATTTCTAACTGGCTATATTGGACCATGTAATCTCAGCCTTATGCATACAGGAAACAGTCAGCCACTACTATAACTTGATAGACCCATTTTGAGGTATGAACCTTATAAGCCTTGAACCTTATGGATAGTGATAAACCTTATGCGTTTCATAGCCATGTATACCCATCTTGAGTACCCAGAGTGATGAGATAATTCGTCGCAAAATGTTTCACTAAAATTGCTCTTATTTCAACAATTTTCATCCAATTTACACAAAAATTGTTTAAACACGACTTGAAATGATATCTGTCGTCTAATTTTACTACAATGAGCATCACCCGATTTTTGAACCTGAGATTCAAGAGGTTAAATAACATGTCCTTTATTCACTCCCTCAATCATTCTTATCAATCACTCCATAGCAGGACAAAGATGTGGTCAGCCAAATTGTTTTTATAGATATTGGGCAATGAATATTTATGAACAATTGAATATATTCTTGAGAATGATACAGTGTCGTTTTATTTCCTCTCATATCGATTATTTAGATTAAAATGAATTCAACTTTGTGTTTTACTGGCCATATTACCATTCAGAAACCAGGCATACGTGCTGGTATTAGCTACTTTTCACTTTTACATAATAGTAAATGTATCCTTTGTTTCAGATATTCACATTTCAAGGCTCTGGTACTTTAAATATTCACATTTTGAGGCTTCATCACCAGGGTTTTTACATTTTAAGAAAGATTAATTTCACATTTTGATGATGACCAGTCAATGACATTTCAGTCAAATGTTCAGATCTCGTGCAATTACAACTTTAAGATGAACTAATCGAGGAAAATTTCTGCATCTGTGGATCTGCCTGACTATTATATTCCTTGTTACTGTGTGTCGGTGATCGGTGAATTAATATTCAAGTTTTGGTCTATAGTTTTCCTCAAGGAGAAAATCTCTACAAATTCTACTGGCTGTAGAAGTTGTATCACATGATTAGATGTCCACTGTACCAGCCAATTAGGTTGTGTCTTTTATCATATAACATTAAAATTATGATGGGAGTACTGAACCTCCTGTGCAAATTGGTATAATAAGAAGAGCTAGAGAGCATTTGGGGAAAAGCATTAGAGAGGCTGAATGTGAATGGTGCATTGAGGTTAATTTCAATTATCTAAAGATTCAAACAGAATATCAAATTGAAACTAGAAGACATGAAATAATGAATAAAAAGCAAATTCAGTTTTAGTTTATGTAGGTGTTGTGATAAGATAATAATGTAGGATGTTCCTGAAGGAATGGATTACTGTATGAGAAAATGAGATATTTGTTATTCCAAGGATGTTTTGGGATTCTAAAAACTACTGTATGGGGAGAATAAAAGATTTATATATGTGTTTATGAACTGAAAGAGAAGCTTGAATTCCTAATTTTAGAAGTATGATATAATATTTAGCAATAGATCTAGAATATGGTAGATTACTGACTGGATATTATAACGCTAACTAGGATAGCCATAGATACAATGATAGGCATCAACACTAATTAAGATAGGCATACACATTAGAAACTAGGATAGGCATATACACTTACTAGGAAATACCTCGATCATTAACTAGGATCTCATAATGTCAACCATTAAACAAAGAAATGACAATCACCATAGTAACAAAAGAACTGGCTACTATGGTGACAATGCAAATGGTCGCTATAGTGATGTACATGATATGACAGAGGATTGTCACTCTACTTGCAGGGTTAGGTTTGGAGTACCAGTAGAAGAAGCATTCAAGGGTGGCATCATTCCAGAGGCTTTAGTGGTGAGTTGAAGTTTTCAGTTTTAACGTTTTTAGTAATAATTCTCACATTGTCAACATACCAGTGGAAGGAGAAGGAAACAATTCAAGCAAACTATAACCACATGTGTCGTTTGATTATTCCAAAATTTTGAGTAACCATATATTATATATATACCTATTATATACTTGTATTTTTTATTTATTTTTATGTATGATGCGAACTAGTGAGGCTTAAAAAATGTCCTTACATAACAGTTCATGTACTTCTGGTTTGCAGCCATTGAGTAGTTTTGAACTCATGACATGTGTATATTCTCTATAGTATTAGCATATCCTCTTAAGGGAGTAATGACCACAAAACCATATTAAAAATGCAATATTTAAAGACATGGTGTGATAATAATGGAAGTATAATTAGAATACATCACCCCCATTGCTCCCTTGTGGCGACAATTCATCATATTAACATGTTACCCTTAGAAATAACCTAGCCAATACACAATTCTTGAAAAATATTGTGGAATATTTTGTTAATCTGTCATTCCACATTAAAACTCCCATCAGTAAGGGGAGAGGGTTAGGGTTGGTGATTTAAAGGAACTCATTTTTGTAACTATCACAATTTTTATGAATTATATTCTATATATCATATTATAGAGACAATTGAAATGAATAGAGGATAGTATAAAGGATCAATATATCAAAATAGACTTCAAGCTCGCTAGTGAATGGAGTCAAAAATAAGGAAGAATTTTGTCTTTGAGGATTTATATTTATACAATGCCATTTTTTTCTAAAACGTTTATACAGTCTTGCTTATTCAGTTATATGTGTCTAAAATCTTGGAGTGACTTGTTTTCTGGGATTGTAGTATAGTAAAACCTGTCTTTAGTGAACACCTGTCTCTAGTAGACACCCTTTCTCTGCACATTCTGACTTCAGTTTAAATTACCCTCTCTGTAGTGAACACCTACCAACACTGAACATTTTTTCTTTCAAAAAAATGTTCAATATACACAGATTTTACTGTACTGCTATATATCGAGTACTCTTATTGTATTAATTCCGCTTCACTCTTTTTGCGTTTGAATGAGGACCAAACTGCTTCTTTTGTCCCTGTTCATGAATCATCTCTTGAGGTTTAGAATAAATTGGCAATAGTTAGAGACCAGAATATTCTACTCCATTATATGCTGTCTTGATATGGTCAATCTTCTTTTTCCAAGTGGTTATAGGAAGCATGTTTTTTCTTTCTATTCATTCTGTTAAAATTACATCATTTACAAATTCTGAGAAAAATCAAGTTGTCCCTTATCATCATATCAGATGTATGTGATGGAGCAAAAATAATACAAAATGGTTGTACAAGAAAGTTTCCTATGGGGAGTTGTATTTTGTAACTTATGAATCAGGCTGCCAACTTCCATTACCAAAATGAGTTAATGTCCCATGTGTAAATACTGACATACTGACACTTTACATGGGACCTTTAACTCTTGTCTTCAAACCAGGGGATTTTGGAGGACTGGATATTATATTTACTCTTGACCATAAGACATCTTTTTCAAAATCTACGGAGACCAGAATATTCTGTTGTCTCCCACCAAGGCTTAAAGTATGTTAATTATTAGATTAAGTTTAGAATGAGAGAAAAGGGCTGTCTTAAAAGTACATATTAGAAAGGATGCTTCATTTCATGTCACAGGCATTAACATGATTAATTAATGTGAATAAACACTACTAAACACTACCAGAAAACAACCAGATATTTTATGGGAGGGGGTGGGGTTGTATATGGAATGTCAGATCATTTTGAGTGAAATCATTTTATTGACATTGGTTTCATCCTATAATTACAATAAAAAAAATATATACATATATATAGTTTGTCTATGTATCATAGCATATGGATATGAGACTGATAAATGATTTTCTTAGTATTATACAGATCTCCATAAGATCAGAAATATCACTGGCTGTTATTGTACAGATTACACAATAGTCATTGGATAAAAAGGATGAAAATTTATTGTATATGGTATAGGAGGCATGCAGATATGTTTTTATGGAATAAGAGCTGTGAAAATATGGTATTAGACATCTGAAAAACTGTATGTTGCATAAGAGAAATGAAATATATTGTATATGGTACACCCCCAAAATGCAATCTAATTTTCGACGCCATTTCGGTGCCAATTTCGGTGCCGTTTCGGCACCAAATGGATTGACTAGTCCGGTGGCAAATTTTGGTGTCGAAAGGTTTCGGTGTCGAAACGGTGCCGGAACAGCGCCGAATTTTTTCGATGTCGAAACGGCACCGAATTATATTGGCTGTGTATAAGAAAAAATTGTTAATTGTTTCAGAAACTACTAGCCTACATTGCCACAGAGGGTATGACAGTCTCCGATCTGTTCAGAAGACCAGGAAACCCTATAGATGTGAAAACTGTCTCATTTAAACTGGCCGAGGGAAAGCCAGTAGACTTTACAGAATACAATTTCTATACATTAGCATCAGTTGTTAAAGTAAGTGAAATTTTTCCTCTTGCACTATTGTAAAAGCTTGAGAGAATGAAATATACTGTCAAGTGTTCTGGGAGGAATATAGACTCCATATAAGGATTGTAGGAGGAACTGATGTTCTATATATGGTAAAGATACATAAGTCTGTTATGATAAGCATCACTCAAATTCATCATGCTTATTTGTACAACTCTTAACTGAATGAAATAGTAGAATGTGTTTAATTTTGTGTTATTTTTTGCAGAAATTCCTCTTGAAGTTGCCGGGGGGCATATTTGGGGAGGACACAGAACAAGACCTTCTCTCAGTCTTAGATCTCTCACATACTTTACAGAAATATGACGCCATTCACACGTAAGTTTCATACTCTACAGAAATATGACGCCATTCACACGTAAGTTTCATACTCTACAGAAATATGATGCCATTCACACGTAAGTTTCATACTCTACAGAAATATGACGCCATTCACACGTAAGTTTCATACTCTACAGAAATATGACGCCATTCACACGTAAGTTTCATACTCTACAGAAATATGACGCCATTCACACGTAAGTTTCATACTCTACAGAAATATGATGCCATTCACACGTAAGTTTCATACTCTACAGAAATATGATGCCATTCACACGTAAGTTTCATACTCTACAGAAATATGATGCCATTCACACGTAAGTTTCATCGCCACAGAAATATGATGCCATTCACACATAAGTTTCATACTCGACAGAAATGTGATATTCACACATAGGTTTTAATTCTACTGAAATATGACATCATTCACACATTAGTTTCATCAGGAAAAAAATGTTTGTACTTAAATATAAAGTATCATACCTAGAAAATTGACACCATTTGCACATATGTTTCATTAAACTAAATTACATTATATTTTAGGATCATTGAGGGACTACCAACCACTGTCCAATATTTCCTCTCCCTGCTATTTGGCACATGGTTCCGTGTGATTAACCACTCAGAATACAACTGCATGACGGCAGAGGCATTAGCGAAGAGCGTGGCAGGAAGCGTCTTCCACACATGTGCTGATGACCCTCAAAAGGTTGACCGTGCAGTGCAAGTTCTCCAAATCCTTATAGATAATTTCGGAGTTGCGAATATGTTTGGAAAGAAGAATATCCAATATTTTGCCGATATGACTCAAACCGGTATAAGGGTACAGGAGAAGTTCAGATATGAGTATCGTTACCCATCAGATGCTTCAGTTCCTCGTAAGTATTTTGATTGGCTGTTTGAATCTACGCACTGCATTCATGTTGCATTTTGATTTTTGCATGAGGTTAATGTTTTAGTATAGTTTGCATGTATACAATGTATTTGCATGTATACAATGATGTTGACTTATTCAAATCTTTTGTAAAAAATTGTGCATTTTGATATCACAGTACAGCGTTTATTTTGTTAAATGGTTCACTTGAAAAAGCCAATCCCTGGTTTCACAGGCTATGTTTAAATATGCAATGTACTATAGAGTGATTAGGCCTTTACAAATTAATTGGCTGTTTAGCAGACTTACTTGACAAATTGAACTGAGGCCAGTTTTTATTATTATTATTAAGAAGATGAGTCAAAAATTGCTAGAAATGCAAGAAATTTTTTTGACAAGATTGGGAGGTTTTAGAAAATCAGATGAGAACTGCTAAACAGAAAATTAGGCCCATAGATATGATTAATTTCAATAAGGTATTCATTATTTCTATACACAGTCTGTAAATATGTATGTGTAAATAGTAAAACCTGTTAAGTGGAACACCTCTTGACAGAACTTTTCCATATGTGGACACTTGTCAAAGTCCCATGAGCCATTGACTTCATGTTAATTGAACCTATAATAGTGGAACATGTCCCGCTAAGAAGAACTTTCAAATCAAATGGCAATCCCCTTATACAGGTTTTACTGTATTTTTATTCATAAATATTTTCATTATGATTTTTATTCAGGGTTTTGGATTTTATTTTTGCAGTATTGTTTTAACATTTTCTTTCTTTTACATACTAAGTGAAGGGATGTGTTGCAAGGGGATGGTGGATCGGAGCATTGTTTTAAGGGGATGATGGGATCATTGTGTTGTTTTAAGGGGATGGTGGGATTGGAGCGTTGTTTTAAGGGGATATGTTTCGAAAGGAAAATGGGGGATCTTACATTGAGAGGTAGAATGGGGATGAGTATTTTAAGAATGATAATTGAAAACTATAATTGTTGAATATTGCAAGGAAGACAAAAAATGATTTAATAACTTTACATACTGGTTAGGTCCAAAGTCATTAGAACTGTTTGCATCAGTTCTCGAGAAAGAGGCAAATAAGTGGGGATTCCGTCCAAAGTTAACTCCTGGTAAGGTAATATTGAGAGCTTTATAGGCAGCTTATGTACTTTATGTGCACCCCTGTGTGTATGTATACTGCTATATAATCTCAAAAAATGTGAAGTAAGATTCATGGATTCATTTGTTTTGTGATATCACCATGCAAATATACGTTAGACAATCTTAAAAACAATGTGAATTCATGAAAAAAAATTGTTTTTGTAATATCCCCATGGAAATATCATATAGACAATTGAATTAAACAGATTCACTACACATGTATTTACAACCCTATCGGCTATAGTAAATGCTTGTAAAGCTGCAATCAACATGGGTACTATCCAATATCATGCTGTGAGTGTGCTTGTTGCTTCCTAAGTGAAGGACCACAAATATATCCTAGTGAGATCCTACAAAATCACAAGTTAACCACAATGAGCACAGTAGGGCAAGGTTTGGATAGTATTCATGAATCAGCCATGCATGCAGCAGCTACCTTGCTTTACTAATTAAAACCTTGTATGATTTCTTGAAAACCATTTTCTGAAGAACTGCCTTGTATATGATTTGTCTGATTTTGCTTTTTGTTTTTCCCATGTTGCATCTTATGAATTTTGTATGTTTATCCAGTCGCTCATTATAGTGCTCCATAATAATAAGCTTAGATGATTAACTTAGGCCTTATACACATTGGCTTGCAAAATTGTCCCAGAATACCACTTGCTTTGCTCCATCTTGTATATACAAGATTTGACTTGCATTTTGCATACTAAAATGCTTTATTGTCAAAACAACATAATCTGAAATGACATCTAATTTACTGTGTCAGCTTCAAGTGAAAAAGCTTGTCGTAGTGTATTCCTAATGATTTCTTTTTGGGGAATAATTTTCTTGATTTTGATTTGAATGATTGTATTTTACAATTTATTATAAGCTTAAATTAGTGGATATCTAGTGATATTTTTTGTTCCATAGTTAGATCATGCCTAACAATTCAAATTAAACCTTCCAAAATGACTAATCAGCCATTGTTATATTCGGAGTAATTTTGAGTCAAATAGGTTCAGTTCAGTGAATTTGCTAAAATATGATATTTTTCACGAGTTACAAAAAACACTACATGTATTTTTATTTTGGCATAATATCTTCTGAATATCACAGTACAGTAACTACATATGAACTATGGAATAATACTTATATAGCTTACTTAATTACAGTTTAAATGAAAGAATCAATGCTTGGCTTCCACATAAGCACTCCTGATAGATTGATTTAGGATAGTAGCAATTCAGCTAATTTTATTTTACTCATTAAACACATGGTAACATTAAATCACATGATAATTTTTTATTTTAAAAAGTTAATCTTATGCCAAAGCATTAGATAACCTGAACTAACCTGAATATTCTTGAATGAAATATAAAGTACATTTCCAATTCAACTAAATTGTTTATAAGTTGATTATAATATGTCTTCCCATCCATACCAAAAGACCAATAAACCAAATCAAACACTTAGTTCAGTATTTTATCATGCAAAAGCTTTTTGGACACCAACTGTACTAACTATATTGTACACTGGCGGATCTAGTATGGCCTCAATTAGTGGGCCTTTTTGGGCATTATTTGTCCTTTATAGGGCCTTTTTAGGCCAAATTATCCAAAAGGTCCTTAAATTTTCAAAATTTGAGCCCACTTTTGGGATTTAGAGGCCCAGTGCTGTATATACTATAATTACTATTGTGCATTTAGTCAATACATCTATATAAGAATCCCTAACTTTAAAACGCCTTCGAGGAACATAATACAGCTCTATTAAGAACTCCAATTTGACTGCTCACAAGAGTTTATAGAGGTCTCAAGCCCATCTGTCAAAAAATTTATAAAAAAAGGAGTTCAACTCTGATGAACCTTAGTCTAGAACCTTAGAAAATAACTATATTAAAAACCCTCACAGCTCTTGAGTGAATATTTCACATTGTACTTAAGACTGCATTCTATTTTTCAGTATGTTCAGAAGAGGAACTCTTATGCTCTGGAAGAAGGGGACCCAAAGGCTGCTCTATGGATCGCTCAGACACAGATACCATTCCACGTATGGGACATCGGCCCCTAGAGCCCCGTAACTCTATCAAACAAATGGCAAATATGTCAACACTCTCGGCTCCAGAGATGTTTAACCCAAAGGTATAGACTATTATATTGCACTATAGTATAGACTATAACATTACACTGTTGTATAGACTATTATATTACACAACTATTATGCTACGCTGTAGTTTGGGAATTGTCTTCATGGTTATGACTGCCATAACATTTTTCTCAAACTAAATTTAGTTTTATAAAAGGCTTACCTCCTGTGTTATCTTCATAAACATAGTTTTATGAAAGGTTTATGAATCTCGTAAGACCTGCAGGTCAAAATTGATTAGGATTTCACTGGTCCCCACCTGGTTATGGTAAAAATTAGGATGGCGCCTATCTGGGGTGCCATCCAGTTCGTGATTTCAAAAATTCTTTTACCAATTTTAAATTGAAAGGCTTAAATACCACCCTTGTAATGGTCATTCCACTTCAATTTTTAATTCAAATTCTATTTAATATTTGTGGTTTTCATTTTTTTGTTACAGAGAAATCTCATACGGGGTGATCGGGAAAGTTCCCCACATGAACTCCACCAGTCCATCAGTTTAACCAGGTTTGAAAATGTCAAGAAAAAACAAATGGCGCGTATGAAGAGACGTTCTAATTGGTTCCTGATGGAGCCGCGTCCTAAACTGAACATGTCTCTTTTGGGGGATACCCCTGATCGAGAAACTTCTGTCGGGAAATCCTCATTGAACACTGCATCATCAGATATGTTAGCGTCTGACGGTGGAGAAGGCAATTTATCGGGGACGGAGCTAGAACATCAGGCATCGGACGGTGAGAGTGTCTTCACCGAGGATCATGATCATCATGAATTTCTAGATACACCAGCATCGGAACCTGCACGATCTCATCATAACACACAGGTTCATTGGACGGACCCAAGCCAGGGTATAAATGGCAAGAGCACGGATAGTTTATTAGAAAAACATTCACCGCCCAAGGATATTCGGTATGAAGATAGTTTGACTGAATCGGAGGTGCGTTATTACGTCGTGGATACATGGTACGGGAGTAAAGAGGACATGTTGGAAAATAGTGACGTCAGTCGAGAAGTATCGAGCTGAGGATTCAAGCAACTAGTCAAATGAAGCACACATTTAGGAATTTTAATTCACATCAGTTTTATCACAGAATACCAAATGTTATATCCACATTCTTGCAATGCTCATAATAGTACAGTTATACACTCAGTACTATTTCATGATCATGACAGAACAAATATGTATTATATACAGGGTGATACGCAATGTATATGGATACTGTAAATTTCTCATTAATTAACTACTGTGGTAATTCATATTATGTAAAGATAGGAAAGCATTTCATATGTTTGAGATTCAAGAATACTAGAACAGTAGATACAGGAATATCCAAACTACGGATATTTTTATATCTGAAACATGGGCACGGTGCCCATGTCAAGCTGCGCGCCTACTTAGGCGCGCAGTTTGTTTCGATCACAAACTGCGTGCCTAAGAACATTGGATCATTTAAGTTGGAGTCTGTATTTTGAAACGTTATTTAAAGACATTTATCCTGCATTGTTTTCTTGTTCAATACGTTCATTCTGTGGCGAATATACGAATCTTGCAAATACTAGCAAAAACTGTGTGCAAATGAATCTTAGTTTTAAAACATAAGCAGATTAATGGCATTTTCGTCACTGATTTAATGGGAATTTATACGTAAATCGATCTAGCACTTTAAACATAAATGACAAATACTTTAGACTCGTTTTATATTTAATTCCTTACACATTTATCATGTTTAATTCAAAATATTTCGAAATAAAACAGATAATCAGGAGATTAAAAAGAAATAAACCACAAACTGCGCGCCTATTTTAGCCAGAAATTACAATCTGTGCGCATACACTATTAAAACTACATATTATCATTGGAATTTCTACAGAGGTACGTGTATGTGTTCTTGATGTAGCTTTGGAAATTTTGCTTTATCGTCAGATTTTATGAGATTTTCATATTGAAAGTCAAAATGTATAATAGAAGTGACAATTAAGTTGGGAACGAAAAAAACATTTATTTTCAGATCACCATCTTGGTGGATGGACTCTCATAGTGTTTCAATTATGGGGTTCTACTATTAGACACATATGTGCCTTGTATGGCGCTTATGTTTTCTAATAATACAAAACAAGCTTGGATAAGCAAGCAGTTTTGAAATATTAGGCACGCAGTTTGGGAAATACATGTGAATATAGGCGCGCAGTTTGACAAGAAAAATGTTTAAATCACGTTTATGGCGTATTATCGTTTTGAACACAAACTTTGCTGTTTTAATCAGATTGAGTGATCCTATACTTTCTAGCATACACAGACACAATGGCTGAATAAACGGCAAATGACGATAAAAAGACATAGATATAACTTTACACTGTAAATTTTGAACACAGAAGTTACTTAAGACCCTTATATGAGATAACTAGGTTTACATCGGGAAAAACATTGAGTACTATGAGTAAATTAAGTTCATCTTCACAGAATGGTACTATCTTTAGAACGAGACTAACCTTGTATTTTTCGTATTTTGGCTCTTTTTGGGAGTTGTGTCCTCCCCGTCTCACATTTTGAAATATGCGCGCAGTTTGTCAGAGTTTGACGCTGCTTGACATGGGCATCGTGATGGGCATCTGCATATTAGTTCCATGGATGAGTGGATTAATGATATTGGATGTCATGTCCATGAAATTTGAGTATAGCTGCAGGGCACAGAAACAACATTTGTACAGGGTGCTAAAATAAATTGTATTTTTTGTACACCCTGTACAATTTCAATTAGACGGTAAAATTTTAAGCAATTTTGATTAAGAGTTCTAAAATGAAATCATTTCAAAAATTTGATTTCTTTATATAGATGTATATATAAAGAATACATTTACAGTGTGTGTGATCCTTTTAGTTAACGCCTCTTGGCCATTATAAGTACATGTATTTTTTATTCATCATTTACTCAAATGTATACTGGAATTTGGCATCAGTAAGACCCTTTAACAGTTTAAAGTGCGATTTTCATGAATTTCCAAACGGTTCAACTGAATTTTCAACCACATCCTCTATTGGTTGCTTTGATGCCATTAAGTTTAAAAGTCAATCTTTTGTTCCACTGAAATCCTTTGATGTTCATGCAATTTAGATTGTTGGCGCCTTTCCAATATAATTCTACTCAACTCTATTCTTAATTTCCAATATAAAAAATTACCAAATCAATTGGTGGGCTATTCAGAATTAGGTCTCTTGAATCTTTGGTCATTAGGAAGATTTTGGAGTTTACAATTCCTAAACCAATTATCGTAGCCATGTATATCAGAACATCATAGAAATAGAACAAAACACCTGGGAATTCTGAACTTAACGCAAGGTCCTGGCTATGATTTCCTCATTCCTCTGATGTACACATTTATTATTAAATATGAAAATATGTGCACAAACTGAAGATTTGGGATTTAGTTTTTTACTCTCTCTCTTAAACTACAGTGTAGTAAACCCTGTGTTTACTTAACATTTGGCACTGAAAGGGTTTTCTTTCATAGACAGTCTAATACAGAGGTCAGATGAGTTAAATTCCAAAAAATAAAGTTCTGATGTTTATGTGTTCATTAGAGGGTTGTTTGCTAATACAGGTATTGCTGTACCCATCAATGCTATTGGGTGATATGTACATCCCCCAATGTGTCGTATGTGACTGATTGTAATATCCAATATACCATTTTATTTAAAAGACTATTTTAAAACACTTCAAAAGTGTTTAAAAGATTGTACAAAGTGAAGCTACAGTACACATCAAAGTTCACAATATAAGGTACATATATATACATGATATCGTTGAGACAATCATTCTGAATTTGGATATATTCAGGTGAATTTTGACACATACTGTAGTACTTTATATCTTGCTTAATTTAAAATGTCATTTATCATTTATGGTCAAGCTTATTTTACTCTTTTCGCCCCATATTTTCAACTCCATACTTGAATGAATACAATGTTTGTCTTATTTTTTTTATATAACATTTTCAATTAACTTTAAAAATTAAAATACGGTACACAACAAATTCCTGCACAGCTGCTTTCTCCTTTGTTTTAAAAGTAGTGTAAAAGGCATGACATTTTGTCATATCCATCTCTCCATAAATTCCCTTTATCCCTTCTGTATTCCACTCGATTTCATTAAATTTTTCATTGAAAAATGACCTCATGACATTTTAAAAGTTGCTTATAAATCGATGTGATAATTCCAAGGCTTTGTACATATCATTGCTATATTGTATTACATTGCTACATTGTATTACATTGCTACACTATATTACATTGCTACATATTATTGCTACATTGCATTACATTTTACAGGAGGCCATTTCTCGAAAAATCGTTAATAGTGAATCGTGGATTCGTTTCTATGGACACCGCATAAATCATGGATAACGAATAAATCGTTAAAAGCCATGACATCATCGCGAATCGTTAACTTTTGAGAAGCGGAAAAATCGTTATTAAGAATTGAATTAACGATCCGTTAATAACGAAACTTTTGAGAAACGGCCCCCAGATTACTTACAAGTTAACAATGGTGTCCAATTAAAAATTGTCAACATTTTAGGAAGAATGAACTTAATTTTCTAGGGTGGAGATGGCAAATGATGATTTCGTAATCAGGTAATAGTGTTGATTTTTTGAAGATTCAAGTGAAAGACAAATCAACAATTTAAAAATGTCATTATATATGGTAGTGAAGAAAACTCGCACAGAACTCCACTCAATTTTTTATACATGTTCCCGGGCCCTATGGGGTAGTGGTAGTATCTGTTTTTTCCACAGATGTTGATAATTTGAAGTCAATGCTTCAACAAGTTTGTAAGGGATGGTGTCCAATTGCCAAAAATAAAAATTTAGTGTTTTTTAGAAATAAATGAAGATTTCATTGTGAAAGTCACGGAAATGGCAAATCATCATTTTCAAATATGTGGTTACATGAAGGATGAATTAGGGTAAAAAACATAAAGAAATTCACTTGATTGTTTCACAATTGTCAACATTAGACACCATCCCCAGAGTTATTCAATTTGACAATATTACAAGATCTATATTAGAAGTATCATATTGTTCTGGTGGAGGTCCTACGCAGACATTTGATGATTCATACACTCTATTGCACATCTTAAAGAAAGGGCTCAACCACCTTTCATTTATTTGCATGAGGTTAATTGCATCCGAGTTTTGTTGTCATGTAAGGGAACATCCTCCGATCACAGGGCTTCAAAATCCAGAATATATTCTTTCTTTTTACCCCCTGCGTTAAGTAGTTTGCATTTCCCCGATTAAGAACTCGCAATCTGATTGGCTGTCGCAACACTGCGACAGAAATCATGTATAAGTCATTGCGCATAATTAGATCACGTGATTCAGTTTAATCGGGCGCTTCCAAATTGGTTATAGCAGGGGGAAGAAGGAGGTACGAATTCTGGATACCTGCTTAGGAGGATGGTAAGGAAATGGAAATGAAACTGTGCCCTAAATCACTGTGCACAAACTGCATATGCATAAAGAAGGGCCTGAACAACAACTGAATTTTTATCATTTACTGAAATGAAAATCTTATTTGAAAAAATGAATTGATTTTGGTGTCTTAAGGTGGGACAAGTGGTAGCTGTTTATGTAAAAATTAATTCTACTCATCCCACCTAAATGATGGTTGTATCATTGTTGAATGCACAATTATTTGATACTAAGGCACACTCCATCTTGAAATTATAAAGCAAACATTCTCACCATTTGAGCTAACATTCTTCCAATAAACATTCAAAAAGAAATAACGAAAAACGCAACTCAAAATACATTCCAATGTAGGTTAGATGAGATTTTTAGTATGGTAATTCATTTTTTAATTTGTAGATATATTTTCTTTAAAACTTGGGGCCCATTGTCAGGGATACACTATCCTCTTGTGTTTTACCTTAGATTTAGAAATAACTAAAAGGAGGTGTTTTCCCACACTGCCACAGTGCTTGTCATAGTATTTTACCTATACTTGGATGTACATATTAATCATGGGATATATTTACCCATTTTGGATTTTAGTTTTAGTTTTTATGTTGCCATATTTTATACCTTGTGAATTGTGATACCAAAATTATGAATGTTCGTATATATATAAATCTATATATAACTGTATATGACCTTTTATGCTCATCACATACATGTACACTGTACCTGTAAAGTACTGTATCTATAAAGTACTGTACCTGTAAAGTACTGTACCTGTAAAGTACTGTACCTGTAAAGTACTGTACCTGTAAAGTACTGTATCTATAAAGTACTGTATCTATAGCCACATGCCTCTTACAGTCTTACCTGTAAGATGAAGTAGAATAAATGACAACCTGTTCCTGTATCTCAACTCATTTTAGTCTTCCATGTAGCCCTTATGCCCTCCTCCCCTGTACATCTGTAATCATTCGTAGGTAGAGTAAATAGGGGGGGGGGACTCAGAGACTTGAACCAAGACTAAAGTGTCAATTGATTTTAATTTGATTCAATGCATATAACAGTATGAACATTTTAACAAATGAAATTTTGCATTTTTGTTATTCCAATTTCCATTGTGTTGTTTCGATGCAATCTCATATTTTACTTCCTGTGATAGATGCTGTCTGTTTTAGTCGAACTTGCATATACTTCACACAGTTTGTGTTCCTACATGAATAGTACATGGACTACATATGAGCTGTACATGTTAAGTACATGAATTTAACATGAACTGTCGTCAGATCCATCGTGTTCATTGCTCTTTGAAACATTAGTATTGTGAGGAGGTGCTTTCCCATAGTTCATGGCTTGAATTATCTTAGGGAGACCTCCTTGCTGAAGTTATTATTTATCAATTCATGCAGTTGTCTAATCATTTGATAATACTGGGATACCCAAACTTAGAAGTTTGCATTTTTTGGTGTCACCTATGTATTTCATAATGTATAAAAATTAAATTGTTCTATTGTCTAACAGGTTGCATTGTTTATTTATAAGTGCCCTGTAATTTTATTCATGATCTTGTTCCCATGCTTGGTTCCAGACCAGGTCAGAGGGTAGTATTGATACTAGTCTCTGAGTAGAGGGTAGTATTGATACTAGTCTCTGAGTAGAGGGTAGTATTGATACTAGTCTCTGAGCAGAGGGTAGTATTGACACTAGTCTCTGAGTAGAGGGTAGTATTGATACGAGTCTCTGAGCAGAGGGTAGTATTGATACTAGTCTCTGAGCAGGGGGTAGTATTGATACTAGGCTCTGAGCAGAGGGTAGTATTGATACTAGGCTCTGAGCAGAGGGTAGTATTGATACTAGGCTCTGAGCAGCAGGAGACCATTGCATGTAAACCTTATACTTGTAACATTTAAACTTTCCAAAGTATGAAGGGAGTATAAATAAACAGGGACGCAAGATGTAGCAAATGCTTAGGTACGATTTAAGGCTTGGTTATTGGATGGTTGGACTGTAAACATGATAGTTTACAATGGTGTACAGTGTAAACAATTACATTTTATATTGCCCTCTTGCTTGATGTTATGCCGTGAAAACTAGAAATATAGAAAACTACAAAAAGAGTTTCATTTGTTATTTGTTCTCAATAACCTGATAACTTCTTTAGCTCCCAACATATTAAAGGCGTACGAATGCTTTCTCCAGCAACTCAAACATGGTCTCTTCACAACCAAGGCATGCAGTTGTCATCACCTGCCATTTGTTACAGATGCCACCCCCAGACAGCACCCACATAAAATTGGAAACTATAAAAATATGTCGCCATTTTTGGTAGCACCATAATAAATGAATCAAACAAGACATTCCATTAAGTAGCATTTCTATGTTTTATTACAAAATAATTTAAAGAGGATTTTTACGAAGTACATGTATTCCTCAGGTCACTGAGTAATATTCTCTCGGTTATCACCCGTTGCTACTTCCACACTGTATTATATCAACAATGTGCGAATCAATGTCAATACTGTTGCCATGGCAACAGAAACAAAAACATTTGATATGATATATGACACTTGGATTGAGTTAAGTCTACATTATCATGGATGGTCTTACATTAACTTTGCTTTATAATAGCTTACATGTTGTTATCATTGCTTATCTTAATACTAATCTTACATGTACTCGCGAAACTGTAAAATATTCAACTTTTTAAATGATCAATATACTAACATGGACGCATAACTTGACAATTTCATAAGTATATTGTCAGGCTTTGCGATCCAATGGCACGCCTGTATTACATTATGGCCATGTCGTACATATTTTTATGGAAATTTTCAAAATTGCAGAGATCATAGGATTTAAAAAAAACTTGTATTTTAACTAATAGAAAAAACTACATATATCTCCTTGCAGTCCATGATTGGCATAGATACTCATGGCAGTTCGAGAAAAACAATGAACACACATGCAAAACATGACTATGGCGGCTGCAAGGGGCAGCACACAAAAATACAATGGCTCAATGCAAATATTGTACATACTTTGACTAAAATGTGTATTACTTGTCATTCTGAATGATTCAATATACCACAGCCGTGTAGTTTTTTGCAAGCTATGGATTTTCACAGTTTTGGACATTTTGCAAAAATAAAACAATGCTATACACGATGGGAACCTGATAAACCAAAACTGGAAAAATCCATAGCTCCAGAGTATGCAAAAATGCTAAATATAGTAAAACACGGCTACAGTATGGCTTGCTCTGTATTTTGTATCTTATTTTAGATGGCAATAAATATATACAAATACACTTATGCTACAAATATACAACTATTGTACACCTTTAACTTTAGTTAAGGTACATTCATATTCAGATTTAGGCTCAGGACCAGTATCTTGTGTTAAAGATGTCCAAAGCTAATCATTGGCACTTGCTATCACCCCCTTTTAACAATAGATTAACCCATCTACATTTTAAACATTCAAATGGATGAGTCTATTTCACAGTAATAGGGAGTGGTAACTGTTTTAATGCTCTGTGATTGGTGTGAATGTGAGACAAGGGGCACAAAACTTTTGAATTCTGAACTGTACAATTTAGTGGTCATGCACATGAATCCCTTATATCACATTCACACATTGGTCTCTGTATAATTGCTAACAGAAATCATTGAAGTTGTTTAAACTGTACATTTAAGTCCATAAAACTAGTTGTATCCAATTTCGAGGCCAAAATATATATCTTACAAGATCTGATCCTAATTTGCAGTATTTAGATTAGTGAGTCCGAGACATCATAGATCCATATACTAAACACTGAGTGTGCATAGCATGAGATGACTACCTGGATTTGGGAACCAGGTGTGAATAGAGTGAAATTGTAATCAAAGTAAGGCAATAAAACAGAAAAATGTCAACTCCATAGATTTTCTGGATGCATCTGTTTGCCGAACAGTTTATATGGGGTGGTTGGATGACTAGTAGTTGTTGTAGCCACCTCCGCCACTATAGCCTCCCTGACCTCCATAGCCACCGCTGCCGCCACCTGGAAATTACAAGTAAGGGATATATGTATCAACTGTAAACTGTACGTTCATTTTCTTTTCATAGCATGATGATAAAATGTATGTATTTAATGTAATATGTTACTAGGTTGTGTCAATAAAAAAATAAATATACCATGCTATATGAATATCTTGAATAGTTAATGGGGCACAAGTTCAATTTTCATAGCATGAGAAAAAAAAATAGACAGGAAAAAACAGCAACTTCCCAGAATAGCAAGTCCTACAGAACATTTGTTCATCAAAGTTTCAATTTGAGGATTAACATTTTTTTCTTTTTGAAAAAGTGGGGAGTGGGGACTTTTTAATATTAAGCAGCAATATTGGGAAATTCCTTCCCAATCATAGGTCATATACCAGGTCATATACCAGGCCATAAACATTAGCAAAATACAATAATTGGTATTCAAAGTGTGAGATTACATGTTTTGTGAAATATGGCAGTCATTTTGAACTGAATATTGGATATTTCTTCTCCAACAGAGGTCTTCAGTCCTAAATTTTAAAAAATCTGTTGACCGATATTAGGAGTTATCGCCTGGACAGACGCAAAAACAGATGAACAGACAGCTTTTTATCCTACCCGAACTTTGTTCCATGGGATAACTAGGTAAACAAAACAGCTGATACCTGTAACTCCAGTTACAGAAATGGGAACATTTAGAAGGCTTTTTTATTTTTCAAAACCTAACTAAATTTCTTCAGGGGATTCATTTTGTACCTCAGAAAATACGGGAAGTTTGATTTCACGCTTCACCTCATATTGCAGAATTATTGATCATCATTGGTACAATTCACAGCTAATCAATATCCAATAAAATTATTTTTCCTCACATTTTGCATTACTACCAAATATATTAAGTCTTCTAGTTTCAATTTAGAATATGGCAACTCCAAGGAATAGCAAATCAAAAAATTATTCACAATTTCAAAAGCATTAATTTTTTGGAATAGAACTATATTTATAATATTCATCTTTCCACATGTTTAGAAAATCCATCGATAGCACTGGAGTTCATTTTGTGGAGAGGTGTAAGATTCACTAGATGTTATGCCTTTCTAATTACGTTCGATGGGAAAAATAACATCCTTTGACATAAAGTCCCGACATAAGATGTTTTCACTTTAAACATACCTCCATAGCCACCCCCGTAGCTTCCGCTGCCACCTCCGTAACCGCCGCCGCCACTACTATACCCTTGATTGCCACCGCTATATCCTCCATAGCCACCGCCTCCGTATCCTCCTTGGCCACCTGTGGACACATAATGAATGATTGAGATAGTGACATTTCAACAGAATAAAGACACTAAAGTCACAAAATACTCCTTGTCCAAATTGCATAATTCAAGACCAAAATTTGAAAACGGTCTTGAATATCCATCAGACTTCATAGTTTTTGGCCATGTCGAGAAAAGTCTCCAAGAAAAACTAGCATTTACAGAGAGTATTAGTGTAACATCCAGGTTTAAAACAAAGCACAGCCCAGGTAATGGTCAAGAAAGATGTTTACTCCCAAGTATCAAGATTTGGAAGTCAGTTTTAACTCATTTTAGACATGAATGTGTGTATGAACCTTTTAACACTATGAACATAAAATAACATACCTCCGTAGCCACCGCCACCTCCGTAGCCACCGCCTCCATATCCTCCTTGTTGTCCGTATCCTCCACCAAAGCCTTGATTATTATCTCTTTTCTGAGTCACTTTCTTGGCTTCTACCTACAACACAAAATGTCACAGAGTTAATCAATCTGATAGGATAGGAATCTTAATAAATTTAGTTTTGGTGATAAGGTTAATGCATGTTTTAGTTTTCCTATCTGACATTTTCAAGACTTACCAAGCATGTAAATGAGTCGCAACCTATCCCATTCAAATACTAATACAAAACACAAAATAGATCATAATATTGATTGATACAAAAATTATGATGGATATTTTATACAATACAAATAAAACGAAGTGAGGAGAGCAATAAATGTGCCAGTTCTTAAAAATCCACAACAAAATTTTACAAAACTAGCCTAGCAGAAACTTTCGCAATTTCAATATTTTAGGTATCTAGTTTTTTGAAGCAGGGGGGGGGGGGGCAAGGTCAAAACTTAATTAATAATTTAATTTAGTTACACTGATACTATAAAGCCACCGCTCAACAGACTAATAATTGATTGCATCCTATGTTCTGACAGATCCAAGAATTACATTTTTACAGCAAGTATCAAATTTGCATAATTTTAACTTTTCTAAGAAAATTCCATCTGATGTTTCACTGCTTCATCAACTTTCTAATGATAAGGTTAATATCTTAACTCAACAAAGTCTTAAAAAGTTTGAAATCAACCATACCGGAAATGTACTACATATGTCGAGATGGGGTCCATGGCTTTTATATTTACTTGAAATATGGATTTTTACAGTTATGCAGTTGCATAATTTGCCTTATACCCCGCATAATTATGTTTTTTTGCTTCATAATTTCATTTTTTACCAATACCTATACTAGTCAGATGTTGGTTTGCAATCTTGTCTGCTCTTTCATTAGGAAGAATTTTTAGCTGAACCTTTAAGTGGTGTTCCTAGACTTTTGATCCATGTAATTTTGAAAAAATGCTATATTATCATAGTTTTGTGTTGAGTGTGAGGACGCCACCTATTTTCACAATATTTTGAATATGAAGAAATCTTCCAGATTGCCTGTGAAATTGGCACTTTTATCAGCTAATTCATTGATTTCATTTGTAAAAATCAATTCACATTGTAAAAAAAATGGAGGGACTTATTGTAGCAAGCAGAAGCAATGTCAGGGTGGGGGCATTAACTAAATTACCTCCTTCCCCCCAATCATATGCATATGTGTGGCCAACATCTGATTGGCCGGTCCTTCTTCTTCGAAAGTAACGAAAGCAAACCCTTTGGCACGCCCAGTTTCTTGGTCCATAGGTATTCTGAGGTCAGATACCTGTGAACGAAGAAATAAGAGGCTTAAATTTGATGAACAACACTTTTACATACTTGTCTATCTCCATTTCCAATCTGATGAGTGCCTTCATCAAGCATCCTTTGGGCGGACTGCTCACTGACAAATGTAACGAAGCCAAATGCCTTTCTCTTGTTGTCATTTTGACGATCCTTGGGGAGGATAAGTTCTTCGATCTGAATAGAAATATTGAGCAATTAATAATTTGAAATATTCCTTGAGCACATCAGTTCAAAAATTGCATATTCCAGTTAAATACTTTTAGCTAACTCTTGAAATGAAGTGTACAAATATTAAGATGAATTAAGTGAATTTAAGTCTTCCATGTGCTCTATGAGGATCTACTTGTGAAGAATGAAGGCCAGGACAACATGAAATAAAATTTCCTTACTATTAAGAAGAATTCCAAGTTTTACAAGTGTAACATTTTAAATGAAATGTGACCGATAGTGTTTCATGGAAATGAGAACAATTCCAAATTTCTAGGAAGGATTCACACTGAGGAACCTAATTTTGAACATTACTAAAAAATATATGATCAAGTCAGATTTTGAAGTCAGATTTGAGGATATTTGGGTCTTCTACTCCTTATCTGGAAGGCATTTCACATGTTACATAATACTTAAAAAATTAAATATACAGTATTACATTATTTCCCAACCTGTACTGCGATACCTCAGAAAATACGGGAAGTTTTATTTCACAATTTGCATCATATTGCAGAATTATTTATCATCATTGGTATCTTTTAACTTTAATATTTATACATCTGTCAAACAATCATCAAAGTAAAGCCGAAACAACATGAGACCACCTAAATTCTTTAAGTGAAACTACATACCTCTCCATATCCATCCAGGTATCTTCGGATTTCATCTTCAGGGACATCTGGACTCAGTCCTCCCAAGAATACCTTCCTTGCAGCTTCGGGTGTCTTAGCCAAGTCACAGTTTAGGTTTCTGCTATGTAATGTATGTTTATCAGCCAGAGCCTAAAAGAATCGAGCATTTTATCAAGTCTAACCATTGATTTTAGCTACTATCTATTGGCATGAAACAAAGCTCATGCACTCCTTACAGTTTGCAATTGCCCGAGAATTAAGTTCAAATAGACTTTCACCGGAAGAATCTTAACAGTTGAGGAAAACTGGAAGATTTACATTTTTCTCAGACTTTATTTAAAAATCATATTTTTTACTACATGGAACCACATATGGCTGCATAATCATCATAAGTTTCAGAAAATCGTTTTCATAGTACATGTACGTGTATTTTAATTTTTTGTCCAAAAACATGCAAGAAATCCAGAAAATTTAGCACTTTCACTTGAAAATCCATTAATTTTACTTGTATAGATATTTATTCCAACCTGCAGAAAACTGGGGGAGAAGTAGTTATCCAACCCAAAAATTACTTTTCAACTCTTCGATTACTGAAATTTGTAACAGAATCATATGCACTGGTTAGTTGAATTATATGTTGCTTATTTTAATGAGAACATGGCCATATTAGATTTTTCATTTTCAAAAAATGATTTCTTCATTGTAATTTACAGTCTTCAAGATTGCTCTGGTAATACTCACAGCTTTGACTCCATCGGGTGAAGCAAATGTTACAAATCCGAATCCACGTGACTTTGGTGGCTGCTGCTGGTTGTCCATCTTGATGCGAACATCCGTGACATTGCCATACTTTCCAAAGTAGGCTTCAAGATCTTCTTGCTTGGTTTCCCATGCAAGACCTCCAACAAATATTTTGCTGCAATATATATTAAGCCATCTCAAGTATCATACAAAAATTATCTCTTACCATGTTTTGTACATTTCACTTATTTTTCCACATTTGCTTTTATTTTTATTCAGAATCAATTGTATCTGTATTCTACTGGAGGTAAGTATATATAATACTTTTTTGGGGAAATCTTGCAAGAATTGAGACCATTTTCTTTCTTCTCACTGGTGATCCGCTCGATTACGCTGGATACCGAAACAAACCATTTCGGTGACAAAATGTCGGAACGTTGAAGGTACGATTTTTCTTTTTTGCTTATTTCGCTCGTAGGAAGAATCCCCACAACATTTTTTCTCGCAAACGTGTATCAGTATCATATGTTTTATAAAAGGTACATGTTTGCCAAAAAATAGCTCAGAAGACAACAGAATCGTCGATTTAATTCCTCACTTAAGTTACATAAACGTTAAGGGTTAAAAGTGCAGATCTTAACTGTTTTTCGAAAAACTGTAACTTAAGTGTGGGATTAAATCAACGATTTCGTTGTCTTCTGAACTATTTGTTCGCAAATGTGTACATTTTCTTAATCATATGATACAGATACATGTTTGTGATAAAAATGTTGTGGGAATTCTGCCTACAATGTGTGAAATAAGGAAAAAAAGAAAAAACGTGCCTTCGATGTTCCGACATTTTGTTACCGAAACGGTTCTAGCATAATCGAGTGGATCACAAGTGCTAATCAAACACAAGTGCTAATCAAACACAAGTGCTACTCAAACACAAGTATTTCTCTCTGGTTTCATTACTAAACTTATGGAAAGGAAATGACATGTATTAGACACAGGTTATAAGTTTTGTATCTCTCATCCAAAAAATATATAAGAATGTGATCATTTCTGCACTGTTGAAGTTCTAGCCATCTCAAAAGGTTCAGAGTTCACTTTAGTCAACAAATATTCAAATGTCAGCCATATGCAACATCTTTGAATCCAGTGCTCTGTTGGTTTGACATAAATGAAGGTGGGTGTGAAATGCATTATTCACGAAAGAAAGGGCAAATACTCGGTCAAACTTGGCCAAAGACATATAGGGTGTTTCAAAAAACACAGCAAGTAGTTATCTCTTAAAATCACAAAACTAGTGATGACTACATCAATTTCATTCAATGTACCATACAGCCTCGTCTCTCCTCTTTGCAATGATATGTCATTCATTCACATGTGGTAATGGTTGGGTGAGAAATCCTTCCATTCACATATTTGGTCAAAGTCGGATCTGGACCAAGTTTCAGATATTGCAAAAAATCAGTGCAAGGGCTAAGTGCAAATGGAAGTCTCCTGACTTGAATTGTTGTGACTTTCTTTTGGAGCTATCTCAGGAGCATCTGTGCTCACAATTTCTCTACCAGATATTGCAAAACTTCGAGAAAGAATTGCCCATGGGCTGCTTTTCTCCACTTTAACCCACAGATGACTCGGGGCTGAACCATGCATGACATGGAGAGATGAGCGCATCTTTATGTGCAAAGAATTGGTGGCAATTTGGAGGGGTATAGGATGTATTCTTGCAAGAGTATGAGTACAACACTTTCCTGTCTATGCCACATCTTCTTTCAATAGCCCTCATGCCCAATGCATGTCTTTTGCAATGTTTAAACTTGGGTCCAAGTTGAATTTTGCCCCACTTTGCGAAATGAATGATTATTCGGCCAATCATGACTCCCTGTGAATGAATGACATTCCATTTCAAAGAAGATATAGCTTTTTGGTACATTGAATGAAAAGGATGCAGTCATCATTAGTTTTATGTTTTCTTCCAATATTGCATTGGGCCCCGTACACTGACTTTTGCAATGTTTATAAATTGGTCCCAAGCTATTTTTGGTCCACTTTGCAAAAGGAATGATTACTTGCCCAACCACCAATATCAACGAATGATATACCATTGTAAAGAGGAGATACATGGATTTATGGTATATAGAATGATATCAATGCTGTTATCACTGGTTTTGTGCTTTTCGAAGATAACAATCTGTTGCGTTTTTTTGATATTGGGCATTAGGTCAAAGGGGTGTAACATCAAAGTGTGGGATAATGTCTACATAAATGACGGAATAACTTACACTTACTTATTAGAAGTAGAATTTCTGTTTCCCGCCATGTTTGATTTTTGAAAAAATAAATCTCGCCAGATCTCAATCCATGCGAGAAAAAACATGACTTCCCCCTAGATCAGAAATTAGACCAAATAAACGACAAGGTGTCGAAGTTACCCCAAATGTGGAAGTTACCCAAAATGGAGTCGACGTTACACCCCTTTGCCCTATAGATCTTTACAATGATACTAAAATAATGTTAAATAAACAACAAAAAATATTTTGAGAAAAAAAGACAACAAATTCAAATTGCGATCTGAGTAAAGAACAAAATCTCTAATAGCAATTATTTAATGGTGAGATTCATGCTCTGAACAATATATCATTTTCACTAATACTTGAAAATGGCATAAAGCTGGCCTCATGTCCGGAACAAAGGAAAATCACATGGCTCAATTCCAAACAATACAACTCTTTCGCACAAGAAAACATCCAATAAATCCTGTTGAGAATCGGAATGTACCATACTAAGAGTAAATCTATCATAACCTTTGCAAGAAGACGTTTTTATTTACGTCAGATTACAACTTGACCTACAAATCCGGTACACTTACTACAACGGAGTGAGCGGTGCACGTGCGCAGGCATGGCATATTTTCAATGTACAATTGCTTGGAAAATAATGAGTGATTTTCGATGAATTGAAGACCAGGTTGAGCATAATGATAATACACATTAACAAAACACACGATCGGTGCTGAAATAAATAAGATAAGTACAAAATATCGTGGAAACAACAGAGATACTTACGTAGCCATTTTGTGGTTTCTTTGAGGTTTGTTAGAGGACGCGTGCTGACACCTGTCGGGTAGCGTCAGTAATTAGACTGAAAGCTGTGAAACGAAAACAATATAATAACAATAACAGCCATCTATATTTTGTTTTAGAATTAAACCTAAAACCACCATGGCTGACATCTATTTTTAATCAAATAATGTTTTGTCAATATAAACCCAATTTGTCCCTACAATCCTCATCTTTGCATCTGTTTGACTTCCCTTCTTGGAAGAGAGATTCGTCTAAAACTAGACTCTGCATGCAGGGTACTACAATCCTGGATTCAAGCACTCTCAATTCAAGAGAGCTTCAGTAGTTTATCAAACTCCCGTGCAGTGATATAAAAAGGGGAACTATTTTCACCAAATTTTGGGGATTTTCTTCATCTGCCTGCCGAAGTGTCTATACCGAGACACTGCATGGGAGTACGGTAGTTTATAAATAGACAATGTGCGCAGGGTTTGAATATGCAGCTGCACAGAAAATGCATGGACTTCTAACCTTTAAAACAGTTTTGAACATAAATAATGACTCACTGATTTGCTGAAGTGAGGATTCTCCATGTAAAAATAAGACAAAGAGGCCATACACCAGTGGATGACAGTATACAAAATGTAAAATATACAAATGAACACTTTTAGCTGGTAACTTCAAATCTAAATGTCACCTGTCTATACATATTCCATGATCTAGATTATATATTTCCATGCTTCAAACCAATAGTTTATTGGCATTTGAATAACTTTGGAAACTTTGAAAATAAATGATTTGAAATTTTGTATTTTCTAAAAAACATTTTATTTTAGAGGGGGTACATTCATGATAATATGTGATAATACATGTATATCTAAAACCCGGGGCTTTTCAAAAGAAGAACCATGTATGATGGGCTTTAAGAATGGAAATCAACACAATAAGGCATATATACAATACCCATGCTGAAATATATTTTTTATTCCAAACCAGATTTTTTCAAATATTCTGAACAAACACATACTTTTGAATTTGTAATAAAAATAATTAATTATTATTTATACCTGAGAAACAAAACAAAAATATTCTCATATTCACATAGAAACAAGACATAAGACAATGACGTAATGCATCACTTGAAAGTGAAATGAACTTTACAATAGCATAGAGGGATGGGGCCCAATCCTCAACATTTATGGAAGAATGAAATCTATTACATTATGGTTAAACCCCCAGGCTTGCAGCCAGCTTTCGCCTAGGGGGGTTTCACTAGAACCCCCCAAAATCCCTCCTTGCTACGGGCCTGATAGACATCTAATATGACCCCTACCCCATGTAACTCTATTTGAAAATATTGATGTGCTTTTTTTACTTTACTTTTGCTAATTTTTCAAAAATTGAACATCAAATCAAGTGAAATACAATTCAACACAAACACATGGAGAACATTTCTAATATTGCTAAGATATCTGAGAATAGTTTTTGTTGGCCAACATCATAGATTTCATGAGCATACATTACAAAATGTTTAATAAATAGTATTTATGCCATAAAATATAATAAATAAATATGGACGGACACATATTATGCAAGTTAGGTACACGTTCATCAACATACAATTACACACATGTCTACAACACTTTTTCAATTTGAAAATGAACAAGGTTACATATTATTAACTAAATATACTTATGATCAATATTTGGTTTGATCTGTACAATGGTTAATGTTGCACATCAGTTTACAAAATACCTTTTTGGCAAAAGAAGTTGACTTATTCTTATAAATATAGCAGTATAAGGTTTAAACACAATGAATGTGTCAATAAGTCCATCCAGTTGTCATGACAATGGAGCTTTACAAAGGATTTGTATCAATATGGTGAACTGAATTCAACAATGTTTTTCTCTTAAACCAAATATTGAAAATATTCTGAAAAAATATGGTCCTTTATGTAATGTTGACAACAATTTAATGCAAAGATATATATTTTAAATAACTATTTTTGTTAACATTTTTGTTTTTTAGTGTAATTGTTTTTTGTTCGTTTTTACCAATTCTTGAGAATGAAATAAAATGTCTTTCCGAACCTTGTTTGATCAAAATAGCATATACAACATTTTCTTAGACCTCTCAATATTATACTTAAGTAGTTACTGGTATACAAAGGAAATTTTGGTTGGTTTAACAAAAAGTATTCAAAAAATTAAAACAAAATAGACAAAAATTAAGATAAACCTTTTATTTCATTAACTAGATACTTTTTTAAACCAACCAAACTTTCCTCTGTACAATTACAATATTGAGAGACCTAAACACATTGTGTTTATGTCATTTTGTTCCAATGAGGTTCAGAGAGATGTTTCATTTCATTCTGAACACATGATACCAAGAACAAAAGAAGTGTCTGATGTGTATTCTAAAACAATATAGAGAAAAGTAATACATGTACAGTATATTTATTTCAAATTATATTGTTACCATTCAAAAGATGACCATTAAATTGACAATGCGTAAAATTTTCAGAATTTTTTGATGACTGGTTTAAGAGAACTTGTGTTCAAAAAGTTTACCATATCGATACACATCCTTTCAAATACCAATAATTTTCAATTTTGTATACCCTGATTTTTACTATCTAGCACAGTCAAATCACAATTGCCATCTATGTGAGATCTATATAACCAACTGATCAATATTATCAATATGATCAACATACATGTAATGGCCGAATCAATAGACTAGATGCAAGTAGAAATGGATTTAATTTTAATCACTTTTTCATTCGTCATTCAAAACTTAGTCAATGTGATATCATCATGTGAAATTACATCTAGAAATGTGATTGAAAAAATTATTGATCAACTCTGAAAATTTAATTTTCTTTTAAAATGTGACTTCTGGGTCCGGTAGATTCCCCAAAAGCCCCATGTTATAAAATAAATTAAAAAAATGGCAAGACAAATAATATTTTCTTTTACTGGACATATTTTCATTTGTACAATTATCAGATACATATGGGCAATATCAACTGAATAAACTTGCAGATGATCAGTTGAATGATCTCACATATGCATCAATTGAATGAATTGAGCACACACAATTTCAATTTTAAATTGAATAAAAGAGTACATCATCAACTTAGTGGCACTACGTTTACAATGTTCAGTTCTTAATTCATGAAATAAATTATTAAAAAAAATCAACTTCCCATTTGCTCATGGTGGGAGACCTGGTATTTGAACACTTACTCCAAACTGTTGAGAAAATTGCTCTAATTTTTCCTCATATTGGACATTTTTCTGTACAGCTTCACGATAATTGAACTTCAAATCCTCAATTTCATCAAAAAATTCTGGACCAAAATTCTCAAGTTCTTTTTTCATTTTTTCATTGTGACGTTTTAGTTTTTCAATCTCCAGTTGTGCAGCCTTTAGTTTAGTTGATACTTCAACATTGTCCATGAGTACTTTGTCATGCGTTTGTAGTTTAACAAGAATGTCATCACTTGGTATATCGGCTTCAGTCCCTGCTATGGGGTTAGAATGTTTTCTAAGAGTTGTTAACTCATGCAATAATTCTGCTTTCTCATTTTCTAGTCTGTCAATGGTTAGCCTGTAATAATAACGTTTTTTTTGTCATGACAGTTCACTTCATATACTTTCAATAATGATGTATTGATGAAATTACATACATTTTTATTTAGAGATCCAAAATTTTTATGGCAATAAAGTATCTTTTAATTTATTCTACAACTCAATATTCTACATAAAATGAAATATACTTCAAACCTTTGCACTTGATTATCTCGTATGAGGTCACTGTCTTTCACTCCAGATCCCCCTGGGAATCTCTCAAGCACAGCAATCTAAAACAGAATGCATTTAGTTCATTAAATATAAGAATTATAGATAATCATACATTGTTTGACAGTCCTCAAAGTCATTGACATATGCCTGGAAATTATGTTCTCAACATAACACTGGCATCAGTAAATCAATTTGTGAAACAAGTGAAATTGTTATCTATAAGACAATATGGATGCAAGGAAATCACATACTTTATGCTCCAACTGGTCCTTCTCTTGCAACAGCTGCTGCTCCCTGGTGGCTGCATCCCGAAGTAACACTTTCATATCAGCCAGCAGTCGGCTCTGAAATTTATTCAGCATGAGAAATATGATGCAACATTCAAACAACCCCTATAAATCATTGAAATTGAATAGCTGATAAGCTGAAGATACGGGGTGAACAAGGCTTGAACTATGTGTATTATCAATCATCAGCAAATCAGTTTTTTTCTTTCTTAGTTAACTGCAATGAACATTACAATTCTCAAGTTCAATCTAAATAACTAAGACTACTGACAATCAAATGTACATAGAGACCTCAAAATTATAATAGATTTCTCAGTAGTACAATAAAATCACATCTGCCACATGATAAGATAAATTCACAAATAGACCCACTTGCTTCAATCATGTTCAATTAAGATTATTGACTCCTTTATCTTTGAATTTACCTTTTTCTCCATGTCATCTTCAAGATGCTTCAGTTTTTCCTCATACATGCGCGTCACAACCACAGATTTCCATCCCTTAGAGTCCAAACTTGACAGAGATGGATGTTTCGCTGATTCCAACTCAAGTTTTTTCCGTAAATCTTCATTATCTCTTTGTTGTTTCTGATGATTTGTTTGAAGTGTTTTATGTTCAATTCTAAGTTTCTCATTCGCTTCTATTTCCTAAAACAGAAAGTATGTAACAATAGGTCTAGCTATTTGTTCAAAAATCAATTACGGAGTATAGTTTTATGTGGATTTGAGTTATTCAATTATATCAATTTACATTGCCCTATCTTGTCACTCAAAATGCTATTAAAGTATTAATAGTTTTCCATGTTATTTTCAGTAATTAACTTATTCCATATTATTTGCACAAAGAGTTAATGAAGGTAATTAGTTGAGAATAAATTAGTTTTTCTATGAAAATTCAGAAAATTCCTGGGTGATCTACTTTTAAAAAAAGTACAAAAATGTAGGTCACTGAATTTTGTTCTTTTTAATATATCTTAAGATATATGTATATCAATCTTACTTCTTTTCAAGGATATTACAGAAGCCTGAAATCTTTTTTCATTTTGACATTATACAGAACCCGGTACTTTCAAAAAGTTGTTCAGCTAAAATGATAACTGACCAAAAAAGGACCTTGGATAATTTCTAATTGAAATGAAACTTACTTTGCGATGTTCCTTCCTAAGCTTTTCATAATCAGATATAATTTTTGCAGTTCCTTTCTGTGTGTGGGAGTACCTGTCTGTTAGCTGAGCCCCCATCTTTAACCTCAGTTCTTCTAGCTGTTCCTGAATAAAAAAGAATATATTTATTTCTTAATTATTTCTTTCATTTCCACCCAGGACTTTTTGTTTCTTAAAATGAATGCATTTTTTAAATGTTGTTTAGATGAGCCTATATATTTTAGAACATTCCACCAGACTCATAATTTTTTTTTTAGTTTAGTTTACGTATATGGAACATATCAGCATCCATTTGAGATTTAAATAAAAAACCATCACGAGTTATACTTGTTTTTTTAGTTCTAGATACTCGTAAAAATAGACTCGGAGAGTTGACTGTTTTCAAATCTTTCTACATCTTTCTCCTTTTGTACTTTTGACCATTCTGCAACCAAATATTCAAAGCAATTTCAAGTTTTAAACCTGGGTCTAACCTTGAGTCCATCATTCTCCCTATGAAGCATCTCCATTTGTTCATTAGAGACAGGACCAGGGGCTTTTTTCAGTTGTTCATTCTCAACCTGAGTCCTCTCAACCACCTTCTTCAAGAGAGATATGGTCTTCTCAAGCTCCTTAGTGCTTTTACCACTCTCACCAATCTGGAATTGTATTGGACTTACTGTATTTACTGGCGGATTCAGGAGCCTAACGAGGGGGGAGCAAATTTTGAGTCGGGAAGAGATTTTGGGCCTCTAAAACCAAAAATTATGCCCAAATTTGAAAAATTCAAGGCCTATTTTTGATAATTTGGCTTAAAAAACTATGCCCAAAAAGAGCCCCCCCCCCTGGATCCACCAGTGGTATTAACATAATTATTTTATATTAATAGGTTGAAAAGTTAATAGGTCTACATGGTAAAATGAAAACAAAATATTAATATGACAGGTTATTGAAAGTTGTAAGAATTTGTTACAAACGCTGAACCCTGAACACTTATCACAACACCATCACATGTCTGGTGACATAATAATGTGGTAAAGTATTTGAAAGAATGGAGAACATTATTTGTTACCCCCAAAATAAATCTGGTCTTTTTGTGTAAGCCTAAAGCGAGAAAATCTGGGAAACATATTACTGTAATGTGGCACAGAATATTTATTGGGAGAGTGAAATGATTTAGGGACTCTTTTCTGAACAACTTGATTAAAGAAGTTCACCTTTTTCTGACAATTTCTTCAACCTTTGATCACTCCTCCATGTTCCTTTACATTCATAAAGCAGATGGGTCCTTATTAGAAAGCAAGTGCGATTACAGTACTAAATTGTTTACATCAACATAACATACCCTCCTGAGACTGCTATTTGGTGATCCTAGTGAACCCATAGATCTTGAACTAGTACCAAGCTCTAGTGCAGACTTCTCAGCCTTCAGTACTTCCACATATTTCTGGAGGTCTGCAACTCTCTCCTGAAGGTCAAGGACAAATATGTGAATAAGGAAAGCAAATTCATGGGCAGTTTTTTATTTACGATATGAATACTTACAAAATACATGTACATGTATGTCAAGTATATTTTTATTAATTATATTTTGTTTGATCACTACATTTGGGAGCAATACCTCATTGGTTCACATTGTGGTTCCATTGTTTCATACTTTACAGACTAACGCTGGAAGACAAACCCAAAAACCCCTCTTTGTAGGAGGTCCTTTATAATATTTATTACCTTCAACCTTGGGATGTCTTTCTTAGCTTGCTCAGCTTCAAACCTCAGCTCAATGTTTTCCTCTGAAAGTTTGAGGACTTTTTTCTGTAGGTTTCCCTCCCTTTCTTGTAGTTGTTGGTAGGAATCTGCACCAGCAAAACCTCCCTACACAATGCAAATATGCTTCAAAACAATGCTAGCCAACCATTTTTCATTACAGGAATGGCAAATGGGTCAATAAAGCCTAAATAAATAAACAATATTTTCCCAAAAAACAAAAGTATCAAACTAAACTTGGAGAAATAAAATTTCTTATTGTATTATTCTCTCACAAAAATAAAAATTGAATTTGGAACAATATTTTGACACTTAAACACGCAACAGTAAATAAATGAAAAATAAATGAAAAACTTACAGGACCGCCAGCTATACTGCGTCTTGCTAGTTGTCGTTCCAGTTCTTCCAGTTTCTCTGACAAGAATTTGTTACGTTGTTGGACATCTTGAAATGCTGTGTCTTTATCAATTGTTAGGTGTCGACGCAATGTGGCCACCTAAAATTGAAAGCGAATATACCTCTTTGAAAGCATACCTTTATCTGGACACAGAGTGTAAAATAAAACCTTATTGTCCAAAATACCCAAAAATTCCAATACAAGGCAAAAGTAGGAATCAGCGCCAATGGTGCAGCAGCATTGACCAAATAAAATGGATTTTAACATTGGTTCAGATGAAGGACAGTTGTCATTGTCAATCCATGCGAATATTGTAGACATACGAACAAATGTATGGACACACAAGACAGACATGGACAAATGTATGGACACTCAAGACAGACACGGACAAATGTATGGACACACAAGACAGACAGATGAGTGGGTGATTCCAATAGGGTTATTGTGAGAACAAAGAAAAGTGATATCTTAATATTTTGCTCAGTATTAATGTTATTTAGGTCATAACCAAATATTGTCCAATCTCCAGTGATTTGTTAATTTACAGTTTACACCAAACAGAAAGAGGACTTTAATACTTGGGGGCCATTATTTCTTTCACATCTTAATATGACTCAGATCCACTAACCTCCTCCTCTAGTTGGAAATTCTTATTCCTGAGTTCCTCCATATTATGACTAGGTCTGACTACAGTCGCTGGCACTCCAGTTAGTTGATGTTTAGATGCAGATCTTAGCTTGTGTTCCAGAGATTCCTTATCCTTGTTGGCCCTAAAGAAACAAATAGGAGATATCTAATCTATACCCTGTTTATGAGGACGTCCAAGCAGAATACTTAGATTCACAGCTCTTCAATTAAATAGTACTAACTGTTTTCACTTCCAGTTAGAAACAAGGCATTAACATGCAAAATGTCACCACCTGCAATTTGGTACAGATGCCAAATGTCAAAAACATATGGTGTTGACACGAGACAAAAGCAGACGCCAGTTAAGAAAATGCAAAAATGTGTACACATCAAATTTGTTTATGCAAGTTTCAGTCGTGTTCACTCGAGATATGAGTACACACAAATATATAAGTAATCCTTACTGTCCATATATTTAGACCTACCTGTCAAGGTTTGACTTTAGCAGGTCATTGGCACGTTGTAACTTTTCGTGTTCTGTTTCTTTATCTTTAAGCCGTCCTTTCAGGCGATCCACAATCTTCTGCCACTTTTTACTCTCTTCCCATCTGGCGACAACCTCATCTCCTTTCTGTAATTTTAACATCAATAAAATCAACTTTATTAATTGTTACTCAACCCTATGAGAATGAACAACTGTCCATATAGTTCAAATTATAGAAAATTGAATCATATTCCATTCAAACATTATATAAAGATCACTGATCAAAACTTCACTGGTGATCAGCTCGATTATGCTAGTTACCGAAACAGTTTGTTTCGGTAACAAAATGTCAGAACGTCGAAGGTACGATTTTTCTTTATTTCATGCGTTGTAGGCAGAATCCCCAAAACATTTTTCTCACAAATGATCAAACTATGTGAAAATTAGAAATAGCAGTTGATGTAAGTGTATTTTCAGGATATTGTGTCAAAGGCAGATGTTTAACAATACTTTAAACATTAAAATTGTGTGTCAACTTACCTCTTTTTGTGGTTCCTTTTGCTCATATGGTTTCTCTGCTTGTTGCTTGCGTTTGTTCTCTTCAGTTAATAGTCGTATTTGTCTTTGGAGCTGCTCAACCTCATGTGCATTTCCTTCACCTTGAAGAATACAAAATATAACATTCAAAATTAGCCAACAGGTCGAACTCCTACAAATTACAAACAAGACATTAACATGTAAAATGTCACCACCTGCCATTTGTTACAGACACTGACCACTGAGTGCCAAACACTGAATGCCGAACACCATTCACAAAAAGTTGGAAACTATAACAATATGTTGTAATGCAAGCTACTTATGAAAGCATAAAATGTAATTGCATTTCTGAAGGTCTCTTTTAAAGATCGACTATTGAAAAAGGTAAAGTCTGTTTATGGATTCCATGAAATCAACATCCTGGGTGAATACATGCATGTGCTAACCCACTCTTACATATACACAATCTAATGGATACATACCTTGTTTCTGGCTCCTCATTGCTGATATTCTTTCAATCTTCTTCTCATAGCCTTCAATCTCTTCCTCAAGCTTGTGTTTATCTGTCTTCAACTTAGCAACTGCTTTCTCTTTCTTCACTACAATAACACATATTATCACATGGTAGGGAGAATTCTTATGATCTGATTGGTTTGTGTCCATATTGCATTTCTCATATCACATAGTTTTAATGAGATAGCTGAATCATTTATTTAGTGCATCACACATCAAACTATGGATAAATAAAAAATAAACAATGACCTGATAAAAAGATTGGGATCAAACAGGATCTAAACCTCATTCCCCTATTAGGGCAGATGTAAGATGGTGTCATGAAACTCACTACTCTTGTGATAAAAATTTTACTTCCATGGAATATTTCTTGTATTATATGCTCAAACTTATGATTATTACAGAATTGTATATTATTATTATACTGGAATGTACTGTAAAACATGCTTATTTAACAAATTGAATTTTAACAAATTCTGAGTTTACAAGATTTTTTCTTTTGATACTTCACAATTAATGTCAGAATTTTGTCCATTAATTTCAATTTGTTTACTCACATAAATCTAGTACTTTCTCAAATCAACCTAATATTTACTAACATAAATCAATATATTTACTAACATAAATCAATATATTTACTCACATAAATCAATATATTTACTCACATAAATCAATATATTTACTCACATAAATCAATAAAACTCACATAAATCATGCTTTATCTCCTCCATTTCTTCATTGAGTGTTGTCTCTCTGTCTCGTCTCTTCCTTAACTCAGCCTTTAGTCTCTTCACCTGGTCTCCAAGTTCTTCAATCTTATCCTAAAAAGTAAAGATCATATATTTTATTTTATTTAGACATTTGGTGCCCTATTGTATTGTATAGTATATTTATTTACCTCTAATCACTAGAGAGTTACAATTATAAAGTTACAAATTGAAATAATGAATAAAAACACACATATTTAAAATAGTGAAGAAATATATATCCCAAGTTAAGATGAAACCTCTATAGTGACCGATGCCATCTTCCCCAAGGTCGATAGCTCAGGACCAAAATAGAGTTGTCACACCAACAACGAATTTCTTTTGATTTGCATAGCCAGAATTATGTCTGCTGTTTTTAACTGAATTTCGGTTGTACTTTCACCAAATATTTGTTTTACACGTAACTCATTGCTCATATTATAATCGTTGTCAAATGTTCCATGATATAAATTATTCATTTGCAAACGCTCGAAGCTGAATGCATTACATTGAAACAGGAAATGTTCCATTGTTTCAGGTTCCTTTTTACCACATAGAGTACACTGTAGATTATAATTTGATCTATTCCATTTCTTACAGGAGTTCAAATTGAATTGACCCATCAATAATTTGACGACGGCTTTAAAACTGTTTAACCTATTTGGAAACTCTTGAGCTAAGATCCACCATATGTTTGGTGTTTTACATTTATGGACAGTTAGAAAATGAGAAAGGCCTGGATATAACATGCACCTAATCCTGAAAATTGTCTCCTGAAGGTCTTTCACACGACTACAGATCAAACGTTTCCAAGCAGCCTTTGGGATATGTTGACCGTTAAGCATAAGTTTCACATTTTCAATTAGGTCGTATTTTAAAGCTGTATACCACATCTGTGCAATTGGAGAGGTCATTCGTATACGAGCAATTTTAAATTCCATAACTGTCATTCTAAAAATCATCACCCGTTTGTATATATTAGCCATTGGCAGGTTTAAGAGCACCTATTGATTCATTCACCCTTACTTGGAAATTATACATTATTTAAGGAATAAAGACTGAGATTTTATGATTTATGGCGTAATATATGACCGAAAATTTTATTCTGTTCATTGTTAAAAGACCGAAATCGTGTAGCGATTGAGGTCTTTGGCAATGGCCAGAATAAAATTTGAGGTCATATATTTGACATAAATCATAAAATTGAGGTCTTTGTTACGATTCTAATATGATAAACAGACAAGAAAAACAATGTTTTGCATTAAGAATTTTAGTGGTCATACATACTCCAATTTAGACCAGTAAATCAATTGTTCTAGCTATTGTGACGTCACGTATCATATTAGAATTATTAATAATTCTTTAGTCTCTAAATATAGATTTAAGTATTACCTGATATTCCTTGGTCTGTTTCTGCACTACTTTCTGCACATTATATTCGGATGCATTTTCTTCAGCATTTGCTTTAACATTATCCTGTGCCTGGGACACCAAATCTCCCCTGAGCTCTACTAAGGCCTTGCTTAATGCCTGGGAAGTACAGGAGTTCAAAATTATTATTTACACATTTGAATTATTTACTGATATCATATACTACTTCTCGTAGCCTATAAACAAACAGGTGAAAAAATGTCCCTCATCTGGGGGCCATTAACAGAAAATTAATAAAGTTAAGAATTCGTAAAGTCCATTGTTCTCTAACTGTGACGTCATTATATTCATGGTAACAACAATTGATTTACGAATTCGTAACTTTCTGTTAATGACCCCCTGGTAAGCTATTTCAATTGAATACAAAATGGTAACAACTGTTACAGATTCCAAATGCCAACTACAGCTTATAACAGTGCAATCTGTAACAATATGTCACTTGATGGTAATCGAAAAATGAAAAATTGAATTGATCTGGTATATTTTATGTCCTGTTCCAGCAGATTTTGTGAAACTGAAGTTGGCAAGTATGAACATTTATATCAGACATATAAAACATATGATTAGTAATGGTACCTTATGCTGTTTTTCTTTGACAGCCAGTTGATTTTTCAACCTATCAACCAAGGCTTTCATGGTTGTAGTTGGTGCACGCTCATTAGCCTCTCTTTGACTTTGGAGCTCTTCTTCTAGGAGGTGCATTTTTTGTTCCTGATCGTCTAAACGAGTTTTGTAATCTGTGATTTGCTTTTCTAAATTTTCTACAACTTCCTTATGTTCTTGAACCAATCTGTAATATTATTTTTTTTAAAATGTAGTAATCCTTTACAGTTTTTCGTAATTATGGTCAATGGTTAGTTTGATTGTATTTTTCTTGTTTCCTAAAATGTGCTGTTTGTACTTTCTCATAGCATTATTCCCACATTTGAGCTTTTCATTTTACTAAATATGAATTTTAACTTTGGATATATTGCCCAATTGGAGGTGTATTCACTGGTCAGTATTGGGGAACACTGATCGCCATTACAATATTTTTAAAAACGGATAAGAGTTGACAATCTTGAACTTTTTCTTCTCCATTGGGGGTTTCCAGTGAAGTTGAGTGTTAAACATAATTAAACAGCTAAAATAAAATCAACTATTTATAAAAGATACATTATTTATTTACCTTTCTTTTTCATTTTTCATAGCCTCAACTGTAGTTTTAAGTTTCTGTTTGTAATGCTCCAAGTATTGCTTGGTTTGTTTGAGTTTGTCAGTCAATGCTGACATTCCATTGTCCTGCTCGGCTACCGTATCTTCAAGTTCATTCAACCGAGCCAGCTAAAACACACGACCAGGCAAAATTGGACACCTCAATGTATTGTTTATTATTAAATCACTGATTCAGTTTTATCAAATTAAATAAATGTACTAAATGTACTTTCTAAAGTTCCTAAATTCAAAAAATTGAATAATGCTGAATGTCGGCAATAGCAGGACAGATACAGAAATTACTCCCTGCTCCTAAAATACACTACATACAGGGTGTCCGGAAAGTAAAGATACAAATACTCTTATTTTAAGAAATTTGGGTTTTTGAAATGAAATTGCTACAGATTGAAGAGGAACAATATTACAATATATCTACCAATTTTCATCACATATAGTCTAAATATGTTCAATCTACAGTTGTTATGGTTACGGATGTGAGAGGTATGCGGAGCAGTTCCAGAACAACGCTAAAAAGTGAAAAATTGCTAAAAGACAACCATTTGAAACAGTGTTTTTTGTTGTATTTTCTATCTATGTTTTGTATTGTTCATCATTGTATTATTGCTGCCATAGTGTTTTCTTTTATTTAATGATGTCATTGCTACATATCAGAACTATGTTATGTCACTAACCAGTATAATGAAAGATATATTATACAAGTGCCTAGAAGAATGGTCCCTGGCTATTAGTAGGAAAGTCAATATTGCATCTCCACAATGCACCAATTCACAAAGCAAAAAACAAATCTTACAATGGAGTGTCTTGACATTAAACCTTTCTATACAATGCCCCATATTCACCTGATAAAGCCTACTTTAGACTTCTACCTTAATGACGATTTGAAAGCAATATTTGTAAAAAGGTCAACATACAAATGAGACTCAGCTGGAAGCCAATGTTATCAGCTATCTGAGAGATGGACAGCAGCAGTTTTGTCAGGTCTTCGAATCGCCGGTCAAGATGCACCAAGAATGTAAAGTTAATGGGGAAAAAACTGAATATTCAATGATAGTAGCAATATGAAATGATCAAATAATGTTACATTACTAATCCCTATGCTGTTGTGGTACATAATTTGATATAATATAGGAATAGATGGTGGAGTGCCAAGATCATATGAGCAGGAAAGAGATTTGCAGAACACAGTTGTGACGTTGCTCCACTTACCCTCGACTCCCGTTACCATAACAACCATAACTTTTTCATTTTGAAACTGAAAGTCATGACAGTTGCAGGATATATTTTTATAATGTCATTCTACATTCTGGAGCAATTTCATCTCATAACAGGTAAATCTCTTGAGATTAGACCATTTGTATCTTTACTTTCCGGACTCCCTGTATTCAAACATTATATATCTAGCACCTCAGTAGGTATTGGATACAAATAGTACATATTCAATAGATACCTGTTTATTAGATGGCAAGTCAGGTTGTGCTTGCTGTACTTGGTTTAAAGCTGCTTGTTTAAATTTGGAGAATGCTGCATCCTGTTTGGAATGGATCTTCTCCTGCATGGCCAGTAGCTCCGCCTCATGACGCTTGTTTTGCTCCTGCATATCTTCCCGTGCCTGCCTCAGTAGATCTTGGTACTTGACGATCGTCTCCTCTTTTTGATTGATCCTTGCCTGAAACATGTAAAATTGCATATTATGAAGTTTTGTTGTTCAGCATTGTATATTGTAGGTCTTTCTGAAGCACATTTCAGTTAATTATCTTTTTGAGTATGTCTCAGTGAATTATCTTTTTGAGCATGTCTCAGTGAATTATCTTTTTGAGCATGTCTAAGTGAATTATCTTTTTGAGCATGTCTCAGTGAATTATCCTTTTCAGCATGTCTAAGTGAATTATCTTTTTCAGCATGTCTAAGTGAATTATCTTTTTGAGCATGTCTCAGTGAATTATCTTTTTGAGCATGTCCCAGTGAATTATCATTCACAAGTGATCATTTGATATTGACTCATTCTGATACTCATAGCATCTCTCTCTGTTGCATCCAGAAGGATAGAGATGGAGAGGGCGTGGCTTACCACAATGATATTGACTAGGCTATTTGAGGTTTGAAAATAGTCACACTCAGAGGCCTTTGGTGATGAACAAATGAAATGTTTTTAATATATTTCAATGACATGTATAAGTATTTACTTCAAGAAACTAGTCACCAATCTTCAGGATAAATCAAATTTCATCAATTTAATTTATTTCATAAAACATATTATTTTCATATTTTCATTGTATTATTTATGAATATCTCTCCAAATTCTGGAACTTGAGAGTTATTCACTTTGTTTTGTTTCATATATCATTGACTACAAAGTCAAAACACAAACAAGGCATTAACATGACAAAATGTCACCACCTAAAACAATTTGGTCAATTTAAAGCAAGTTGGAAAATACCTTTTGACCTTAAGAAGGTTTGATTTGAACTTCTTAGAACATTAAAAACCTCTTTGACTTTTTTTGACATTGAGAAGGTCATTGAAAGTCAAATGTAAAGTCAGATTTGAACTTCTGAGAACATGTAGATGATTTTGAAAAAAAATTAGTCAATTTGAAGCAAGTTGAAAAAAGACCTTTTTGACCTTGAGAAGGTCATTGAAGGTCAAAGGTAAAATCTAAAGTCAGATTTGAACTTCTGAGAACTTGTAAAGTCAAATTTGAACTTCTGAAAAGATGTAGACGATTTTGAAAAAAAAATTTGGTCAATTTAAAGCAAGTTGAAAACAGACCTTTTTTACCTTTTTTGACCTTGAGAAGGTCATTAAAGGTCAAATGTCAAATCTAAAGTCAGATTTGAATTTCTGAGAACATGTAGATGATTTTGAAAAAAAAAATTAGTCAATTTGAAGCAAGTTGAAAAAAGACCTTTTTGACCTTTTTTGACCTTGAGAAGGTCTTTGAAGGTCAAATGTAAAATCTCAAGTCAAATCTAAAGTCATATTTGAATTTCTGAGAACATGTAGATGATTTTGAAAAAAAAAATTAGTCAATTTGAAGCAAGATGAAAAAATACCTTTTTGACCTTTTTTGACATTGAGAAGGTCATTGAAGGTCAAATGTCAAATCTAAAGTCAGATTTGAATTTCTGAGAACATGTAGATGATTTTGAAAAAAAAATTTAGTCAATTTGAAGCAAGTTGAAAAAAGACCTTTTTGACCTTTTTTGACTTTGAGAAGGTCATTGAAGGTCAAATGTCAAATCTTAAGTCAAATCTAAAGTCAGATTTGAATTCCTGAGAACACGTAGATGAATTTGAAAAAATTTTTTAGTCAATTTGAAGCAAGTTGAAAACAGACCTTTTTTGACCTTGAGAAGGTCATTGAAGGTCAAATGTCAAATCCTAAGTCAAATCTTAAGTCAGATTTGAATTTCTGAGAACACATAGATGATTTTGAAAAAAAAATTTAGTCAATTTGAAGCAAGTTGAAAACAGACCTTTTTGACCTTTTTTGACCTTGAGAAGGTCATTGAAGGTCAAATGTCAAATCCAAAGTCAGATTTGAAGGTCAAATGTCAAATCTAAAGTTAAATCTAAAGTCAGATTTGAATTTCTGAGAACATGTAGATGATTTTGAAAAAAAATTTAGTCAATGTGAAGCAAGTTGAAAAAAGACCTTTTTGACCTTGAGAAGGTCATTGAAGGTCAAATGTCAAATGTAAAGTCAGATTTGAACTTCTGAGAACATGTAGATGATTTAGAAAAAAATTGAAGTCAGTCTAAACAGTATTTGTTAAGTTATAGGAAGTTGTAAGAAATTGTTACAGACGCCAACCGCCGGACGCCAACCGCCGGACGCCAACCGCCGGACGCCAACCGCCGGACGCCAACCGCCGTCACAAAAAAACGAAGACCATAACAATATGTCACCACTTTTGGTGGTGACATAACAAATGTCAAATCCTAAGTCAAATCTTAAGTCAGATTTGAATTTCTGAGAACACATAGATGATTTTGAAAAAAAAATTTAGTCAATTTGAAGCAAGTTGAAAACAGACCTTTTTGACCTTTTTTGACCTTGAGAAGGTCATTGAAGGTCAAATGTCAAATCCAAAGTCAGATTTGAAGGTCAAATGTCAAATCTAAAGTTAAATCTAAAGTCAGATTTGAATTTCTGAGAACATGTAGATGATTTTGAAAAAAAATTTAGTCAATGTGAAGCAAGTTGAAAAAAGACCTTTTTGACCTTGAGAAGGTCATTGAAGGTCAAATGTCAAATTTAAAGTCAGATTTGAACTTCTGAGAACATGTAGATGATTTAGAAAAAAATTGAAGTCAGTCTAAACAGTATTTGTTAAGTTATAGGAAGTTGTAAGAAATTGTTACAGACGCCAACCGCCGGACGCCAACCGCCGGACGCCAACCGCCGGACGCCAACCACCGGACGCCAACCGCCGTCACACAAAAAAACGGAGACCATAACAATATGTCACCACTTTTGGTGGTGACATAAAAAGCAAAATCATTTATGGCCAATGCTTGTCTAAAACACATAACTTGAACATAAGTGGATATCAATATATAACACAATATGGTGTCATCATACATAATAGAAACATGTTCGATAATAGAAAAGAGATAAATGGTTATTTGGAATGCCCTTTAAAAATTCACATTAACAAATCAAACTAGTACAGTAACTCTCTTTAGTATGAATTTAGGTTAAAATACTGCAAAGCATTCTTGGCACTAGAAGGTCAGAGAGGGCGGGAACAAGATTTAAAAAAGATTAACACCCAAAAATTAATAACACTTCCAACCAACTGATCACATATATATCAAAATCTGGATGGAAGTACACCAAAATAACACACATTTCCTTAAAAACCATTTAAATATTCTATCATTGTTTTATGAAGCGACTTATTTAATATAATCTAACACTGAATACACATTCCAATATTACATATGATCTAACAGTGAATACACATTCCAATATTACATATGATCTAACAGTGAATACACATTCCAATATTACATATGATCTAACAGTGAATACACATTCCAATATTACATATGATCTAACAGTGAATACACATTCCAATAAACCAAGTCATTCAAACATTGATTATAAAAAAGATTGAACTTATCAAGTTTGTTGTAAATTAATCATTAGTATGACATCAATTAAATGGAGAGTTTCAAATTTTGACAGAAAAAAATTATTAACCTTTAGGATTAAAAACCCAACAATATATGATCAATGAGTCAATATTTGCTATGGCATTTAACTCACTCAAATATGGGGCGAAATGTTGGTTTTTGTTTTTAAACCTAAAATCTATATCTATGTATTTTATACATTCAGAACAGGAGTAGAACTTCATTCATTATTGAAAGAATCATGGTCCCTGAAGATTCAGGTCTATACTGGCCCTAACTGAGTATGACCTAATATAGACTAATAATAGCACGTAAGCATTTCCAAAAGCTAACCATAAGAGCAAAAAAAGATGTCATTAGGTCACAATACAAATCAATGGAAGCAAAACCATGTTTGCTCATTCCATGTATTGTTTTAGTTATTGGCCCAATATATGCAAAATTCATTTAGGCCATTTTTTGAAGAAAATCCCAGCCTTCAAAAGTGGCTTTCTCTCACTGGGTTAACCCTGCTATAGGGGATATCAATACAATTAGCAAGACAGCAAGTGATAAATATTGCACTTTTTTAGCAAGCATGCCCAGAACCTAATCAGATCTTAGTATCTAAGTCTGCTCTTGCATTTGTAAAAAATTCAAGTTGAGTAGATTTTCATGGAATTCTGATGACAGGATGTATGCGTTGTCCCCACCCACCCAGATACAAGCATGCACACACAGACGCAAACAAACCAGCAAAAAGACAAAAACAAAACATAGCACTTTGAAAAAGTAAGATCAAAAAATGATTTCAATACATTTGCATTACTTTTGAATCACTCTGTATCTGCCATAATTGACCTTTATAACAATAAATGTCAATTGCAAAATAAATATAACTCATTCATAATTTAGAACCTCGGGAAATTGGAGTGACAATAATGTACTATTCCAATGGTTTCAATAAGACAAAATATACAGCTGCTTTCATTATTATTATAGTATCACTGATACTTCTGAGTCAGACTTGTAAGTTGATTTTAAAATTATCAAAGTACTGTATCTACTAAGCATTCAAGTTAGACATTTCATTCATCAATGCGTACTATATCTAAGAATGAGTTAAAGAATTTGGATAAAATTTGATGTGTCGCAAAAATAGTAATTTTAGGAGTCTGTATTTATATGCCAGTGATCTTTAAATATATGATTGAAATAGAGAATTTAGATTGATTCATGTTGTTGTTTGGTTTATATATATGATTTAATGATAAAATGATAGAAACCTATTCATTTCAGGGACTATGACTTAGCTACCATTCACAAATTCAACTGTCGATTGACACCGATTTGATTCATTGCTATAGAATGACCAAATTATTTAAATATTAATATCTGAATAATATGGTAATAAGCTAGCAATCAAATCATCATCTGCCAGTCGACAGCTGCCAGTCGACTACTGAACCAAATTTAACTCCATCAAGTTAGAATGTAATGTTATAGATAAATGGATTTATATCTAAATACTGTTTTGCTTCTATACTTACAGGGTTACAATATAGTCCACGCAGGTGGAACGAAGATCTGAGAATGCAAAAGATCGCAAAAGTTCACAAAATGCGACTTCAACATATCCATAAAATGTGTCAGGAGCATGATGTTCGAAAGGTAGGGGCTGGAGTTCAGAATAATATTTTCAATGTTGAACTTTCTGAGGGAAAGCATGTGATATTTTGCCCCATAGCTAAAGTTGGTACAACATTCTTCGGAAGACTATTCGGAATACTTCAAATGAATCAACCAATCGATGACATGTATAACATGTCAGTGTTTGCCGGGTCAAGATACCATAAATATCAAACGTTTAACGAAATTGAAGAAAATGTACGACGAGAGACCCCAAAAATGATTTTTGTACGCCATCCGGAATCGAGGATTGTTTCTGCATATTTGGATAAGATTTATGGAATCGGGGCATTTAGACAACGCATCCCAGCATATCTGAAATCTGTGAGACCAAATAATACTGAAAAATCCTTCATTTGTGGCAGTGATGTAAGCTTTGATTTATTTTTAGAAATTGTCCTTAAAGATACAAGAAATGGTCATGGCAACAGACATTGGATGCCGGCATATAGCCGTTGCTTTGCATGTTCTATAGATTATGACATCATTGGTAAAATGGAAACATTCAATGACGATCTTCAGTATGCCATGCATTTGGCTGGCTATAAAGACTTCCCTGAAGTAACCACTACAAACACAGCAAAATTAGAAAGCATAAAAAGAGAAATCGAGAAACTTTTTAGAGCACATAAAAATGCTAAGTTTCCCTCACCAGAATGCAGTTTCACGATGGGCGAAGGTTATGACAGGGTTTGGAGCATTCTAAAAATTCATGGCCTATTAAATAAAAACACCATCATACCACCATCAAAAACAATTTTAGGATATATAGATAATACCACAGTTGCTGAAGTTTCAAAATTAGTTAAAAATGATCCAATATTTGTAAGACAATACCAGAAGGCCGAAAAAGACATGCAGGATTATGTTTTAAGGATGCACAAAACCCAGGACCCCAATGGGGAAAAATATAATGCCATTGAATATCTTTTCAGGAATATTTCAGAAGAAACAAAGGCCCGCCTTAAAGAGGCATATAAGTATGACTACCTTTTATTTGGATATGAGTAAAGGTTTCTTTAATTCAAGGACTCATTTAACTTTAATTGATAACAGTAAATTACTGGGTGATCCAAAAGTAACGTCAAAGATGTCATTTCAATGCTACTCGATCAATCTTCTAGAAAGTTAGTACAGATATCCCTTTTCCCCAATTATTGACTTAGTACCTCAGAAATAAAGCTCCTACTACTTGATTGGTAGATTTTATGATTACTATGGTAACCCATTGTGATGTCAACTGGGGCTTTAATTTTGCATTTGACTTGGAGCAAATGAATATCAATAATATTTCAATGTATTTTTTATTTCATTCATGTTAGTAACATTTATGATGTCACACAGACTATATTAGTCATTTATTTTGCTTTCTGAGAAAGTGTTCAACCAAGTATACCCCACACTGAACACCTCCTTGTCAATGTGGTATATAAACAAGATTGTCTGAGTGAAATCCACACATTGAAATACTCAAAATTTTTTAGTCCGGTTTTATTTCCTACAATGCTAGTAAAGGCCTTTAAGGGCATTTAAAAATGCAAGTATAAAAACATGTCTTTGTTTGTGGGGCTCAGGTATCAGCCATGTAGTAAACATACATAATTTTGAACAATAAAAAAGAATTCAGAATTTTTCTAAAGCAAAGTAACTTACCTGTAAGCTGCCAATGGTGGACTGGGCCACTCGTAAAGCCTGCTTACTTTCGTAATCTTCCTCTTTAGCACCCTCTGTGGCTGCGGATGTAGCTTTAAGGATGATCTCATCACGTGTGGATGTAGCAGGAAGTCGCAGTCTCAATTCAGTGATTACTTTGTCGCGAGATATGATGTTACTATCTAGTTCTCTCACCTTTGCTTCGAGACTGAGAACTTGCTAAAAAAGAGTTTGTAAATAAAGATCGTGAATGCAATGCTGGGGGTAACGCTGTGGCTACAATATATGTGATAGGTACAAATAGCTAATAGGTACATTTTTACTATCTTCAGTTTATCTGTTACTCAATGACATTCAATGGCTATCTGACTGGCCTATGTGAAGTAATGATTCTGCCGCTTTATAACATGTGATTCAGAATGAGTCTTATTCTGATGTTACTATAGCACATGCTTTTTGACATATAAAACATCATTTTCTGTAGAACACCAATCAAAACACCATGTATCCATCCCATGTATCATTAAATAGAAATGTCACACTGTTGAAAAATAAAAAATAAATTAACAAATTAATGAAAAACAATTTTCTATGAAAAGCACCACTTTTGAACCAACCTTTTTCATAGCTTTAGATTCAGCTTGTGTCTCTAGTATTGTACGAATATTTTTCTTGATTGTGCCTATTGCATGATCCAGTTGATTGGCCACAGGTAGAGAGGGGTCCGGTAGTTGACCCGCAGCCTCCTCAAACTAAAATATAAATGTAATATGTTATTATAGTACTTTCCATCAAACATCTCTTTAACTGTAAAGAAACTTTTGATATCAATTTAAATATGATTCATTTCTCTCTCAATGCCATGGACAATATTTTCAATGAATATTTACAATACATCAATAAATTAAACATATATAAAGTCTAGAAGTTAAAATCCATATGTGTAGTATGTTACAATATAATGCAAACTCAGTGTAGATTTTTTTCATTTCATACATTTTCTCAGTTTGTTGTTCAGTTAATCACTCTTTTCTCCCTCAGAATTCTAAAATTCCCGAATTAATTGACCACTTTTGAAGAATATTATTAGAATTCCATGTCCAAGGCCGCCATGTAAATTGACATAGAATTTTGCACCCATTTGATAAAATCTCACGGAGAACATGTATACCTTTGATGCAGCATCAGCAATGGTCGATTGTGTCTCCTCCATTTTGGAGAGCATTCTCTCTAACTCCACCTCCCTTTGCTCCCACTGTAGTTGTCTCTCCTCAAATTCCCGCGCCTGTCTCACACTCTCTTCCTCTAGGGTACCAAGTGTCACTTCATGACCTTTTATAACACCTTCTAGGTACTTTATCTGTAAGTTATATTAATTCATATCATTAAAACAATGATCAATTTAATACATTACTCAATTAATTAGAAATCCATAATAATGAATGTTTGGATTTTGAGGAGCCATTATGAATATCAAAAATGAACTGAAAAAGAAAATGAGTATTTCTTCAAAAGTAATAGAAATACAGTACGTAGGAATGAAAGGCCTCAAACAGAGTCCCCCGATCCTCATCCTAATAAATGAACTTTTCTGTGTTTATTACTATCAAAATAAATACATAATTAGGATATCTGTGCAAATCTTTATAAGCTTTTGATGCTCATATTGATGACATGGGGAGAAACTGATTTTGACTTCCATTCTGGAAAATTTCTGAAAATGATCCCCTGACCAACAAACCTGCTGTTGAAAACGATCAATGCTTCTTTTCTTCTTCAAATCCTCCAGCCTCAGTCCCTCCATCTTCCCATGCCATTCCATGACCTTTTGAGCTCCCTTACCATCCTTTAGAGTCACTATGAGGTCTTCAAGTCCAGAATGCTTTAGCTCTAAACTTGCCAGTTTGTCCTCTACTACATGTCTTTGCTTGTTCACCTGAAAGAATCATCAAGGAGCAGATGAAACAATGAAGAAGTAGATGAAACAATGAAGAAGTAGATGAAACAATGAAGAAGTAGATGAAACAATGAAGAGGTAGATGAAACAATGAAGAAGTAGATGAAACAATGAAGAGGTAGATGGAACAATAAAGAGGTAGATGAAACAATAAAGAGATAGATGAAACAATGAAGAGGTAGATGAAACAATGAAGAAGTAGATGAAACAATGAAGAAGTAGATGAAACAATGAAGAAGTAGATGAAACAATGAAGAGGTAGATGAAACAATGAAGAAGTAGATGAAACAATGAAGAGGTAGATGGAACAATGAAGAGGTAGATGAAACAATAAAGAGATAGATGAAACAATGAAGAGGTAGATGAAACAATGAAGAGATAGATGAAACAATGAAGAGGTAGATGAAACAATGAAGAGGTAGATGAAACAATAAAGAGATAGATGAAACAATGAAGAGGTAGATGAAACAATGAAGAGATAGATGAAACAATGAAGAGGTAGATGGAACAATGAAGAGGTAGATGAAACAATAAAGAGATAGATGAAACAATGAAGAGGTAGATGAAACAATGAAGAGGTAGATGAAACAATGAAGAGGTAGATGAAACAATAAAGAGATAGATGAAACAATGAAGAGGTAGATGAAACAATGAAGAGATAGATGAAACAATGAAGAGGTAGATGAAACAATAAAGAGGTAGATGAAACAATGAAGAAGTAGATGAAACAATGAAGAGGTAGATGAAACAATGAAGAGGTAGATGAAACAATGAAGAGGTAGATGAAACAGTCAAGAGGTAGATGAATTAATGAAGCGGTAGATGGAACAATGAAGAGGTAGATGAAGCAATGAAGAGGTAGATGAAACAATGAAGAGGTAGATGAAACAATGAAGAGGTAGATGAAACAGTCAAGAGGTAGATGAAACAATGAAGCGGTAGATGGAACAATGAAGAGGTAGATGAAACAATGAAGGGGTAGATGAAACAATGAAGAGGTAGATGGAACAATGAAGAGGTAGATGAAACAATGAAGAGGTAGATGAAACAATGAAGAGGTAGATGAAACAATGAAGAGGTAGATGAAACAGTCAAGAGGTAGATGAAACAATGAAGCGGTAGATGGAACAATGAAGAGGTAGATGAAACAATGAAGAGGTAGATGGAACAATGAAGAGGTAGATGAAACAATGAAGAGGTAGATGAAACACTGAATGGTAGAAAAAACAGTGAAGGAGTATATGAAGCAATGAAGAGGTAGATGATACAATGAAGAGGTGGGTGCAACAATGAAGATGTATAAGAGTTTATTAAAGAATATATGAAACAATCAAGGGATTGATGAAATAATCAACAGAAGCAATGGGTAGATGAATTAACAAGGAATATATGATACAATCAATGGGCATAAAATAATCAAAATTCTTAAATCACTAAAATTTAGCTGGTAGCTCATTAATTTAAAAGGTGAGCGAATGTAGTCTGAATTATGTTTACATATTGAAAATTATTTAATTAATTACGACCATTACTCTCATCTAATGTAACCAACTTCAATTTCATGAGAGTGTAAAATATCACATCAAAGATGACAAACCTCCAAAAGCTCTGCTTCTATGGCTTTTTTATCATCTTGAAGCTGAATCATGCTTTTTGCAAACTTCTCTTGTTTGCTGAGGGGGATAGCACCACTATATTGCCTTCTTAGATTCTACAACATAGAAAATAATGTTGTGATGAGAAGATGTCTTCCTGAGGTATATAAACATAACTGTATTGCTTTCTTGGATTCTACAACATAGAAATGATGTTATAATGAGACGATGTCTTACTGAAGGGGATAGCCACATAAAAATGGTGGCCATTTTGAATTCAGTGGCCATATTGGAGATTCATTTTTAAGCAGAGGTTATATGCCCATAAAGCATCAGCCTATAAAATGTGAATCCAATCCATCAACCAGGTTTGATTTATTGCCAAGACAGAAATACTAATGAATGGATGGACAGACAAAAGGACAGATTGATAGTTTCTCTATATCCCTACTTGAAATTTGGTGTCATAATAATCCTCACCTGTATATTACGTTTAAGGTGTTTTGCTTTGTTATGAGATTCTATTCTATTATGGTATATAATCTGATCCTTGTCATCAACCTGCTTCTGCAGTCTTAACACCTGTGCATTCAGTTTGCGGATTTTGTTCTCAGCATCCTCTAGTTTTCTAACAGCTGTACCCTCCGAGACTTGTAACTGCACAATGTGGCGATGCAGTTTACCTGAAATGCATTATTTATCATTATTAGAAACTACATCTTTCCAACGATGACGCACTTTAATTATATGAATTATAGGTGTCTCTAAATCAGGTTACAGTAATTAAAATCGTAAGAACACTACATTTAGAATAAAATTTTGGTGTAATATTAATGCATTCATTACTGTAATGGACCAAATATTAAGACCCTCTCCAAAAAGTTTAGATGCACATATTAAAACATCTTCAAAAGGGATAAACATGACAAAATGTCATTACATGTACTTGACAAGGCATTAACATGACAAAATGTCACCACCTAAAACAATTTGGTCAATTTAAAGCAAGTTGGAAAATACCTTTTGACCTTAAGAAGGTTTGATTTGAACTTCTTAGAACATGTAGATGATTTTGAAAAAAAAATTCGTCAATTTGAAGCAAGTTGAAAAAATACCTCTTTGACTTTTTTTGACATTGAGAAGGTCATTGAAGGTCAAATGTTAAATGTAAAGTCAGATTTGAACTTCTGAGAACATGTAGATGATTTTGAAAAAAAATTAAGTAAATTTGAAGCAAGTTGAAAAAAGACCTTTTTGACCTTTTCAAGGTCATTGAAGGTCAAATGTCAAATCTAAAGTTAGATTTGAACTTCTGAGAACATGTAGATGATTTTGAAAAAAAATTAGTCAATTTGAAGCAAGTTGAAAAAAGACCTTTTTGACCTTGAGAAGGTCAATGAAGGTCAAAGGTCAAATTTAAAGTCAGATTTGAACTTCTGAGAACTTGTTATGTCAAAGGACGATTCTCGGTTTGGAGAACGAAGTTCATCAATCTAAATGAGTATTATCCCTGCTTCGGACAAATTTGATTTTTTTACATAATATAGATTTGAATGTCCTCTTTTGAATAGTTATACTTTAATTTGGGTAATATTTCTAGATTTTTCGCAAAAAAATATTAGCGAAGTACACTGATGAACTTATTTCCCCAAATCGAGACTTGTATTTTATTGAATCGGTCTAATTGAGCGTTATCCCTGCTTCAGACCAATTTGTTATTTTTACATCTTGTAGATTTAAATGTCCTCTTTTGAATATTCATAGTTTAATTTGGGTAATATTTCTATATTTTCATGAAAAAAAATATTAGCCCAGGAGACTGTTCTCCAAACCGAGAATCGTCCTTTGAACTTCTGAAAAGATGTAGATGATTTTGAAAAAAAAATTTGGTCAATTTGAAGCAAGTTGAAAACAGACCTTTTTGACCTTTTTTGACCTTGAGAAGGTCATTAAAGGTCAAATGTCAAATCTAAATTCAGATTTGAATGTCTGAGAACATGTAGATGATTTTGAAAAAAAAAATTAGTCAATTTGAAGCAAGTTGAAAAAAGACCTTTTTGACCTTTTTTGACCTTGAGAAGGTCACTGAAGGTCAAATGTCAAATCTAAAGTCAAATCTAAAGTCATATTTGAATTTCTGAGAACATGTAGATGATTTTGAATAAAAAATTTAGTCAATTTGAAGCAAGATGAAAAAATACCATTTTGACCTTTTTTGAAATTGAGAAGGTCATTGAAGGTCAAATGTCAAATCTTAAGTCAAATCTAAAGTCAGATTTGAATTTCTGAGAATACATAGATGATTTTGAAAAATTTTTTTAGTCAATTTGAAGCAAGTTGAAAACAGACCTTTTTGACCTTTTTTGACCTTGAGAAGGTCATTGAAGGTCAAATCTTAAGTCAAATCTAAAGTCAGATTTGAACTTCTGAGAACACGTAGATGATTTTGAAAAAAAAATTTAGTCAATTTGAAGCAAGTTGAAAACAGACCTTTTTGACCTTTTTGACCTTGAGAAGGTCAAATGTCAAATCTAAACTCACATTTGAAGGTCAAATGTCAAATCTAAAGTCAGATTTGAATTTCTGAGAACATGTAGATGATTTTGAAAAAAAATTAAGTAAATTTGAAGCAAGTTGAAAAAAGACCTTTTTGACCTTTTCAAGGTCATTGAAGGTCAAATGTCAAATCTAAAGTCAGATTTGAACTTCTGAGAACTTGTTATGTCAAATTTGAACTTCTGAAAAGATGTAGATGATTTTGAAAAAAAAATTTGGTCAATTTGAAGCAAGTTGAAAACAGACCTTTTTGACCTTTTTTGACCTTGAGAAGGTCATTAAAGGTCAAATGTCAAATCTAAATTCAGATTTGAATGTCTGAGAACATGTAGATGATTTTGAAAAAAAAAATTAGTCAATTTGAAGCAAGTTGAAAAAAGACCTTTTTGACCTTTTTTGACCTTGAGAAGGTCACTGAAGGTCAAATGTCAAATCTAAAGTCAAATCTAAAGTCATATTTGAATTTCTGAGAACATGTAGATGATTTTGAATAAAAAATTTAGTCAATTTGAAGCAAGATGAAAAAATACCATTTTGACCTTTTTTGAAATTGAGAAGGTCATTGAAGGTCAAATGTCAAATCTAAAGTCAGATTTGAATTTCCGAGAACATGTAGATGATTTTGAAAAAAAAAATTAATCAATTTGAAGCAAGTTGAAAAAAGACCTTTTTGACCTTTTTTGACTTTGAGAAGGTCATTGAAGGTCAAATGTCAAATCTTAAGTCAAATCTAAAGTCAGATTTGAATTTCTAAGAATACATAGATGATTTTGAAAAATTTTTTTAGTCAATTTGAAGCAAGTTGAAAACAGACCTTTTTGACCTTTTTTGACCTTGAGAAGGTCATTGAAGGTCAAATGTCAAATCTTAAGTCAAATCTTAAGTCAGATTTGAATTTCTGAGAACACGTAGATGATTTTGAAAAAAAAATTTAGTCAATTTGAAGCAAGTTGAAAACAGACCTTTTTGACCTTTTTTGACCTTGAGAAGGTCAAAAGTCAAATCTAAACTCAGATTTGAAGGTCAAATGTCAAATCTAAAGTCAGATTTGAATTTCTGAGAACATGTAGATGATTTTGAAAAAAAATTTAGTCAATGTGAAGCAAGTTGAAAAAAGACCTTTTTGACCTTGAGAAGGTCATTGAAGGTCAAATGTCAAATCTAAAGTCAGATTTGAACTTCTGAGAACATGTAGATGATTTATAAAAAAATTGAAGTCAGTCTAAACAGTATTTGTTAAGTTATAGGAAGTTGTAGTCAATTTGAAGCAAGTTGAAAAAAGACATTTTTGACCTTTTTTGACTTTGAGAAGGTCATTGAAGGTCAAATGTCAAATCTTAAGTCAAATCTAAAGTCAGATTTGAATTTCTGAGAATACATAGATGATTTTGAAAATTTTTTTAGTCAATTTGAAGCAAGTTGAAAACAGACCTTTTTGACCTTTTTTGACCTTGAGAAGGTCATTGAAGGTCAAATGTCAAATCTTAAGTCTAATCTTAAGTCAGATTTGAATTTCTGAGAACACGTAGATGATTTTGAAAAAAAATTTTAGTCAATTTTAAGCAAGTTGAAAACAGACCTTTTTGACCTTTTTTGACCTTGAGAAGGTCATTGAAGGTCAAATGTCAAATCTAAAGTCAGATTTGAAGGTCAAATGTCAAATCTAAAGTCAGATTTGAATTTCTGAGAACATGTAGATGATTTTGAAAAAAAATTTAGTCAATGTGAAGCAAGTTGAAAAAAGACCTTTTTGACCTTGAGAAGGTCATTGAAGGTCAAATGTCAAATCTAAAGTCAGATTTGAACTTCTGAGAACATGTAGATGATTTAGAAAAAAATTGAAGTCAGTCTAAACAGTATTTGTTAAGTTATAGGAAGTTGTAAGAAATTGTTACAGACGCCGGACGCCGGACGCCAGACACCGGACGCCGGACGCCAACCACCAACCGCCGTCGCAAAAAAACGGAGACCATAACAATATGTCACCACTTTTGGTGGTGACATAAAAACTCAGATTTGAAGGTCAAATGTCAAATCTAAAGTCAGATTTGAATTTCTGAGAACATGTAGATGATTTTGAAAAAAAATTTAGTCAATGTGAAGCAAGTTGAAAAAAGACCTTTTTGACCTTGAGAAGGTCATTGAAGGTCAAATGTCAAATCTAAAGTCAGATTTGAACTTCTGAGAACATGTAGATGATTTATAAAAAAATTGAAGTCAGTCTAAACAGTATTTGTTAAGTTATAGGAAGTTGTAGTCAATTTGAAGCAAGTTGAAAAAAGACCTTTTTGACCTTTTTTGACTTTGAGAAGGTCATTGAAGGTCAAATGTCAAATCTTAAGTCAAATCTAAAATCAGATTTGAATTTCTGAGAATACATAGATGATTTTGAAATTTTTTTTAGTCAATTTGAAGCAAGTTGAAAACAGACCTTTTTGACCTTTTTTGACCTTGAGAAGGTCATTGAAGGTCAAATGTCAAATCTTAAGTCTAATCTTAAGTCAGATTTGAATTTCTGAGAACACGTAGATGATTTTGAAAAAAAAATTTAGTCAATTTTAAGCAAGTTGAAAACAGACCTTTTTGACCTTTTTTGACCTTGAGAAGGTCATTGAAGGTCAAATGTCAAATCTAAAGTCAGATTTGAAGGTCAAATGTCAAATCTAAAGTCAGATTTGAATTTCTGAGAACATGTAGATGATTTTGAAAAAAAATTTAGTCAATGTGAAGCAAGTTGAAAAAAGACCTTTTTGACCTTGAGAAGGTCATTGAAGGTCAAATGTCAAATCTAAAGTCAGATTTGAACTTCTGAGAACATGTAGATGATTTAGAAAAAAATTGAAGTCAGTCTAAACAGTATTTGTTAAGTTATAGGAAGTTGTAAGAAATTGTTACAGACGCCGGACGCCAGACGCCGGACGCCGGACGCCAACCACCAACCGCCGTCGCAAAAAAACGGAGACCATAACAATATGTCACCACTTTTGGTGGTGACATAAAAAAACGGAGACCATAACAATATGTCACCACTTTTGGTGGTGACATAATAAGTTATTTCAGATGGTTGTAAAAGTGTAACAATTGTTACAGATGAAGTAAACCAGCTGTCTGTCAGAAATAAAGGACCATTGAGGACCCTTATGCTCACACTGTAACCCCAAATTTGATGTCAAAATGGCAATTTCATGAAAACCAGGGGAATCTAAAATTTGCATCAAGAACTGATAGGTAGATGGGGGGACCAGCGCCTTTTCTATTAAAAGGCAATCCTTTTCTATTAAATGGCAATTCACTTTCTTTATACATCAACAATTTTTTCAAGCTCCATGCAAATCCAGCACATTCAACATGAGATTAGGAAGTTGTGGATTCCATTCCCACCAAGTTGGAGTGACTTTGTCACATCAGCTCTTTGCATAGGATTTGATCCTATATGTTTCAAATAAGCCAATGTGAAATTTATCTTTCAATGTGATATTGAAATTATATCTTCTATATAACGAACAGTGTCTCTTTAACAAAACAAGGTCAAAAACATGTTTCCCATAATATGAAAATTACATATTGAATGGAACAATAGATCAAAAGAGAATTCTAAGCAACACCAACTGAACATCATGTAAACGATGACTTTTCAACTACAGATTCAAGTGTATTGTCTAGCTGTCTTGACCTGATAACCTCAGCATTATCACATGATTTACTACTGCATTAGATTAAGTCAATTTAGACATATTCAGCTATCTGTTTTACCAGATATCAAGAAACTGTCTGATCAATGAATGAACCTTTCCAACACTATGATAGAGACACCTGTAGTTGACTTCAAGGATTATGGCCTTAATGTTGATGCTGAGAACAGCCCCACAGATGCACAACTAAAAGAGCTTGCAGAGGATGTGTATAAGGCACTGACTGGAGTGGGCTTTATGTACATCAAAAATCATGGTATATCAGCTGATTTGGTAAGAAAATATATATTTTGTTCTTTTTACATTGAGAATCACAGAATACCATTTGATGATATTACTCGAAAGCTATATTTCATATCAGGAGAAATGAGATTTGTTAGCTTCATAATACAGATTGCATTCTTAATGCTGTTGTTTAAATATGAGTTATGACATCGGTTTTACTTTTCTTGTACATTACTGCTGGTTATCAGCAGATATTATTAATAATATGTACATTAACACTAAACTCAGGGTCAAGCTATAAGCTGGATTTACAGAACATTTTCCTAGAGATGTAGGGACAAGACAAGGTTGTGGTTTAGGCCCAATGTTATTTAATGTACTGTATGTCTAAATAATATCCAATTATTATTCATTGATGGAACATTTGACCCATATATATTAGAGGGAAAAGAATCAATACAAGCATATAGATAATATTGCATTGTTTTATGATACAGTAGTACACACTATTGTGACCCCCCCCCTCCCCCATTACACATGCCACCACTACAAGTAGAGAAGTAGAAAAAGGATGGGGAGGTCCAGAGGCTTAAATAAAAGAGACAAATTACATCAGATGAAAATATTGTAGCACATGGAAGATGAATGTCAACATGTATACAAAGTCCAGAAAATATATCAAAATTTGATAATAACATTGCCAATTGTCACACTGATGTTTTGGCAACAGACACTGGTAATTGGTTAATAATAGTACTATATCGTCCCTTCACTATTAAAAGATTCTATGTCCACTTGTACCATATTTGAGAAAACAGAGAACAAACATTTAGGTTCTCTTTGTGATACAGTAAAGTAGAATTTTGAGATAAATGCTTATGCATCATATAGCCAAGATGAATCATTCCTGATCAGGATGGCAAGAAATGTCAATATTTAAGGCTACTTTTTAAAGAAAATAGTTTTGGAGATAGAACCTTTTGCGTCTGTAACACAACAATGAGTTTAAATGATGGAGATAGAACCTTTTACTACCCTGGAATACATTGATTGTCAAGATGAAGCTATATTTACAGAAGCAAGCCACACTATTGCGAAGGGTAACCTTTTATCTATCCAGATCGAACTTGACAAGTCATTATAACATTTTTACAAAATTCTGTTACAAAAGGTTGGTGCCATTTTTGTGTAAAATCCAGGCGTGCCTGCAAAGGAATAGACCAAACATCTTGTAATGCTCATAAAGGTGCATCTAATTCAGCTAGTAATCTAAAACTTCCTCTGGAGCTGCTCCAATGAGTAAAGTTTTACTATGCAAAAGGACAAGTCAGAATTTATGCAGATAAAAAAGTTATGCAAGACATTATGTGGGGGGGGGTAGCATTTTGTCTGACTCACACAGGATATACTATGTTGTTAAATGTAAAAAGGTTTTATCTCCAATTTGAATCATGACATTGAATGTTAAAAAGTTTTACCTCAAGAGATGGGTAACCATATAGCAGTAACTATCTCTTTCAAATGAAGGACATAGAACCTTATTGCATTAGAAATCTCCTATTTCTGTTGGAGATACAGCTTTATAATCTTAATCTTTGGAAAGAGCACAGCTAAGGCCACCGGGGTACTACATGCCATGTGCACCAAGTACAATTAGCATCTTGCCAAGTACGAAGTATACACGTTGCCCAGCATGTGGACCAAGTTACAAGTCACATGCTGCCATGTCCAATTTTCAAAATTTTCGAAGTCTTAATGATAAACCTCGCATGTGCAGCATGTGGACCAAGTTAGCAAGTGACATGGTACCATGTTGCATGTTCAAATAGCATCTTGCCAAGTTTAAACTATACATCTCGCATGTGCAGCATGTGGACCAAGTTAGCAAGTGACATGCTGCCATGTTGCATGTTCAAATAGCATCTTACCAAGTTTAAACTATATATCTCGCATGTGCTGCATGTGGACCAAGTTAGCAAGTGACATGCTGCCATGTTGCATGTTCAAATAGCATCTTGCCAAGTTTAAACTATACATCTCGCATGTGCAGCATGTGGACCAAGTTAGCAAGTGACATGCTACCATGTTGCATGTTCAAATACCATCTTGCCAAGTTTAAACTATACATCTCGCATGTGTTGCATGTGGACCAAGTTAGCAAGTGACATGCTGCCATGTTGCATGTTCAAATAGCATCTTCCCAAGTTTAAACTGTACATCTCGCATGTGCAGCATGTGGACCAAGTTAGCAAGTGACATGCTACCATGTTGCATGTTGAAATAGCATCTTGCCAAGTTTAAACTATACAACTCGCATGTGCAGCATGTGGACCAAGTTGCCAAGTGACATGGTACCATGTTGCATGTACAGATAGCATCTTGCCAAGTTTAAACTATACATCTCGCATGTGCAGCATGTGGACCAAGTTAGCAAGTGACATGCTACCATGTTGCATGTTGAAATAGCATCTTGCCAAGTTTAAACTATACAACTCGCATGTGCAGCATGTGGACCAAGTTGCCAAGTGACATGGTACCATGTTGCATGTACAGATAGCATCTTGCCAAGTTTAAACTATACATCTCGCATGTGCAGCATGTGGACCAAGTTAGCAAGTGACATGCTACCATGTTGCATGTTGAAATAGCATCTTGCCAAGTTTAAACAACTCGCATGTGCAGCATGTGGACCAAGTTGCCAAGTGACATGGTACCATGTTGCATGTACAAATAGCATCTTGCCAAGTTTAAACTATACATCTCGCATGTGCAGCATGTGGACCAAGTTGCCAAGTGACATGGTACCATGTTGCATGTACAGATAGCATCTTGCCACGTTTAAACCATACGACTCACATGTGCAGCATGTGGACCAAGTTGCCAAGTGGCATGCTGCCATGTTGCATGTTCGAATAGCATCTTGCCAAGTTTCAACTATACATCTCTCATGTGCAGCATGTGGATCAAGTTCCAAAATGACACGTTTGTTTATTTGGAATGGGAAATTAAATGATAAAATATATTTTTAAACTAAAAAGCTTGTTTAATGAACGGTAAAACTAATGAAATGAACACAAATTTTGAAAATGTAATTTAAAAAAATGGTTAATTGGTATATAAGTTTGAGCTTTTGTAGTAAGCATATGAAGAAATCATCCTCTACAATATTCTAGGTTAGCTGACCACTAACTCCCGGGCACTGACTACATTTGTATTCTGCCACTCTCAGGCCAGTAGTCAGCTTTTACCAGGGAGGGAAGCAGGGGGAGGGCTGTTTTTAAAGAATTCCATGAGGGATTTGACTTTTCCTTTGCATTATATCTTAGAATTCACACATGTAAAATGTTTCAATATGATAATAATAGATTACTAACTTTATGTTCTCATAAAACAAAAATAGATTGCAGAGAATAATTTATTATGTAGAGATGATTTTATTATGGAATAATTGTGAAGTAATAAACTTGTTAATGTTACAAAGCTATGAACAGCATATTACTGTATCATATACAATTCTAACACAATTCTAAACACATGTGAACATTATAGTATCCTTGTATTAATGTTCCAATCTGAGTGTCAGTTAGTTCACTAAGTAGGCTCCCTGGTCAGAAACATCTTGAATTCTTGAATAAGTAGAAATAAGAATATAACTGTATTTATGTAGAATTGAAAATCTGTATATTCAAATATTACAGTTAGCAATTTGCAAATATAGAACATTTACCATTGCCCATGAGTTTTCTGCTCTGTAGAAAGACCATAAATGCACATCTTTATGAATTTATATAATCAATAGCACTTTAAGTCCCCATATAAGGTCTAAATCACTTTGGCTTATACTGTAGTCTTACTCAGTGTTATATGGAAGAATGTGAAACTTTTATGAATTATGAATTTATATAAAACTAACTTTTATAACTAACTTTTAGAGATCACATATATATTCTAATAAGCGATAATTCAAACCAATGCATAGCATTCATCCTCACATGATTTTGGTGAAAAATTAAGAAAATTGGTTCAAAAATAGGCGAGAAATGAACTCGTCAATGCTTTAAAATGGTTCAGAGAAAAATGTATTTCAGAATTTCTTAGTTCTCATAGAAACCAATGGTACATAATATTTCAAACATATATACTTCCTTTTAATCTCAGGTTAGACAATCAACATTGGTTTATATTTGAAGTTTTGCATATTTAGAAAAGATTGACATTGGAAAAAAATGATGTCACTGCCGACCATACGTTTTTATGTAAATCTCCCGTAAAATATTTTGTTTTTCCGTAAATGCAACAAAACTCCCATACCGTTTAAACCCGTAAAACTACTGTTATCTCCTGTACCGTAGTTTTACTAAAATCTACCGTAATTTTTTATAAATTCATTTTTCCTGTGAAAATGGCCGTAAAAACCTTCTGTATTTTTGACTGAAATCTCCCTTAATCTACCGTGTTTGAGCTAAATCTACAGTCAGTAACCTTGATTATTGGACTTCTTTCTTTTACTTTCAGTTTTACAGCAAGGAAATGTATATTTTCTGTAAAAACTGAGCGAGCAAAGGAACCCTCATAATACTTGTTCAGGGCCAACTTACATCATGGGCTTTTAATAATCAGTCTGATTACTCATTAATTTTTGTCATATTCTTTTGTTTTCCCATTTCATTTAACTAAATGAACTTTCATTCAACTTTTATTCACCATGACCTCGTTCAAAACCAATTTCAGGTTGGCAGGTCTGACGTTAGTTGCAAAATATTTTTGATATGCTAAACCATTGAAGTGGCGCATCATTAAAAAAATTTAACTTTTATTTGAAAAATGGCGGGAAATTTGATAATGAGAAATGAAAAAATTCAAAAAATGAATTTAACCCTAAGACCATGAATATGTGTGTCAAAAAATGTAAAATAAATAAAAAAATGAATTCCATAAATAAATAAATTTTTCTATGTCAAAATATAAAAAAAAAGAATTTAATTCTAACCTTAATTAACCCTAAGCAACCCCAACCCTATTAAACCAGATGGAGTTTTAAATGATTACCTAACCCTGACCTACCCACTGAGGACACAGGATGCGTACTAGACCCTAATGATACAGGGTCCAATTGGCAGGAGCGGTAATCGCATACCAGACCCTAATGATACAGGGTCCACTTGGCAGGAGCAGCGTTCGCATACCAGACCCTTAAATGATACAAGATCCACTTGGCAGGAGCGGCAATTGTGTACCAGACCCTAATGATACAGGGTCCACTTGGCAGGAGCGGCGTTTGCATACCAGACCCTAATGATACAGGATCTACTTAGCAGGAGCAGCGATCGCTATCAGTAGGGTCTGGCACACGAATGCCACTCCTGCAAAGTGAAATGAGTTTAAACCGTAACCTCAACCCACCCTAACCAACCCTATTAAACCAGATGGGGTTTTAACGATGATTACCTAACCCTGAACTACCCACTGAGGACACAGGACGCGTACCAGACCCTAATGATACAGGGTCCACTTGGCAGGAGCGGCGATCGTGTACCAGACCCTAATGATAGAGGGTCCACTTGGCAGGAGCGGCATTCGTGTACCAGACCCTAATGATACAAGGTTCACTTGGCAGGAGCAGCAATCGCTATCCATACAGTAGGGTCTGGCACATGAACGCCACTCCTGCAAAGTGAAATGAGTTTAAACCGTAACCTCAACCCACCCTAACCAACCCTATTAAACCAGATGGGGTTTTAAATGATTACCTAACCCAGAACTACCCACTGAGGACACAGGACGCGTACCAGACCCTAATGATACAGGGTCCACTTGGCAGGAGCGGCGATCGTGTACCAGACCCTAATGATACAGGGTCCACTTGGCAGGAGCGGCGATCGTGTACCAGACCCTAATGATACAGGGTCCACTTGGCAGGAGCGGCGATCGTGTCCCAGACCCTAATGATATAGGGTCCACTTGGCAGGAGCGGCATTCGTGTACCAGACCCTAATGATACGAGGTCAACTTGGCAGGAGCGGCGATTGCGTACCAGACCCTAATGATACAGGGTCAACTTGGCAGGAGCGGTGATCACATACCAGAGAGACCCTAATGATAAAGTGTCCACTTGGCAGGAGCAGCGTTCACGTACATCTTTTATTGACTCAGATGTCATCACAATGACATATTAGTCAGTACAATGTACAATATACAAAAATAACTTAGACTAAACTAACTACAAAATACAAAATGTAAACAACATGACAAATGCAAAAATATAAGTTATGAGTCAAGTTTTAAATACAGCATATAAGAAAATGTAAAATATCAGTGTGATGTATCATTAAATGACACAATGTTCATCCAACACATATACAATGTATGAATTAAAGATCATTGCCAGGATCAATAAATGACTATGTCTGTTGAACTTGGCAACATGCACACATGGCACCACCAACATTTCTGGTACATGGTACAGATGCTAATACAAGATGGCAAGTAGAACCATGTTGAGCATTAATAGACATTATTATAACATGGACATCCAACATGCCATGCTACGGCCAGTAGCCACATTTATCACATGACAACATGCTGTACTTGGTAAGTTGTGAACTTGGGATCACTTGAATCAAGGTACTTGGCACACATGCAAATATAAGATGGCAAGTATGCCAATGCAACATGTATAAATCAACATGCACATCCAACATGCGAACATGGCAGTACTCACAAATTCTGATACACGTACACATGCTAAAACAAGATGCCATGTCCAACCAAAATAGTACATGTTCCAATCTAGAATAAATCTTGAATTATCACTTGCACATTCAACATGCCATGTTGAGCCAGTTGCTCTGTCTTTCACATGCTAGACCAGTAGCATGTTGTCAGAAAGGTACTTGCTAAAATATTGCCATGTTACTAACAAGTATATGCCAAGTGACTGCATCTTGTAGATATTACCACTTGGCAACATGGCAGAACATGGCATGTTTGGACCCGGTGGCCATAAATGAAAGAGCATGGTGAATTTAGGGGGAATCCACTTTCACATGCATTTGACCCATTTTTGTAGTTAGAACCTTATAATACTGAAGGGACGATATAAGCAACTAATGATATCTAACTAAATGTACAAGTAAATATTTTTACCTGTAACCAAAGTGAAAGCATTGGAAAACAATACTTTGAGGGAAAAATCGGTATTATTGCGAAATATTTAATAAAAGACAATCTGTTGCAAAATTTGACATTTTTCTTCTTTAATAAATTATCTACACCACCTTTAACATCATTGTGTAAAATCAAGACATTCTCTCATCAATATGGAGATATTGTGATATTTGCAATTACGAGTGTTCTTTTCAAGCAAATCTATGTAATTTTGAACTTCTAAGTAATGTAGGAAAACTATGTATGACTACAGTTATGTTGGTTCTTATTTCAGTTCAAGAGAATTGAGAATATTGGAAGAGAATTTTTCAGTTTACCACAAGAAGAAAAGATGAAATGTAGCTTTACAGAAGGAAAGAAGTATGGCTATTCTGGAGTTGCAACTCAAATGTATGTACAACTATATCTTCTATTACATTTGAACATATATAACCATATACAGTGCACACCAAGAATGAGATAGTTATTCTTATATAAGAGAGTTGCAGTTTTGGCTCACCCCCAGGCCCGTAGCCAGAATTTTCCAAGGGGGCCCACTTTTCCAAAAAATTCTAGGGGGAGGTTCACTTTGGCAAATTTGGCCAAAAATCACTCCAAAATAGTCAGAATGGTGAAAAACTGCATTTTGAGAGAAATTTTGGCTAGGGGGGGGGGTGGTTCGCCTGAACTCCCCGAACCACCCCATGGCTATGGGCCTGACCCTGTATCCTTCTGTTTTTTACTCCGATCAATAAACACCAAATATAAGTTACCAACCTAAACATTTATATGTTTCAGGTTAGGTGGAAATAGAGATGTAAAGGAATTCTTTGACTATGAATATTGGCTCCCTGCAGTGAGTCATGATAAAGTTACTTTTCTGTTATATAGTTTATGCTAAAATGGCTCTATCTCTCAAATATCCCAATTTTTAAAATAATTAACAGACTGTAATTAGCACAAGTAATTAGCAATAGAATTTTCTTGCAATATAAATCATAAATATCAAGGCTTCAGCAAAATTGCATGTAACAATTCTAATTTGTTAAAGGCATAATATATCATCATGATGTTTCTGTGTCTAAAAGCATATTCTGCGCAATTAAAATAGTGGCTATGATTCTACTGTATGTATCACATATATTTTACTTTAACAGAGATGGCCAAAGAATGTGAATGGTTTTGAAGAGGTCTATAAAGAAATGTTCAGAGAATTCACCACATTATTTAGGAGAGTGCTTGAAGTAATGGCATTATCAATAAACCAGGTTAGTTCTAAATTCAATAATATGCAACACATACTGCATATTTGAACACCCATGGCCTGAGAATATAAAGAATATGAATTATTTCAAAGATGAAAATAGTGAAGGAGATTTGAGTTTATGGCATTATCTTTAAACTAGGTTAGTATGACTGGAGTCTAACATTACTCCTAGGCTCAATCTTTGGAATGTATAGTGACCCACCTTGAAGAAATTTTATTTACAGTATTGTATATATTGTGAGCTTTTGGTAAAATTACGTGTCATAAGTCCAATAAGACAACATAAATACGAGGGTATATCATACACAGATACTGCCTGGCTTCCAAGATGCAAAAATAATTTGTATAGATAGTGTACCTTGAACACCATTTTTTATGAATGCTGGGGACTCAGTATTAAAAGGATAATTTCAAAATATATAGGTCTGGGAAAGGTTTAAGGCACATTCCTTCGCTATAGAATGAATTGCGCTACTATTTTCACAATTGTATTGATATTTGGTGTCAAATACACATATCTTGGTATGTTTGAAGTCCCAAAACGGCTTAGTTTCAGAAATATCCCAAATTTAAATTCAAAAATGACCATTAGCTCCACACCCTCCGCTCATTTGCTCCGCACCCAATATTTCCCACAGGCTCTGTCTGCATAGGGTGAATATGTTGTTAAATGCTTTTACTATAAAATAAATTGAACATGTGAATTGTGTGATGTCATAGGGGATGCTTACATGCTTCATTAGATGTGATACCAGACTCTGAGAATCAAAGCTTAATGATCAGAAATGACTGAGTTAGATAATGCATAGATGCAGGGATCATCAGAAAAATAATATTCATACTTATAAAACGTTTAGTTTAGTTCGAAAAATCCTTTGCTCATACTAAAGATGATCTAAAACAAATATGTTGCAAAGATATCAACAAAATTACACCCTATGCGTGGTCTATTATTTATTTAAGATGAAATAAAGTGGAAAATCGACTTTCCTTGGAATATTTGACAAAACAGTTGTAGTTACTGACATCACTTCTAATGAAGCATTACAATCATCCATTATGAGATCACACAATTCACATGACCATTATAATAGTTTAAAACAGTCAAGGATACACATGGTATTTAACAATTTGATGTGTTTCATAGCTTATATGATAACTTATTATGCATTTAAACGTTGTTAGTTGGGACTATTTCTGCATGATTTTTTATTTGCCCCGGGTGCCTTGATTTCCGGTTACTATGGCAACCATTTCTTGAATAATATTTCTGTTATACCAAATATGTTTTGATAGGTTAAAGCAGCTTTGTATACTACACATTCTGTGAAAAATTCATCAGAATATATTGAAAAATAAAAAAAATTAGAGAGATATTATGAGAACATTATGATATACCCTCGTAGCAACATGGGAAAACACAAAAAGGCAGGATAAATCACAAGCAGACCATACATTCAGCATGGAATATGATACAGGATTTGGACAAATGTGGGATTGAATATGGCATTTTCAAATAGAAATTTTATTTGTTTGTTTGTGGGCTTATCTTCTTTGACTTAAAAATTACCATCACTATTAGTAACGGTACATGTACATGTATATAGATGCATGTGATATGTAGAATCACCATTTTCTATACTTAAAAGGAGAGAACTTTCTTCACAAAACTCCATAACACTTATACCAAGAGAACAAGAACCAAGATGAGATTACTAAACTATCCAAATATGCCAGAGGATTTTACAAAGACTGAGAGTCAAATACGTCTTGGAGAACATACAGATTGGGGTACTGTCACCCTCATTGCACAAGACAGTGTGGGTGGTCTACAGGTTGGTGCACAGTGCAATATTCAATGATTTCTAGCAATCTGATTGGCTCATGTGATTTGATGGTGAACTTTCTTGCAATCCGATTGCCTCATGTGATATGATGGTGAACTTTCTAGCAATCTGATTGGCTCGTGTGATATAATGTTGAACTTTCTAGCAATCTGATTGGCTCATGTGATATGATGGTGAACTTTCTTGCAATCTGAATGGCTCATGTGATATGATGGTGAACTTTCTAGCAATCTGAATGGCTCATGTGATATGATGGTGAACTTTCTAGCAATCTGATTGGCTCATGTGATATAATGGTAAACTTTCTAGCAATCTGATTGGCTCATGTGATATGATGGTGAACTTTCTAGCAATCTGATTGGCTCGTGTGATATAATGGTGAACTTTCTTGCAATCTGAATGGCTCATGTGATATGATGGTGAACTTTCTAGCAATCTGAATGGCTCATGTGATATGATGGTGAACTTTCTAGCAATCTGATTGGCTCATGTGATATGATGGTAAACTTTCTAGCAATCTGATTGGCTCATGTGATATAATGGTGAACTTTCTAGCAATCTGATTGGTTCAAGTGATATGATAGTGAACTTTCTAGCAATCTGATTGGCTCATGTGATATGATGGTGAACTTTCTAGCAATCTGATTGGCTCATGTGATATGATGGTAAACTTTCTAGCAATCTGATTGGCTCATGTGATATGGTGAATTTTCTAGCAATCTGATTGGCTCATGTGATATGATGGTGAACTTTCTAGCAATCTGTTTGGCTCATGTGATATGATGCTGAACACTTCCCTTTGAAAATCTATCTAAAACAATATATACCCATATATGTAATATAATGTATATTACAGAACAAGACACACAGTGATAAATATCGCACTTTGAAGAGCAAACTGGCCACCATGCAATTTACCCAGCATGGCCAAAACCTAATCAGACCTTGGCACTAGTCTGCTCTTGCATCTGTAAACATTTCAAGTTGACAAGGTTAGCGGTTTTCCTGCAATTTTGATGACAAGAATTTATTTGTAGTCTTGAACTTTGGGAAAATTTAGATAACATTGTTTGTGACCTAATTTGATGACTTTCGACCTTGAAAATTTCACTTTTTCAGACCTCAGTAGGTGTTTTGTAATTAGCTGACCTAAATTTAAATCCAAAATATCAATTTAGAAAATCAAATTTTTGACCTTTTCAAGGCCACTGAAGGTCAACGAAAGGTCAAATCTGAAATCTAAGGTCAGATTTGAACTTCTGAGAACTTGTAGATGTTTTTAAAAAAAAAATTGGTCAATTTGGAGCAAGTTGAAAAATTCAAAATGGCCGCCAAATTGAAAAATTCAAAATGGCCACCATGTAATTCAGCCAGCATACCCAAAACCTAATCAGATCTTGGCAATAGTCTGTTCTTGCATCTGTAAAAATTTCAAGTTGAACAGATAAGTGGTTTTCCTGGAATTTTGATGATAAGATTTGTTGAAAAATTCAAAATGGCCACCACATAGTTTACCCAGCATGCCCTTAACCTAATCAGATCTTGGCACTAGTCTGCTATTGCATGAGTAAAAATTTCAAGTTGAACAGGTTAGCGGTTTTCTTGGAATTTTGATGACAAGAATTGATTTGTAGTCTCAAACTTTGAGAAACTTGGATAACATCATTTGTGACCTAGTTTAATGACCTTGACTTTCGACCTTGAAAATTTCACTTTTTCAGACCTCAGTAGGTGTTTTGTAATTAAGCTGACCTAAATTTAAATCCAAAATATCAATTTAGAAAATCAACTTTTTGACCTTTTCAAGGTCACTGAAGGTGAATGAAAGGTCAAATCTGAAATCTAAGGTCAGATTTGAACTTCTGAGAACTTGTAGATGTTTTAAAAAAAAACATTTGGTCAATTTGGAGCAAGTTGAAAAATTCAAAATGGCCGCCAAATTCAAAAATTCAAAATGGCCACCATGTAATTCAGGCAGCATAACCAAAACCTAATCAGATCTTGGCAATAGTCTGCTCTTGCATCTGTAAAAATTTCAAGTTGAACGGATAAGTGGTTTTCCTGGAATTTTGATGACAAGATTTGTTGAAAAATTCAAAATGGCCGCCACATAGTTTACCCAGCATGCCCTTAACCTAATCAGATCTTGGTACTAGTCTGCTCTTGCATCTGTAAAAATTTCAAGTTGAACAGGTAAGCAGTTATCCTGGAAATTTGATGACAAGATTTGGTTTATGTCCCGCCCGCCCGCACGCCCAAACGCCCACCCAACAGCACAAGACGACGACAATATAGCACTTTTTCAAAGTGCGATAAAAAACTGTGACTGTAAATCATTAAATAACTTATTGTATCTTTCAATGTAAACCATCATACAAAAGTATCATTATTTGATAGCACATACTGACATATGCTTCTTGTTTAGGGAAAGACACGCTCGGGAGAATGGATTGATGTAACGCCAAAAGATGGCTGCCTTTTAGTTGTGATTGGGCAACTTGTGCAGAGATGGACTTCAGATAAACTGCAGGCTAATGTAAGATTCTGTTTTGATTTACCAAAAGCCAAGATCTGAATTAGAAATAAGCATTCTATCTATATAACATTCTTGAACAAGGCATAACATGACAAAAAGTCACTTCCTGCAAATGGATAAAACCTTGGAAATAAATATACTAAACCAGGGCGGTTGTGTCTTATCCCAAACTATGTAACAACACTAGCAACATCAAGATTGAAGCTCTTTGCTTCTGTTTGCTTTTCAAAAACATTTAACAAACTGATTTAGGCAGAATTCAAGACTCTTTGTAGATAGGCAATATGAAGAGATTTTGCTGTTTTGAACGCTGTGGTATGATATACTTTGCCCATAAAAATCCACATTTTATTTTAGCCACACAGAGTCATGAAGCTGCCATCTGAAGCAGAGGATATGAAAGCTGGAAAAAACTCACGATTCAGCATGACCTACTTTGGACAACCTGATTGTGAGGCAATGATTGGAAGTGTTGGTGACTCAAAATATGAACCCATTAATGCAAATGACCACATTGAGCAACGCCTTGCTGAATCATATGGATATTAACAATATAGAGTTCTACAGCTACATCAAGACACTGATAAATATCACACTCGGAACTAAAATTGCCATCTTGTAAATGACCTGGCATGTCAAAAACCTAATCAAATCTTGGCACTAGTCAGCTCTTGCATTTGCAAATATTTTAAGTATAATGTTTTTGCTTTCTTGATGCCACAATTTCTGTGATTCCTGACTAACAATGTAGCACTTTTCAATAGTTTTGGAATTATAAGGCGTATGTACATGTCCAGATATCTCTTTAATGATTACAATAAATGTTAACTACTGTAATATTAACATTATTAATTCAACAGTTCCAGGTATATAACTGTTATTCTCTGATCGAAATTGGATTAATCTCATTCCAAACAAGGCAGACATGACACTACCTGGTTGCTGTTACAGAAGCAGTTACACAAAATGCCAATGACAAAAAATTGTACCTATAATAGTTTTTTCATCACTCTGGGCCTGAAAGTCTACAAGTTGCTGCCTCATTGAGATGACCTCCTTGTCTCGGGAGACTTGGTGAGATTCATAAGCTTTGGCCTGCATGCTGGCAACCTCTGCTACCTCCTACAAATAAAAAAAACAAGGCATTGACTTGCAAAATGTCACCAACTAACATGTTTTACAGATGCCAAATACCGACCACCAAACATCATCCACAAAACTACCCAATATGCCAAAATCATGATTCTTCATTTTATACAAAAACATCTTTGAAATCAATCCATGTAATTTCTGCCTGGAAATGCATAGAAAAATTGGGATACCAAGTCACCCATCAGACTCTCAATCAATTGGCCTCTCAATTGAGGTTAGAATTTACCTTTAATTTTGAGACTTCTTCCCTTAGTGATGCTTCTACTTTCTCAAGTTCAGCTATTTTCAGTCTATCAGCATCACTGATGGTTTTTGTGACACAATCTGTAACATAATGGTAAGATAATATTGAAAATGTCATACTGTCACAATCTATATACCACAATTCTGTAACACTATGGTGACACAACCTGTAAAATAATGGTGACACAATATTACGAGGCATTAACATGCAAAATGTCACCACCTGTCATTTGTCACAAATGTTGAATGCTGAACTCCAAACACCATCTGCTGCCACAAAAAAGCTGGAGATCATAACAATATGTCACCAATTGTGGTGGTGACATAAAAACTTTAACATCATAGTGACACAATTTGTTAAGCCACAATCCAGAAAGGTAATATTGAAAAGATTAAAATGAAGTTCTATATAGTATAGCATCTACTTACTTGATATTTCATCTCTCAGTTCTCTCTCTACCTTCTGGGCCTCTAGATTCAGTTTAGCAAGCTGAAATGCAAGTTTTGAACATAAACATTCAAGGAACCAGCCCTTCATTGGTCACCATGCATACTTCTTTCATAAAACCAATTAACAGACTAAATTTGAACAGAAATAATCTACATTTCCATCATACATATAAAAAAAATTAGTCAAACATTCCAAATAAAAAGCATTTTGAAACTATATAGGTCATGTTTTTCAATGGGCATTCAACATATGATTAGTCATCTTGGGAATTTACCTCAGCAAATCGTTGTTCAATCTCCAAGTTTCTATCCTCTACCTCTCGTAGAACTAATTTCTGTTGCTCATACATTCTGTGTGCGTGCTCTGCCCTCTGACGCTCATTTAACTCTTTCATCTCCAGAGTTGTCAGTTTTTTAGAAATTGAAATTAACCCTGCATCTGTTAGATTTTTATCACTAGAAATACCTGAAATTTCAAAGATATTTCTCATGAATTTTATTTGACATGTAACATTGTTTATTATGCACCTCATTAAAATACTCAAATCTGATTGGTTCTTAGCTGCTTGTAATTTGGCAATACTCTGCTCTTTTCTGAAAACTGCCGGATATTTTTTAATATCTGACCCTTTCGAGAAAAAGGGTCGGATATTTTTTTCAATGTTTTTGCAACATTCCCACTTCAGAGTTTTATTTCTTAATAACTAGAGTACTACTTAAAACTTACATCTGAAACTGGCGGGAAATAGAAGAAAAAAATGCACTTAATCAATCACAATTACCCTTATCATTCAAAAGTTACATATAATTCTGCAAGAACGTCTCGAATAAATAAAAATTAAATTCCCGGGGCAAATATTTTCGTCCATTGTAGCGAATAAACTGGCCGGAAGTCGTCTGAGTTTTGAAAGAAAAAATAAATAAATGTCAAAATAATGTCAACTAAACAACAGTTTAAGCCTGTACTCCAGTAAGTACTCCACTTAACTTTGATTGGGAGGTGCATAATAAAACAAATACTGGATGATCAGGAGCTGGATATGGCCAGAATACCTATTCGAGAAAAAATATTGGGCGAGGCGGCCTGATCATCCAGTATTTGTTTAATATCAAGAACAGCACACTTTAGAAATACATTGCTAAAATAGCTTTTTAACAACTCTATGTCTCAGCAAAGATGCTCTAAGATCCAAGTGTATAGTAAGACAACTCTTAGTGGTGTAACTCTAAATTAGTGACACAATGAAAGCCATATTAGTGACTAGTAGGATAAATGTTTAAACATTAGTTGCTCATAACAATATGTACTTGTATCAACCACAGATACTAGAATTCTGTGATTCCGCGTCGCCGCAGAATTTGGGTTTTCAAAATTTTTGCAGAATTTGATATTTTCGCATGGAATTTCGCGGAAAACATGATTTTTCCAGTCGAACACCTCATCTCATATTTGTCACTCACCTTGACACCTTAGTCAGTCATTTGTCACTAGAAACTGGTGTTATGAGGCTTCCAAAGGGAAAATGTGAAATATGTTTAAAATTCTCAAACTTCCAGCTTTTGCACTTGAGGATTACGCCTAATATGTCATGAAATTTGAATTCCCTGTAATTTCGTGATGGTTCAGATGAAGCCTTTGCTTGCAGAATTTATCACGGAATTCAGGATCTCATGCGGAATTTCTGCGCAGAATTTGCATTTTTCTCGTGCAGAAAACTAGTATGTGTGATTAACCCTATCTAAATGACTCACCCTGTTTCCTGAGGTCATCAAGAGCAGCCTCAAATAGATGTGATCTTTCTTTTTCTGATTCTAATTCCTTAGTTAGACTCTCAGCCTCTGCTCTTAACCTTTTTACTTCACTCTATAATATTGATAGATGTTCAATGTACATTGTATGGTTAATCATAGTGTGGATATAAAAACTGATATACATGCAATTTAGGCATAACACATGATGCATACACAGTTTGTCTTGTATACCAGTATATTGGGATCATTTGACAAATAAAATAACTTTTTTGCTAAGTTAAGTTAGTGTCCCGTTAGTGCACTGGTCTGACCCCAATTCTGCACATTTTCATTTAGATGCAAATGGATTTGAACTGAAAGCAACATGATTTTTAAATTGATAACTTGGTTAAATGCTCTGTTGCTTCAATACAATGTTAAGGATATCACTGACAATACACATACCTCATAACCAGAATTAGCTTCTGATCTCTCCACAAGGACATTGCCACGCTCCAGTAAATCTCTATATTTCTCTGTCAACTCATTAAACTGTTTATTGGCTGCTTCAAGGTCAACAGCTGGCACAGAATCATCAAGTCGTTTTTGTAAGGCAGCCATCTTGAATGCTGCCATGTCTTTAAAGCGTTGTAAGTATCCGAGACGCTCAGTGACAGCAGCTTCCATTTGAACAGCCTCATTCTTAAGACGGGTGATTTCCTGAGGTAAAAATAGTTTTAAATATGGTAAGTACTTGTATTTTCATATTTTACACTGTTTTGCAATTTGATTTCTACAAAAGATTAAGTTACAAGACCTTAAAAAACTTAAAATGCTTGTCACTGATTTGATTACTGGATTCTCTGAAGCAAAATCTTGAAAAATCAGATTCTTAAGTGTGCAGTTTTCCAAATTCTCTTAACCTCAAAATCTAGAAGTTTCAGAAGTACAATTTTCCAAATTCTCTTAACCTCACCTTTCTACTGTGCCCCTCGACCTCCTGTAGGCTATTATATCTTCGTGTTAGTGCCTTTTCATTCACTCTCAACACAGTGATTTTACGTGTCATATCTGCCAATCTGCGTCGTACTTCCACATCATCCTGGGCGAGTGTGTCAGTTAGACGGTCCAACTCCTGGCCTCGTATCTTGTTTTCTTCCATGCTGCCATCTGTTTGCTTAAGTTGATCTTCTAGTTTTTGTTTCTCTGTCTCGAGGCTCTAAATTACACATTGGGAAAAATATTTGAGTAAAATGCATGGCAAATTAATAGGAAGATACTTCATGAAATTACTATTTTGTTCCTTATTATGGTTAAATTGTTTACAATTTCAGCAATATATTTCTTAAAATTTATACAGCACACTGCAGATGTAAGTAATCCTATCAGAAAACCCCAAATCCCCTCATTCATTTGCAAATCTAGTTGGTCTCGTTTTACTAGTAATAGAGTTCAATACCAGTACTTTATACCTTTTTTTCTCTGATATAGTCTGCATAAATGAGTCCCTGTTGATGACGCATGACTGCAAACTTTCTCCTGTAGTCCTCTAAAGCCAGCTCCATCTTTTTTATTGTTTCCTCTTTTAAGTGCACCTCCTTAAAAAATAAAAAACAAATGCAAAATTATTAGAGAGGATATAATCATGTTGACAGCATATTGAATGTTCACTGCAATAATATGTTGGTATCAAAATCAGGCATATTCTAGCCATTCAAAAAACTCTGGTAGTTAGTATGATTAATGAAAAGAAAAACCCACATTCTCAAGTATAACTCTGTTCAGTTAACATTTCCTTTAAAAACCAATGTACAATTCACAATAGGCATATAGGCCTGATATTTCTGTCTCTATCTTGCATAACCCGGACTAACCCTACTATCACACCAAACTAGTTCTCACTACGTTCTCGAAAACGGGCTTCAACTGTGTACGAACGGACTGGACGTACTAAGAACCGTTTGGGATCTATTTACAAACTTCATCGAACGTACTCGAACGGGTAGGTCCTCTAGAACTTAGACAATGCTCAAAATGTACTCGGGGTCGTCACGTTCTACAATTAGAACGAGTGACAACGTACTAACGACGAGCTGGACGTACTACGAACGGAACCGTCGTACTTCAATCTTACTAGGGACGTTTTAACAACGAGTTGAACTGTCTGAGGACGTGTTGAGAACGAGGTAGAACTAATTGCAAACGGGTTTAAACTGATTAAGAACGTATTTAACACTGCTTAAGAACGAGTTAGCAAAAATATAGCTATCACACCAAACAAGTTGCCACTACGTTCTTCAAAACTGGTTTGAAACTGTGTGCGAATGGAATGAACGTAGCTGCAACTTTCTAAGGTCTATTTACGAACTTTATGAACGTTCTCAGACGGGAATGTGATTTTAGAATTTTGAATCGATTCAAAGTTCGATGGCGACCATGCCGTTCTGTAATCAGGTCATGTTGACCTTCTAGACTAAGGGACGCGTTCTACGACGTTGCACACCGACGTGGTGCGACCTGAACGAACTGCGAACGAGATGGACGTATTGAAGACTGTTTAAGGACGAAGAAGCTTATCATTTCAGACATATTTCCCGACCACAGCCAGATTGAGCCCGTTTTACGACGTTTTCGTAGGACTGGCAAGAACGGGTAAGAACTAGTTTGGTGTGATAGGGGGGTAACAATACCTGATATCTATAACTGAAGATACTAGAAGTAAAGTACCTGTAGAACTTGAACTAAGTGTTCATTAAGACTGGAGATTGTCTCTGCACTAGTGACTGCTATACCTTCAGGTAAACTCATCGGCTGAAACATGACAGCCCCCGCACCATCTTCACGTAAAGCTTTCATCTCACTTTCTAGTCTTTCAGCCTACAATCAGAAGTTGGCATATTCATCAATGTAAATTCTATTAACTATGTAATCTATCTTGACCAACTTATTCTGACCCACTCTGTAGCTTCCATTGGTATATTATGTGCTCACATTTCCCTTGTATTTGGACAATATCAAATGTACCTTTTCAGTTTTCTTCTCCAGATCATTCCTGGCTTTATTAGCCTCATATCTACTCTCTCTCAATTCTTTTCTTAGTTCATCTACTCTTCCCTGGAGGTTGTCAACCTGGGCTTTCATGTAGAGGGTCGTGTCATAGTTACCTAAAGATAATATAATATAAAAATATGACAAGGCTTTACATGTAAAATGTCACCATATTGCCATTTGTTAAAGTTGCAGAACTCTGAACGTCGATTGATTGAATTTGAATGGTATCAAGTTTGTTGTCATGCTTGTATCCATTTGTGTAACACAATGTATTACCTTGCATATTTTTAGCATCAATGGCTGCTAACATCCTATCCAAGGTTGGACATGATATCTCTGTACCAACTCCTATAACCCAAAAATTAAAATTATTCTTAATAATAAACTGCAAATATTTTTCACTTTACCAGATATGAAAAGAATAAAATAAAAGGGGATTAAGTCATATTGAATGGAATTTTTCTGGATGATAGAAATAAATGGTTAAGGAAAGGGATACTGTCATTTAATGCAAAACATATGAGACATAGAATATGACATATGAATGTCTTATTCATTTCACTTACCCATATCTGCAGATTTCAAATGGTCATTAATCTCCCTCATTCCCTGCTGAAGCTGTTTATTCTCTGTCTCTAGTTCTTTGATCTTAGTCTGCATTTCAACATTTTCTTGACGTAATTTATCAGCATTTTTCACGTTTCTGCCCAGTTCACGTTCCATCTGCTCATTCTAGGAAGACACATACATGATTATTAATGATATTTCTTTAAAGGTATCATTATATATCTCTTCTTTCATACTTTGAATATTTAAATCCTATCCTAAAAAGATTTTCACCCTTTTTAGTTAAATAAAGAAACAGCTTTTTACCAACCTACTGTTAAATGAAAGCAATTATGTGTATGGAAGTTAATGTAATGGCTTATTTACAATAAAAAAATGAGTTGAGTTTTGGAGTTGAACCTACTCGCATTCGCAGTTCTTCGCTTTCAGCTCCCTTCAGAATATTCACTGCACTGCCACTTTGCTGCCCTTTGCTAGGCTTCCGCGACAAAGACTCCGTGAAGTTCTCAATAGCGATAATGTCATCAGCGTCAAGACCTAAAGCTGCTGCACGCTGGCCTTGCTGCTGCGCCAGTTTTCTGATCCTGTTTTTCAATTCTATTCTTTCTTCTTCCAGGCGCTCAACCTAATTTGGCACAAATCAAAAAGAATTATTATGCAATATGATCCATTGGGAACAGGTTCAACTATGTTGTCCCTTTGTGATGATTCTTGGACCTATTTGAGTACAATGCCAGTATTTAACCTTCTGATTTACATAACTTACTATATGCGCCCAGTGCCTACCAAGACCTTGACACTGGACAAATGCCTAGTTAGAAAATGTAGTGTTTCAAAGTACTTGGACAAACCTATGCTTCTACAAGATTAAGAACAGGTAAATATAACCTGAAATGTTCTTGTCTTAAAAATGCTTATCTGCCAATCTAATTATGCATCCAATATTTTAAGATTATTTACCTCTTTCTGAAGTACGCCATTGAGTGCCCTGTCTTTCTGTTGCTGAATGGCCTTGACCTTTCTGAACTCAGTCAGGTCAACTGGTTCCTTGGGGTCAAGGCCTAGCTTAGCCCTGTAACTTTCATTCTCTTCTTCCAAATCATTGATCTTAAGTTCACCTACAAACATGTTCAATAAATAGTACTACATACATTCGTGATCAATAGAGAAAGCCACAAAAGGTTCAACGAAAAACTTAAACAAAATGAAGGCATGTGCTTAACAAAGATTGAAGAAATAGACGAATCATTGATTTAAGTGGGAAATACAATCTCAGAACTAAACTCAAGAGTCTCCATAGCTCTACCCATCCATCTCCCCACCTAAAACCCTTCCTGGGAGTTTTTGCATTAACTATTGAAATAATAAAAAGTTGTGAACTGAAAGACTTACATTTATTTGAATGCTGAGTTAACTCTACAATTTGTCTATCTCTTATCTGCACTTGGAGCTTTCCATCTTTAATCTCTGCTACTGCATCTGACAGTCCATATTCACCCTAAAATATTCACTTATGTAATAAAGGCACATACATATTTTACACATTATGGTTTTTAAGTAGTGTCTGTCTGGCCAACTCCCTCAAGATACTATTTTCTTGCCCATTTTAGATTTACAACTTCTTTTTACTTTTACCTGTATTTTAGGGTAAATAATAAAAATGCCGATATTTTCTCAAAAAATTATTTTTCATAATGGCATAATTTTGTTTATTTTCTTTCATTTATTAAAGTTTCTGTCAGTTTAGATAAAATATGTAAAAAAAAGTATGAAAGGAATTTATTTTTGTATGGTACTCAGTTATGAATTGGTATCTTATCAAATAGAAGGGGTACCTCTTCATATTGTCTCATTCTTTCTAGAGCCTCGCTAAGTGCTTTATCTTTATCTTTAGCATCTTGTTCTGCTTGAATCATCCTCTCTTCAGCATCTTTAAGCTGCTCTTCATTCATTTTCAGGGTACTGTTTAACTGGACAATTCTCTGAGTTTGCCTCTCAGATGGACCCCCTCCCCCTGAAAGAAAGTTTTTTGTGTCATTTTATTTATGAGAAAACCTCATATGGGTGCATTGCCACTTACGTCAATAAAAGGGAAATCACATATATGCTTAATGTACAGCTGCCAGCAGGAATGAATAAGTAACTTGCACAATCAGAGAGCATTTACTGTCTCACCTTTATTAAGTTCCTGTTTGAGATCTTCAATTATTGCAGTATTTGTCTCAAAGTCAGCAGCAGCCTGATCAACTTGTAGCTTCATTATCTCGATCTGCTTGTCTCTCTCTTCAACAGCCTTTAAACATTAATATCATTAATAGTATAAACTTTATTCAAGTTAATACATTTCAGCCATAATCGCCAATTTGGAATTATAGGTTGGCCATTACATTAAGAGTAAATGATTACATATTAACTAAGAACTACAATGGATTTAGTAACTTTTTCTCATTTCATACATCTCATCAGTTTCTTTCACATTTTGAAACAAAATTTCACGCATTCACATATTCAGTCAGAAAACACCCTTTGGTTTTTCCTGACTTTTCTCTAACAGTGTAACACTGGTTTTTCAAGTCCTACATTGTAGATTTTATTTTCAAGATTTTGCTGGCATAATTTTTTTTTATTTATTTAGTAACAAAATGTCGGAACATCAAAGGTACGATTTTTCTTTTTTCAGTATTTCACACGTAGTAGGCAGAATTCCCACAACTTTTTTAACACAAACGTGTATCAGTATCATATGTTTTTCGAAAAAAAGTTAAGATCTGCACTTTTAACCCAAACCGTTTATGTAACTTAAGTGAGGAATTAAATCGACGATTCTGTTGTCTTCTGAGCTATTTGATCGCAAACATGTACATTTTCTAAAACATATGATACTGATATGTATACATTTGTGAGAAAAAATGTAGTTGGGATTCTGCCTACAACGCGTGAAATAAGGAAAAAAGAAAAATCGTACCCTCGACGTTCCGACATTTTGTTACCAAAACGGTCAGCGTAATCACTAGTGAATGCACTGCTTTTACCCAACATGATGCCATTCTAAAGTTAGGAAGACTTGAAATAATAATACAATTTATGATACAGAAATGATACATTCAAGGGTAAACTATTTATTGTAATATATCATTCTCATCAAAATAAACCATTTATCCAAATGAACGTCATACCAAGACAATATCTTTCTTAAAATTACAATATAAAATACATTCATATTATAATGTTGGTCAATTAAGGTAAATTGATTAGTACGCATTTTAATGAGATCTTAGAAATGACCATTAATGACAATTAATCAATTAATGTATGATTATGATCATTATTATGATTGATAAATTAATAATATTGCTGTCAATCATGTTTAAACTTTTTGCTTGAGTTAACTGAACTTTAACAACCTGTAGTAAACAAGAAATATTAATCAAGACATTACCTTAGTAAGAACTGCAACAGAAGCTTTATCGGTATCCATGTTCTTAGCTATGAGTTCTTGTCTAAGACGAGTTACCTTAAAAAACAACTACATGTATAATGCACAGCGTATACAAATGCATGGGTTGGGTACGATAGTAGCAAAGTGATCTCCACAAGGTTTTTTCAAGGAGGTGAAAATCCAAATTTTTACATTTTTGTCAAAATTTCCTTTTGACATTGCAGTTTTACAAAACGGGCATGAAATCTTTTTAATTGTAAAGAGTGAAGCTTCCTCTTGCTCTTATGCTGGAGATACCACGGACATGATATCAAATCTTTATCATCAAACATTGTTCATTCATACATAGTCAAACATAATGACATATCTCTAATTTACTTCCTGGACACACTGTAGTGTACTTAACAAAGATGTAACCGCCTTGTGAGTTTTCTGTGTCTTGTCATAAATAATCCAACACCCATCATAATTAAAAAAGGGAATTATCATTTTCATGAAATTTTATGCTCAAAATAATGTGAATGAGGTAACCAAATCGGCAGAGCCAAACTATTTTTTCAATTATACAGTTAAACTTCTCAACTTGGATACCCTTTGAAAATGAACAATTCTGTAACATTGAGATTTTTCATGTCCTAAAATCTGTTCTTCCTTCTGACAGGCTAATATGTTAAATCAACCCCTCGAAAGTGAACTCGCCAAACTTGAAAATCTTTACTAGGTCCAGAGTGTTCTACTTAAAGAGGTGTTACTGTAATTTGAACACAACAGGGTTTGAAAAATATTAGAGTACATTTAGTACATCTAGTCTGATTTATACTTTGTCATGGTCAAGGAGAGTAAATGGCCGATGGCTATTGATTTATGCAAGATTCCCTTTATTGATACAATGTATGCACAAAGCACACAAATCTGCAACACAAATCAGTGGTCATTAAAATACTATTATGTGTAAACTTGGGATCCTAATAAATTGTTCTATTATACCATTGAACATAATGACGGCAATGTATATGAATAATGGATTCATAAATTCATAACTTTATGAAGTTTCAAACAACGACCCAAGATTAATAGCCAAGAGTTTCATTTGCAACAAAGATATGAAATAGGAGAACCTATCTAGTGTCTCCTCCAAACTCGCCTGCGTTTCAAGAAATTTTCAATAGTTTCCACATATTAATTCTAATAATTTGGGTTATTTCTTTTCATTGTTTTGTCTGTAAGTGTTATCTGCTACAGAAACTCCTAGCAAATGTACAACAGGAATATATACTACCTCATCTTGATATTCAAGAACTTCTTCATCCTTCTCAGCTATGACTTGTTTCCAATATTCAACCTTATCACTAACTTGTACCATGATTTCATCATCAGCATCTCCTTTACTTTTGACCTTATCCATAAGGTCAGACACCTAAATAGAATAGAAGATAATATAAAACAAGGCATGCAAAATGTCACCACCTGCCATTTGTTACAGATGCCACAATTTGTTTCAGATGCCGTGTTAGAGGTGCCGAACATCATCCACAAAGAAGTTGGATAATTATAACAATATGTCACTACTTCTAGTGGGGACATAATATGGATATGATGTAACTCTGGTCCGCAGAGTTTAAAATACATGCATGCAAACTCAACTGGAGACAACTGGAGAAATTTTCAAATCAAGGGGAAACATGTACGTACATTCAAAGACATCGTTAAAATTTATTTGAAATGAGAAAAACTCATGAACAAATAATATTTGTAAAGTACTGGTCAATACTGGTATATCCTTTATCAATAAAGTTTAAACATTAAGAAGTCCTACCTGTCCACGAAGTATTTCATTTTCTGTTTTCAGCTGATCCATGACAGTGTCTGTTGTCTGCAGGACTTGCTGCAATAAACATTCAAGCGTATAAGTAGATCTGTACATCTATGTGATTTGGGAATGATAGAGGATCTGTAAATGGTATATATATGTCCATGTTTATATGGGGAATGCTATCAAATCATATATTATATCTATATATCAGGAATGATAAGGTCTATGAACAGTATATGCATATATGGGGAATGATAGAAAAAGATCTATGTATATCCATCTATGTGAAATAATAGGGGGTCTTTGTGTGCGGATATAGTTAATTCTTTTATATACATCTATCTATTATACATCGAATAGCTTGATTAGTATCCATAAACTAATCTCCTAACCTTAAGTTTGATATATTCATCTGTCATTCTATCCATCTCTTTGATAGCATCATTGAGTTTCTTCTTCATGTCATCAGTGCTCTTCTGAAGAGCATTGTTAGAATCAGTCAGGTTCTAAAATTGAAAATGAAATAAAATTACTAAATTGTTAAGCGACCACTCAAACTTGAAGAAATAAATACAGGGAGCTTACTGGGCTCAAATTGACAACCTCCTGGCAATGATGTCTTCACTTAACTTGACATGTTATCTCAACCCCCTAGACTACAAGGCAAAATATAGAATCCAAAAGGTTGTTTCATGAGCAAAGCTGACTATAGAGGACTGTTCAATCATTTAAACAGACCACCACATACATGCAACAATGCAGCATTCACTGACCTGCAGTTCCTCAAGAGCTTCAGACAGTTCTCGATTCTTTTTGGTGAGCTTCTGGCGGAACTCCATATCATCACCATGACGATTCTGTAGCGCATCACGCTGCGAGTCAAGCTGGCGTTGATAGTCCCGAACATCTTCCTCCAATTGTGCTGCGATTCTCTTTGCTTCACGCAACTCCTTTTCCGCATCTTCTGCTCTTACTGCATACTGGAAGTGAAAAAGTTATGATTCCATTATGTTTTGTTTTTATCTAAAAGCTTAATTTACAGTAACATATATTATATATATGAGACAAGGCTTTAATATGCAAAATGTCACCACCATTTATTACAGACACCAACCACCAATCACCAAACGCCGATCATCAACTGCCATCACAAAAACGGAGACCATCACAATATGTCACATTGGTGGTTCCATGAAGAAACGTTTGTTAGCATAATGTTCAAAAATACAATTTGCTCTGTATATTTGGTCTATCATAAATGTATAGTAAATGATTAAAATGAATTCAATCAATCAGATCAGGATTCAGGTTTGTAAGTCCAATTATCTGATTATTAATGGTCAGAAAATAATCATTTTTTATAAGTTTGTTTTTCAAACACAGTATTTTATGCATATATGCATGTATATAACAAGATTGATAAGTGTCATTGCCATTTGAGCTTATAAGTTTGATTTATATGTTTTGAAATAAAAGAAAAAAATAGATAATCATTTATTGAATTGCAGACATATTAAACTGTAAACAAAGTCAACATTTCACCCGGAGTATATTCATGAACATTGCCCCTGGTAATACGTGTAATGTGAGATGTCATAACGGTGGACCGTTCGAGACATGTGAGCTCCTTGTGTTTATTCATTTGAGAATTAAAGAAGAGTCTCAAAGTGGATTTAAATAAAGTGAGTAGCGTTGGAGCAAATATGTTACCTTTATTTCTTTATATTATTTGTATATTATTGGACAGCATATTTGTGTTTATAGATTGTTGACAGGTAGAAATGATACGGATCATATATCTGAGTGTTTTGCTACTTGGATTTCTTTAACATAAAACAAATGGAAATGGTATGCTCTGATTATGATTTTAAATAGTGATAAATATAAAAATGACCTTAATAAGTAATTCAAGACAATTAATTTATCAGAGTAAACAATATACATAAATAAATTGTTCTGTTGTCCTTTGCAGATCAATTTAATTTACATATTATTCATATTATTTAAAAGTCTGACATTGAGACTCATAGCAATGAGAATACATGTACAGGGTGGTCCAAAAAAATTGGAACATTTGTTAATTGAATGCAAAACCTTTATTTTTCTTCTAAAATGTACCAAACTTTTACTGAGCATAGCTCAGTCACTTATTTATCTGATGTAAAGTGTATAGGTGAAAACCACAAAGTTAATGCATTAAACTAGTCGATATTTGATATGACCCCTCTTCTCCTGACTTACAAGTTGAAACCTGGGGCTCAGATTTGTAAATATTCAATTAGTTTGCTGTTTGTTTGTTTTGTCCAATCCATCTTAATTAAAAATTTCAACTTGATCAAACTTCCTATTTGTTTGCCTTGGAAGATCAAACCTAGTAACATATTCAACATTTTTTACCCAAATTCATGAGTATCAAGCATATTTTGATGTCTATTTTTGGGTGTATTACTGATTGAATATTCTCCAGAAAGAGGCCAGGGCAGTCTGATTTGACTGGTCAATGAAGCCCCCTCCCCTTTATTGTTCTGATATAAATAATATTCATTGGAAATATCAATATATCTATCAATATCATAGAGAGAACACAAATGATATATTATATATATATATATATTATACACTGTATATGTGCTTAGTGTTGGTTTTTAATGTGAATAACTAGTCAGTTTTGCCTTTACTGAAAAGTGGGAACAATTCTTTTGTCACTTGAGTCGCTGTGAGGGTTATGCAATCGCTCACCTCTGACATGTTCCTTCTTCCCTACTCTAAAATGAAAATGATCATTTTGGGTATTGTTTAAGTTTAAGTTAACACAATATTTTTCTGGCAAACCCCAGATGTAAATACCCTGTGTCAACTGAATATGATTTTATAAAATATTTATAGCAATTAACATGTGCATTAAAGCTTTGAAATAAATAATACTTGAAAAAATAGCAGCGGAATTGACAAGTGTATATTTAAGAAAAGGGGGTACTATCAAACATTGACTAGTTTAATGCATTAACTTTGTGGTTTTCACCTATAAACTTTACATCAGATAAATAAGTGATTGAACTATGCTCAGTAAAAGTTTGGTACATTTTAGAAGAAAAATAAAGGTTTTGCTTTCAATTAACAAATGTTCCAATTTTTTTTGGACCACCCTGTATATATTCACCTTTGTTATTTCAGATGGGCTTTCTCTAAACCTTTTACATTGGCATTCCATGACCATAAAAGTACTTGCCATCATTGCCCTTGACCTTTGACCCCATTTTCATATTTGCATTTTCAATCAAAAGGTCAATCACAACAGACTTACTTTTTTTCTTTTACTCCTTGAAGAAAGCCATTTGTCTTTTTTTGCTATTTTAACCATTTTACAATAAATGGTGTATAATTTCATTTTGATGAAAACAGCGAACACAGACCTCTTATACAAAATTCTAATATATTATTAAGTAAATAAAAAAAACTTATCAAAGTTGGAGCCATTTTAGTGACACATTATAATAAGATCTACAGACCATGTTCACAAAAACAGCTCTTATTCAATTATTGGTTTTTCAGTCACCCTAAAATACAGGATACCATAATTGTGCTGTTCACATGTGGTGCCACCTATCCACAACGCTATCTATGAATGACATTCATGATGGCTTACTATCCAGCTAGTAAGTTTGGATATGTTTATTCAAAGAAAGAAATATTATCATACCAATTTTCTGTCCCCTTAGTTTTATGCAGTAAAATTACTAAAATCATGAGATTATGCCAATATGTACAGTATGTGAAGATTAATCTGACTTGGTGTTGAGTAATGAACTAACCAAAAAGGATTAACAAAAATACATCCTGTTCGTAATTTTTGCGTAAACATTTTCTCATTTGATTATTTCTTAATATATTGGCAAATGACGCCCATGCAGAAAGTTATTCTTTTACAAAAGTTATAACTACTAAAGTAGATAAAAGGGTATTTAGTATTAATATTGTATTACTTTAAATTCTTTATATCAACAGAAACAATATTAAAAAACAAAAAACACAAAGTGTGCTTATTTGCAAATATATAAAATTCAGAAATCAATTATTCACAATGTTTATTGTCATATCAATATAGAGTAAATAAAAAATAAAATGGGATAGTATAAAGTGCATGTGGCAAAACAAGCACTGGAGCAAACTAAGGACAAGATTTCAAGGTAAGATACCTTTAGATGATTTATTTCAAATACAATGTATCTTATTTTCTTACAATGTTGTTTCCAGAGATGACAATGAATTTGATGAATAAAAAAGTATTTCTCAAACTCCAATTCTTGCAAAAGTTTTAAAGTATTTTAGACGATTGGTTGTGAAATCATCTGTGTGTTCTAAATATAGCAATTAAATTCAACAAAATCATGATATTTAATTTTGAAAAAAGGATCATTTTTTCTTCTACAAGTATTTCTTGAAGTAATTCTTTTAATTTTTCAAAACCAATGTGTTCTTAGTTTGAAGTCATCAAAACAATTCTCATTTCAGTTTTGTCAATACTGGTCATAATTTTATCTATTTATTTATTTAATCATTTATATGATCTAAGGTTTCAAGCAAGAGCTTTGATGAATTTTTCTAAATATGGTGGAAAAAATATGATCTGACTGATTCAATCATAGTTTATTTACCATATGTCTATATTATTTCTTATTATACAAAATGCTTAACACTAATGATATTTGTTTTAATGGAATACTTTGTCCAAAATAAAAGCAAAACTTTTCAGTTCCCTAAATCACCAATTCTAAATCACAGGTTCACTAAAATTTGAATATTGGGAAAGTATTAAGAGAGATTGAAAGAAGGGTATTAAGACCCCAAACAATCATCAAGTCCTAGAAACAGCCCCGGGGAAACAGCAAAAATCATTGGAAACTAAGCTATATCTCTAATTTTTGAGTTAACAAAAACATGTAATGAAATTTAACTTAAACTATTGAATTGTGGTATCACATAATAAACCAATGACACTATTAAAAAGAATGTGAGTGCAATTTTTAATAAATAAATATTTCTTATATTTTCCGGTGGTATATTTCATGACTCAGGAACATCAATTGATTTTGATTACCACAATTGTTTTAAGAATACTCATCCACTGTAAATCAAACCACGAATAGTACAAAGGCTGAGTGAATAGAATGACATGTTTAATTGTTTGCTTTGCTGTATTGGTAAGGAAACGTGCCCATGACGTCATAAACTGTTCAAATTAAAACCAATCAGTGAGGTCTAGATTATTTGTTTCATAGTTGTTACTGGAGCGATACATGTCTTACGTCACGCATGATTGCGTAATATTCTTAAGCAACAAGCAAAAACAAATTTCCAAAATATGACATCGTTAAACATCCGGGTTTTGTTTTGTCATCCGGGAAATGTTCAGATGAGTGAAATGTGAAACATAGAAGCAAAAAAGAAATCTACGATTTTCTGTTTTTCTTGTTAAAAATATGTGTCATGACTGTGTTTTAAGCCACGTAGGGGGACTTATTGAGCTTAAGTATTTGAAGTAGAAGTCTCAAATCTCCAATGGTGAATCAGACTTTGGGTATCAGACAACCATTCAAAAGTAACTAAAACCATTTTTGCTACTTAAATACATCTTAAAGTGTCACTTACATCATATTAAATAGCTGGAATGTAGTTTGAGTGTTAAGAAAGAATTTCTTTGTTTACCCTGTTTTCAAGATGACAAACTCACTTATTTTGCATGATGAGCTTTCAGTGACCTAGATCTGTAAGAGTATTCATTCCAAAGGCCTACAATTTTCAGAGAACCAGTAATATCCTCTGTAAATGAATACCAATACCTAGGTTTGTATTTAGATGAGCACCTTACTTTTAAAAAGGCAATTGAAACATTAGCAGCCTCTGCTAGCAGAGCTCTTGGAGTCATTATTGCTAAATTTTACCATAAGGGAGGTTTTACCTTTGATGTTTTCACAAAACTTTATAATTCACTTGTTTTACCAATTATGACATATGGATCTGGTATTTGGGGAGATAAACCACGTGGACTGCTAAATAATGTTCAAAATAAGGTAGCCCGTTTCTTCCTAGGTGTTGGAAAGTACACACCAAATGATGCTGTAAATGGCGATATTGGATGGCCTTCATTTTATAGCGTTCAACTTAAGGAAACCTTTCGTCAGTGGTGTAGACTTACAAATATGAATAATTCCCGTGTTACTAAAAAGATATTTACTTGGTCCAAAAATGTAAGAAAATCCTGGGAATACCAGGTCATTAAGATTTTTGATCAAAATGGCTTAACAGATTTCACTGATAAAGAATGTACACAAATCCATGGTACTAAGGCCAAGATTAAAAGTTTTCAAAAGAAACTTATCGATAAACATCAAATTGATTGGCATATAAACTTATGGAATGACAATAAAAACAAAGAAAATGGTAATAAACTTAGAAGTTATAGACTCCATAAATCTCGTTTTCATACCGAGGAATATGTTGAGATGTATTTACCTAGGATTTACAGACAAGCTCTGGCAAAACTTAGGTGTGGTGTATTACCTCTGAGGGTAGAAACTGGAAGATATAATCCCAAATTAGACCTTCATGACAGAATTTGTTTAATGTGTGATATGCAGGAAGTTGAAAATGAAATACACTTTCTAATAGATTGTCCATTGTATAATGATTTAAGATATGATGTTTTCACTTACATGTCATCATTGCATCCTTCTTTTGAAAATTCAACAAATTTAGCAAAATATTGTTTAATTATGTGTGATTGCAATGTTTACATGCTAGCAAAGCTAGTATATTGTATGTTTAAACGACGTAAATTATTTTTATTGTAAATTTTATTCAGTGTCTCATAAGTCGGCAACGGCTGGACGTGTACATATTATTCTTTTACCTCTACATGTGTATGTATATTTTAATTGTTTTTTAGTGTAAATTGTATACGTGTGACACTTAAATAAACTATTTTAAACTCTAAAAATAAATCACACACTGGAGTTTATCATACTAAAACTAGAAAAACAGCAACTCCACGGAGTAGCAAATCCCACCGAACAAAACATGTTTTGATAAAAAAAATTGAGCCAAATTCATCCACTGGTATTTGAATTATCAAAGATTATGTCTTTATGAAACATGGTTGCCATTTTTAAATTCAGCTGTCATCTTTAGATTTCTTCTTTAGCAGAGAATGTCCGTGCAATGGTATCTGGGTTATCAAAGATTATTTTTTTAATGAAAAATGGCAGCTATGTTGAAATTCAGCTATCGCCTTTGAAATTTCTTCTGAAGCAGATCCCCTTTTTCCCTAAACATCAGCATATAAAATTGGAACCAAATCCATCCACTAGTATTTGAGTTATCATTAATTACGTTTTTTTACGAAAAATGGCGGCCATTTTGAAATTCAGTGGCCATCTTGAAAATTTATTTTTGAGCATAACTTCTTTGTCTCTAGGCATTAGCATATAGAATTTGAACCAAATCCATCAACTGGTATTTGAGTTATCAAAGGTTACGTTCTTTTATGAAAAATGGTGGCCATTTTGAAATTTAGCTACCATCTTGAAAATCCCTTCCCGAGCAGAGCTCCTATGTCCCTAGGCATCATCATGTAAAATTTGAACCAAATCCATTCAATGGTAATTGAGTTATCAAAGGTAATGTTTTTTAATGAAAAATGGCGGCCATTTTGAAATTTAGCTGCCATCTTGAAAATCCTTTCTTGAGCAGAGCTCCTATGTCCCTAGGCATCAGCATCTAAAATTTAAACCAAATCCATTCAATGGTATTTGAGTTATCAAAGATAACCTTTTTTTACGAAAAATAGCCGCCATTTTGAAATTTAGCTGCCATCTTGAAAATCCTTTCTCAAGCAGAGCTCCTATGTTCCTAGGCATCAGCATCTAAGATTTGAACCAAATCCATTCAATGGTCTTTGAGTTATCAAATATAACGGTTTTTTACGAAAAATGGCCGCCATTTTGAAATTTGGTGGCCATCTTGAAAATGTCTTCTTGAGCAAGGCTCCTTTGTACCAAGGCAACAGCATATAAAATTTGAACCAAATCCATCCACTAGTATTTGAGTTATTAAAGATTATATTTTTTCCGAAAAATGGCCGCCATTTTGAATTAAGCGGCCATATTGAAAATTCCTTCTCGAGCAGAGGTCCTACACCCATAAGGCATAAGCCTATAAAATTTGAATGAAATTCGTCAACCGGTATTTGAGTTATTGCCCGGACACACGAACGGACGGACGAACAGACGGACGGACGAACGGACGAACGGACGGACGGACGGACGAACGGACGGACGGACGGCTTCTCTATATCCCCCTCGAACTTCGTTCGGTGGGATAATAAAAGAATTATGGATTGTTTACAGAAAGACATGATGCGGCTCATAAATCTTGCGGTTTTGCTACTTGGTGTGTCTTTTAGTAAAACTAATGGTCAACGTAAGTATCTATAAATATTTTAATTAACAATAAATAAAGAATAACTAACAATTAAAGGATAAATAAAAAAAAATTAAAACAATAAGGTCAAATTGAGTAAATAAATTTTCATTTGTATTGTTTGCAGAAAATCCATTTTATACTTATTATATTTTAAGGGATTATTTAATTACATGCTTTATTACAAACTATTTAAAGAGCTACCTAATGCCTAACCTTGACCTTGGAAATGCCAGTGACCTTTCATGACCCTATTAGGGTAATACTAGAGAGTAATAATAAGACAATGAAGTTATGCAACAAGAGATAAACAAGACAAAATGTCACCACCTGATAAGTTATTGCATGTGGTTACAAAAGTGTATCAATTGGTTACAGAAACCAAATTACGAAAACAGTTATCCCAAGACACAGTGAAAAATTCTTTGAGGTATTCCATATAGAATGTGAAATTTGACTAGTAAAATGGTACCTAACTAGGTCCACAATTTGATTGTTCATTTCAGGATGTGGCATGGACATCTTTGTCCTCCTAGATTTCAGCTCCAGCATGTCATACGCAACAAAATCACATATTGTAGGAGGTATTCAGCCAATGATCAACAAAATAGAAGAAATATCAGGAATTGGTGACGGTCCTTATGAATCTATGGTTGGAATACTGCAGTATGGAAGAGTAGGTCACGGATATGACATAAGTATTCCTGTCCCCCTGGATATGACTCAGAACTATGCGACTGTTTCCAGTCAAGCAGCATCCATAAGTGCTTTTGATTACAAAGGAGATCATACGAGGACAGATCAAGCTATTTTTAGAGCCCTTATTGAACTGCTATCAAAAGGTCGCCCGGGTATAAGAAAACTGATTGTTTTATGCACAGATGGTGCCACCTATCCACAAAAGCATCGACCATATACACTTTACTATGCCGAGCTTGCAAGTAACTATTCATTTCATTTTACACATTTTAACATATCCATATCCCAAATTACAAACTTAGACAAATATTGAATAATTCTGAGTGTCATTTAATGATTATAAATATCTGAAAAAAGACCATTAGGTCTACATATACAAAGGACGATCAGGAAGTTCTGATAAAACACTGTATCTTGAATATAATATGAATACAACTGAATGATAGTTTATAAAATATCACAAATTCACATTTTAAAAAACAATGAGTCACCACACTTATGACAAATACTTATTTAACAAAAAGACCTTTGTCAGAGCATATTGTTGCTATTAATTTTGAATAAAAAACATTTCACTTCATACATTTTGATTTTCCTCTGAGAACATCTAAATCAGTTGTAATCATGTTCCCAATAGAGGCTTAAAACAGACCCTAGGAGTCGACATGATTATTCCAAACCCTTATCACATCAATTACTCAACTATTTGACTAATTACTAAAAAAATGTGTTAAGCTCTGGGAAAATTCAATTATTGTTGTTCACATGTATGTAAATGTATGTTCTTTATGGTTTACTCCAGAATCTCGCTACAACATCCCGATATTTGTGTGTGAGGTACCTAACGATTATGGGGAATTTGCTACAGCCTCTAATGAGGATATGAAAGGAGAGGTATGTGATATATTACCTCATATATGATATACACAGTTTAAACTACCAGTTGAGTGATGTGTGTGTGTAGAAAATATACGATGTGATATATTTTGAACCGTTTGACCCCTAGTTAAACTACCAGTTCAGTGATCTGTGTGTGTAGAAAATATACGATGTGCTTCCTCTGGTGTGTTTGAGCATTAACATCCACTGCCTCTAATCAGATTGACTAACAAAATAACCTTTATTTGGTGTTGTCAAGTTGGCCAAGAGGTCATGAGCACCAGCACTTTCAAGCTAGGCGTATAAGTGTAATAACCACGAGGTTGCAAGTTCAAGATGACTGTGCTCCTTGTGTTTATTCACATGTGCATCCTATATTGCTTTGTCAGTGACTTAAAATCACTGAAATAAATTATTGATATATTTCATCACATCAGATATTATTGTGCCAAAAACCTGTGAAAAGTATCAAACTATAACTATACATACAACAAAAAGGGCACTAATCTCACTTAAAAAGATACACGTATTAATGTTTCTATTTAGATTTCAGCAATTGTACATCCCTACCCAGACCGCCACTATTCAGGTGGAGAAACATTGGAAACCATTGTAACGGAACTGTTCACATATGATGGAGGAAATTATCCAAATCTCGGGTTTTCAAGGTCTTGTCGTATGTACAAATTCATTACATTTACATCAAATAATATAACATATTTAGGCAACCATTTGTAATATTCAAGAATCCTTTAAAAAAATAGTACTGTGGGTAAAGGGCTCACATGCTATTATGTTACTAGACAAAAAGTCCACCTAAATAAGAAAAGGTGCGTTTATTGGCAAATACCCCAATGGTCAAAATGAAAAATTCTTAGGTGTAACATGAAGAATAGAATGTCATGTAACTCTTTGGAAAATATTAAAGTGCTCGGGAACACATAGGCTGAGATAGGGGCCATTAAGTTCAGTAAGGTTGTATTGACTTACATGGGGCTGTGCATCATTGACTTAACATGAGCAGATCCCAATAGAGGCCATTGGTTTCCATTGATTATCACAAAAATACCAAAAATACACTATGACCTGAATCGATTGCAAACTTAATTATTTCACAATATGACACAAATGGTTTATTTCATCAAATGTGCAAATATGAAGTTTGCAATCGATTCAAGTCATACTTTAAATTAAAAGATTGTACATTTTTTCATCATTTTTTCCATACAAAATGGCTCTAGAAAAATGGTCCAAAAACAACTTTTACACTTATCAAATATCATACAAGCTTGTAAAACTAAAGATTATACTTAGGCTAATTGTATTTCTGTATCGCAAAAACCGAAATTGGAATAAACTATATTTGAAAAAAAATGCATTATATAAAAAAATAATCGAAAATAATTAAAATTGAATTGAGGGAGGGGAGTGAAAGGAGGGGGGAATAATGTCGAGAAATAAATGATAATAGATGTAACTTGACTAAATCAAGTTTTGACACATAGTTAACCACTTTAAAGGAATAAGTGATTCCTTCAGAGGTTTTAAAGATACCCATTATAGGAGACCAAACTTAGCTGAAAGCAATGATTTTTCCCTATGGTAAAATAACATGGGAAATATTGTTTTCCAGTTTATCTGAAAGGGATTAACTGTGTGTCAAAAGGCAGCATATTGATGCAAGAAAAATTAAAAAAGCAGGGATGGAAGGGGTTGAAAATCAGGAAAACATTTCAGAAAAAACACATGGGTGGGTTGTTTGCATCTACCCTGTCTCAAAGTCGAAATTATTTTATCATCTCAGGAAATTATTTTCCTGGAGGTAATGCATTGGCCTAACATATGCACCTGTTTAAATCCCCAGGAAATGGCCAAAATCAAACATATGACTGTCCAAAATCTCTTGCGCTAATTTCCCTCCTCCTTTGTTGAATTTTCTAGCGAAAATCAGCTACTCCCCCTCCGTTCATTTCTTCAAATCACTGGGTGTGGGGTCCCCATTCATAATTTTTCGAATTGTTTAATTAATATTTTGTTATCCTTGAGAATTTACTTGAAAGATAACATATCGTGTTAATGGTAAATGTCCTTTTTAACCTTTAGCATCCTGTGAAGCTGCCGGCAACCCTGATCGACACAGTTTAAATTTTTAAAAACTACTTTATCGCACCATTCTTATGATCAAATAAGATTGCACAATTTATTCAGTGCCATATGTGACTTGCGGGTGACCCAGAAATGGTGATCTGCCAAAAAAATTTCTTATTCAACAATTTAAACAGAGTTTTCATCATTTCATCGTTGACAAATCAAAAGTTATCAAGATATTTATCATAAGTCCACATCCAGTATATCATTTTTTGCAAAATAAGTCAGTCGCTCGGGATAAAATGGCCAAGGTAGGTCAACGTGATAAAGGTTCAATTGAGAAAATGCTCATAGTGAAAGATATGACCGTCTAAAATCACATGCCATATTAAACCTGGTCTTTTTTATTCTTTGAAAATAATGCTTGAAAAAATAACTCCTCCTCTTACAGTTTGACATGTTCCAAACTACTTGCACCTATTTAAAATTTTAAAGGTAACTGATCGAGTTTCAATATTTTCCCAAAAGCTTCAATAATCACATTTTTTAAGTTGCATATAAAAAGACAACAGCAAAGCCAAAGCATAGCAAATCCCATCGAACAGCCATGGCTGGCATTTTTTAAAATGACCAACTTCTACCACAAGTGTCATTAGACAGTGTGCCATGCTTATAGTATTCACATACAAAATATGAACAGAATCGCTCTGCTACATTTAGAGTTGTAGTAAAATAGAGATAAATGGCCACCTTCGATCAAAAGTGTCATTAGACAGTGTGCCATGCTTATAGTATTCACATACCAAATATAAACAGAATCGCTCCACTACTTTTCGAGTTATAGTAAAATATGTCATCTTTATTCAGTCCAGCTTGAAAATCTATTTGTAGTTGCTGTTGTTTTCTTACTTCTTCTGATTTTTTCGGACAGACAGACAGACAGACGGACGGACGGACGGACGGACGGACGGACGGACGGACGGACGGATGGATGGACGGACGGACAGAGGTGTTCCCTTTATCCTTCCGAATTTCGTTCGATGGGATAAATATGGACAATAGCTCTTTGTTGTCTTTATTTTCAATATGCTTTTTTCTCAATTTCAGCCCCAAATATATGTCCATATGGGTACACATTCCTTTCTTATGATTGTACAACATGTGGTTTGACGGTATGTTATGTCTGTAGTTACTATTTTCAATATATAAGTCCACATATTATATGTACTGATATTGTCCTCAGAAAACGTTTAATGACAAATTCTATGACCAATATATCTGGTTCTCTAGACTAAATATACTTTTTATTAAATACAGGTTTTCCTAAGCTCCTCAATATGAAGACACTCATATATTCATACATGTATTTCCTATGCATTTCAAAATATCAGATGACATGCAATGCATCATAATAGAGCAATATAAGGTTTTCATATACGTAAATTAATATTTATTTACTTCATTACTACTCAATGAAAGTGGTGAAAATGGCCATTACCTTAAAATACATGTACATTTAATTCAGACTGGCTGTGTGAAAGTGTATGATACAGTTGATATGCAGAGGAATTGGGAAGGTGCTGAAGCCTTTTGTAATGATGAAGGTGCAAAATTGTTTCGCTGGACTAACCTTAACTGCTACAATGCTCTCAATCTACATTTACGATCATTTGGTATGTTACTTTGCAGTAAAAAAAACCTTAAAGAAGCAATAAGACTCAAAGTAGTCCTCCAATCCTCATAGAATTATTATCTCATTAATATTGCTTTTATTATCTGATAAAATCTTATTGATTTGACTTTTAGTTCTGCATTTTCACAGAAAATTTTTACTATCTAAACTATAAATAAACTTCAATTTGTTCTTTTGTAGGGTATACCAACTCTATGCTGTTCTGGTCATGTGGAACAACCCCTTATCCTCCATACCAATTTACATGTGGTGGAGGTAAGTTTTCCTTGCAATATGAATACCAATTTACATGTGGTAATAAGTTTTCCTTGCAATATGAATACCAATTTACATGTGGTGGTGGTAAGTTTCCCTTGCAATATGAATACCAATTTACATGTGGTAATAAGTTTCCCTTGCAATATGAATACCAATTTACATGTGGTGGTAAGTTTCCCATGCGATACGAATACCAATTTACATGTCGTATTAATGTCCCTTGTAATATGAATACCAATTTACATGTGGTAGTAAGTTTCCCTTGCAATATGAATACCAATTTACATGTGGTATTAATGTCCCTGGTAATATGAATACCAATTTGCATGATAAGTGTCCATTGTAATATGATTAACCTCTCTGTTGAAACATAACAAGTATTATTTTTGATGAAACAGTTTACATTATGGATAAACTATGAGTACTGGGTTTTAGGAGGAATAATAGCTTAGGGCCTAAGAGATATTGGTTAAAAACTATAAAAATGGGAAACTTAGTATTACTTAGTGAACACCCTGTTCATAATAAATATGGGTTGTTAGTTCATTTCTAACATCTAAAACACATTTGCTTTTTTCATCATCATTCTAAATGTACTGTATTTCTTCACCAGGTAATAATCCTTGTATCGAAACTACGACTGAACCAGATCTCGAAGGAAATGGTAAAAAAGACAATTGCGTTATTCTCCACCACAAAAGTAACCAGGATACAGTACCCTTACCACAACCATGCAATGCACAAAAATTTATAATATGTCAAAGAGGTTTTATATAGTAAGTAGCCTTTTTTGCTCACATGGACTTCCCCCTAATCTGTCTCTACAGCTGTCCATGTGTCCATTCATTGTTCCATCAACAATTCTTATTGCAAAAGTTTGTTAAACAAGATTTTTATCATAAAGTATGTATTGCAAGTCCATGATTATATAACACAATAGTGGGATATTCATGGCCTATTTTTTTCTGTAAATACATGTTCTCTCTGCTTTAGATATTAAGACAGATATTCTGGCATAACTGTGCCAGTCAAAAACAGGAATTCAATGAAAATTAAGTGAGGATTTTTGTAGAAATTGGTCACCTTGTAGATAACAAAGATATGTTATTTTAGTCTGCTCACTGGGCAATGAGTCAAACATTTAGCTTCAGTTAAAAATGAAAACATTTTTTTTTGTATTTCAGGACCAGATAGAAGATTTTACATTTAATGATGAAGATGTGCGGATGCTGACAGTGTAGTGTTTATGATTAAAAAATATATTAATATTTATGTTAAAAAATCAATACCTTTAAAGATATTTTTGTTACCACCAATTGACAAATATTACATAAATATGTACTTTGTACTTTTGCGAAGGTGACCTAGGTCCTCAATCACATTTTCATACTAAGAAAACAGACAAATAAATTAGTTTAATATCAAATCACATCTTCAGATCTGTGGCTTTGTTTTTGTTTCATAAAATGTGACAAGGTTAAACAATTGTGCACTTCATAATGTTTAGAGCTGGCATCGAATAGGATTTTAATGTCGACATGTCGGAGCTCTTGATCGACAACGATATCGACATTGTCAGGTCCAATGATATTCGAAAAATGAAAAAAATTTTGAAGAAAATCCGTCTGAATTTTAGATTTTCTAGGCTTGTAATTAGCAATATGATGCACAATAGTCATCCTCAGTTGTATGTTTTATATTTAACTTACAGGTAGGCCTAAACCATGTTTAAGTATCAGACTTTGACGAAAAAGCAATAAATAGACACAAAACTACGATTTCTGTTGTTATTTCCGGGCAGCCATTGAAAATAAATCTCGAGGGTAAATCTCGAGGGGCCCCGAGACCTAATTCGAGAGCAGGAAGTCGATCAAAACTAAAAAGAAAATTTGAAAATGTAGGCGGTAAAACTTCACTAAAATACACCATACAGCAGGTAGTAACAAAGACTTTAATTCATAGGGAAATAGCTTATTATGTTGTGAGTTCCGACTGTCGATCAAGAGGCGTTGTGTCGACATGGGTGTCGCAGAGAGCATTCGTCTGACAATCGACCATTCCGACATTTGATACCAGCTCTAATAATGTTTGGGAGGGGAGGTACAAGTAAAACTCCATTATGTTTCAGTTAGTCTGCATCATTCTTATGAGAACTTCTGACAAGAACGAACAAGGCATTAACATGACAAAATGTGACCACCTAGTTGCTCACAATATCATTAGCTCAATCTTAAGTCAGATTTGAATTTCTGAGAACTTGTAGATGATTTTGAAAATAAAAATTGGTCAATTTGAAGCAAGTTGAAAAAATACCTTTTTGACCCTAAGAAGGTCATTGAAGGTGAAATCTCAAATCTAAAGTTAGATTTGAACTTCTGAGAACTTGTAGATGATTTTGAAAAAAAATTTGGTCAATTTGAAGCAAGTGACATTGAGAAGGTCAAATATTTCTTTGACCTTGAGAATATCATTGAAGGTTAAATCTATAGTCAGATTTGAACTTTTGAGAACTTCTAGATGATTTTGAAAAAAGTGGTCAATTTGAAGCAAGTTGAAAAAATACCTTTTTTGACCTTGAGAAGGTCAATGAAGGTTCAAATCTCAAATCTAAAGTCAGATTTGAACTTCTATAACTTGAAGATGATTTTTAAAAAAAAATTGATCAACTTGAAGCAAGTTAAAAGACATTTTTTACATTTTTTACCTTTTTTTCACCTTGAAAAAGTCACCGAAGGTCAAATCTTAAACATAAAGTCAGATTTGAACTTCTGAAAACTTGTAAATGATTTTGAAAAAAACTGAAGTCAGTCTAAACAGTATTTGTTAAGTTATTGGAAGTTTTAAGAATTGTTTCAGATACCAATCGCCGATCGCCAACCAAACTCCAAAAACTGAATGCCAACCACCAAACACCAACTGTCAAATACTGTGACCATCCACAAAAAGTTGGAGACTATAACAACATGATATCACTTATTGTGGTGACATAACTATACAATTACAAAACACCTACCCTATCACTACTGCTTCGCTCCTGTATCAACTCCCTCTCGCGATCCTTCACATCTCTTTGTAAAAGCTCAATTTGCCTTTCGAGATCTTGAATCTCATCACGTAGGAATTTGGCATCCCTCGTTGTACCTCCAGCCTCATTTCCAAATCTCTGCAATAATCAAGGACTCTCAATATATATTTCCAGTTTTGTTCGTATTTATCCACAATCTCAACTATTATTTTATGGCTCTGCTTTGTGAATAAAAACAAAAGTCTTATTTTTGCAAAACTTATTGATCAGCCTGGAATATTGTAATGTATTGAAAGAGTCTATAACTAAAGTAATGAAATGAGCACATTCATACAGATATACTGCCAGCCTTATTCATACACTTTATGAAACTTCAGTGTCTATTCATTGCGTGCTCCAGTGTATTTTTCAAATTTGCAGAATTTTGACTTCTTACAATTCTGACAAGTCTACTTGGTTCAAACCTTTAAGTTCTTATTCTCCATCTTGAGCTTCTCTATTTCCTCCTTGAACTCTCGTTCTCTCCTCGCTTCTCCCTTCCCCTGGTTTTTAGCAGCATTCGTCATTTCCTCCTCAAATATTTTTGCCTGAAAGAGTTTGTGGCTATTAGATTATTTACAGTTTCCTTTATCTTTATTAATGCATATTTCTGCCTGATCCAGATTTCCGTTAGGACGGACGAGCTCAGTAATGTGTAAATTAGGCATTTTATTTGAGATAGTAAGTCGATATTGGTGAAAATAAGGAAAAAGTACTTTCTTGGTCCCTTCATTCCAGATCTGCCACGATAAACAAACTGGTTCATTCTCCCTATTACAATATATGCGTAATTGGACTTATTTTGTTTTCCTCATACGCCCCATCATGTTCTCCCAGAATTTTTCCTTTTCAACTTAATAATATGTATTAGAAAAGCACCAAAATACATAGGGCCACACAATCTATTATAGCCAACCCACAAGCAATCTAATATAGACAAAGGTTTCATATAAAAGTTGAATTTGTTTTTTCATATGAAACTGGACCATGGACTTTTGATTGCTTTTAAGGTTTGATTGAAGCGAATTACCCAATCGAAATGGAATAAATATCCCAAAATCTCAAATGGATATTGAAATCATGACTGTGAAGTATTTTTTATGCTTCAGTGCCAGGGAGGTCACAGTCAGCCTTCCATTTCTTTCTTTTTGTGCAAATATTTAACTTCAAGAATTTAATAAGTGTCAAATTATATTATGAAGCAGTAAAAATAGTCATACATAATTTTCAGCAAACAAATCAAATCAAAGATACGAACAGTCATTTCTTCTGATTATCAATTAACATAATTTCTTACCTGTTCTCCCTTGACATTCATGACGGCTTGTGTGACATAGAAAAGTTTCCGTAACCGAACAGCGTCATCTTCTCCCTCCACTTGAAACTACAACATACAAGATAGACATGATTACCCTGGAATAGACTCTCTATATGTTGTTATCTATTTCATGCTTTTCTTTTTAAAGTTCGAATGAAGAGACTCATTTTCTAAAGTATTGTTGTCACTCTTTAGTTCGTTACATTTCCGATTCCGATTGTTTTTCATGTTATTTACAATTTCAAAGGATGGCATCGATTTTTCTCATGTGTAGGCTCAGAATAAGAAATGTGATTTACACCAACCTAATTGCACAATGCACATGTCCAATACAGATTAGAATTCTATTATCAAATAAATCTATTTGTAATCCTAGACATAAAACAAATACTGTAAGAGTCAATTCAAATTGAAGACAACATAGTGCTCATTTCCTCTCTTTTGGAATTTTGAGGTGCAATCTATTTATTTTAACTGGGTGCATAATTTACATTTGACCCTATTAGTGACTTCATGCAAAGTAAAAAAATATCTAAAATCTTGAATAACCGCATGGTTCGAAACTCAGAAACTCCCAGCTGCCTGACTGCAAATGGCAATTATTTTTGCTCTTAGCAACTGACTCGAGGAAAAAACCACTTGCCTATTGGCCAATGGACTAAATGCCAATATGTTAAATTGGGCCGTGGGCACTCTGAATCCTTATTGATTGCAGGGCAACTATCTCTTTATTTTGTAAATATAAACATAAATTTAAATTGTAAACTTCTTCTATTTTCTTAATCTAATGTCCAATATTAGGTTAGACAATTCCTAAATGTGGGCCTAACGTGTATGCATTTTGGATTTAATTCACCTCTCTGTCTAATTCCAGCTAAGGCCACCGGGGTACTACATGCCATGTGCACCAAGTACAATTAGCATCTTGCCAAGTACGAAGTATACATGTTGCCCAGCATGTGGACCAAGTTACAAGTCACATGCTGCCAAGTCCCATATTCAAAATTTTCGAAGTCTTAATGATAAACCTCGCATGTGCAGCATGTGGACCAAGTTAGCAAGTGACATGGTACCATGTTGCATGTTCAAATAGCATCTTGTCAAGTTTAAACTATACATCTCGCATGTGCAGCATGTGGACCAAGTTAGCAAGTGACATGCTGCCATGTTACATGTTCAAATAGCATCTTGCCAAGTTTAAACTATACATCTTGCATGTGCAGCATGTGGACCAAGTTAGCAAGTGACATGGTACCATGTTGCATGTTCAAATAGCATCTTGCCAAGTTTAAACTATATATCTCGCATGTGCTGCATGTGGACCAAGTTAGCAAGTGACATGCTGCCATGTTGCATGTTCAAATAGCATCTTGCCAAGTTTAAACTATACACCTCGCATGTGCAGCATGTGGACCAAGTTAGCAAGTGACATGCTACCATGTTGCATGTTCAAATAGCATCTTGCCAAGTTTAAACTATACATCTCGCATGTGCAGCATGTGGACCAAGTTAGCAAGTGACATGCTATCATGTTGCATGTTCAAATAGCATCTTGCCAAGTTTAAACTATACATCTCGCATGTGCTGCATGTGGACCAAGTTAGCAAGTGACATGCTGCCATGTTGCATGTTCAAATAGCATCTTGCCAAGTTTAAACTGTACATCTCGCATGTGCAGCATGTGGACCAAGTTAGCAAGTGACATGCTACCATGTTGCATGTTGAAATAGCATATTGCCAAGTTTAAACTATACAACTCGCATGTGCAGCATGTGGACCAAGTTGCCAAGTGACATGGTACCATGTTGCATGTACAGATAGCATCTTGCCAAGTTTAAACTATACATCTCGTCTCGCATGTGCAGCATGTGGACCAAGTTAGCAAGTGACATGCTACCATGTTGCATGTTGAAATAGCATCTTGCCAAGTTTAAACTATACAACTCGCATGTGCAGCATGTGGACCAAGTTGCCAAGTGACATGGTACCATGTTGCATGTACAAATAGCATCTTGCCAAGTTTAAACTATACAGCTCGCATGTGCAGCATGTGGACCAAGTTGCCAAGTGACATGGTACCATGTTGCATGTACAGATAGCATCTTGCCACGTTTAAACCATACGACTCACATGTGCAGCATGTGGACCAAGTTGCCAAGTGGCATGCTGCCATGTTGCATGTTCGAATAGCATCTTGCCAAGTTTCAACTATACATCTCTCATGTGCAGCATGTGGATCAAGTTCCAAAATGACACGTTTGTTTATTTGGAATGGGAAATTAAATGATAAAATATATTTTTAAACTAAAAAGTTTGTTTAATGAACGGTAAAACGAATGAAATGAACACAAATTTGGAAAATGTAATTTAAAAAATGGTAAATTGGTATATAAGTTTGAGCTTTGTAGTAAGCATATGAAGAAATCATCCTCTACAATATTCTTGGTTAGCTGACCACTAACTCCCGGGCACTGACTACATTTGTATTCTGCCACTCTCAGGCCAGTAGTCAGCTTTTACCAGGGAGGGAAGCAGGGGGGAGGGCTGTTTTTAAAGAATTCCATGAGGGATTTGACTTTTCCTTTGCATTATACCTTAGAATTCACACATGTAAAATGTTTCAATATGATAATAATAGATTACTAACTTTATGTTCTCATAAAACAAAAATAGATTGCAGAGAATAATTTATTATGTAGAGATGATTTTATTATGGAATAATTGTGAAGTAATAAACTTGTTAATGTTACAAAGCTATGGACACCATATCACTGTATCATATACAATTATTCTAACACAATTCTAAACACATGTGAACATTATAGTATCCTTGTATTAATGTTCCAATCTGAGTGTCAGTTAGTTCACTAAGTAGGCTCCCTGGTCAGAAACATCTTGAATTCTTGAATAAGTAGAAATAAGAATATAACTGTATTTATGTAGAATTGAAAATCTGTATATCTGCAAATATAGAACATTTACCATTGCCCATGAGTTTTCTGCTCTGTAGAAAGACCATAAATGCATATCTTTATGAATTTATATAATCAATAGCACTTTAAGTCCCCATATAAGGTCTAAATCACTCTGGCTTATACTGTAGTCTTACTCAGTGTTATATGGAAGAATGTGAAACTTATTTTAATTGCTAATTATGAATTTATATAAAACTAACTTTTATAACTAACTTTTAGAGATCACATATATATTCTAATAAGCGATAATTCAAACCAATGCATAGCATTCATCCTCACATGATTTTGGTGAAAAATTAAGAAAATTGGTTCAAGAATAGGCGAGAAATGAACTCGTCAATGCTTTAAAATGGTTCAGAGAAAAATGTATTTCAAAATTTCTTCTTTCCTCCCGTATTTTTGACTGAAATCTCCCTTAATCTACCGTGTTTGAGCTAAATCTACAGTCAGTAACCTTGATTATTGGACTTCTTTCTTTTACTTTCAGTTTTACAGCAGGGAAATGTATATTTTCTGTAAAAACTGAGCGAGCAAAGGAACCCTCATAATACTTGTTCAGGGCCAACTTACATCATGGGCTTTTAATAATCAGCCTGATTACTCATTAATTTTTGTCATATTCTTTTGTTTTCCCATTTCATTTGACTAAATGAACTTTCATTTAACTTTTATTCACCATGACCTCGTTCAAAACCAATTTCAGGTTGGCAGGTCTGACGTTAGTTGCAAAATATTTTTGATATGCTAAACCATTGAAGTGGCGCATCATTAAAAAAAATTCAACTTTTATTTGAAAAATGGCGGGAAATTTGATAACGAGAAATGAAAAAATTCAAAAAATGAATTTAACCCTTACCCCAAAAATTGAATTTAACCCTAAGACCATGAATATGTGTGTCAAAAATGTAAAATAAATTAAAAAATGAATTCCATAAATAAATAAATTTTTCTATGTCAAAATATAAAAAAAAGAATTTAATTCTAACCTTAACCCTAACCCTAACCATCCCCAACCCTATTAAACCAGATGGAGTTTTAAATGATTACCTAACCCTGACCTACCCACTGAGGACACAGGACGCGTACCAGACCCTAATGATACAGGGTCTACTTGGCAGGAGCAGCGATCACTATCAGTAGGGTCTGGCACATGAACACCGCTCCTGCAAAGAGAAATGAGTTAACCGTAGCCTTAACCCTAACCCTAATTACCAACCCCAACCCTATCAAACCAGATGGAGTTTTAAATGATTACCTAACCCTGACCTACCCACTGAGGACACAGGACGCGTACTAGACCCTAATGATACAGGGTCCAATTGGCAGGAGCGGTTATCGCATACCAGACCCTAATGATACAGAGTCCACTTGGCAGGAGCAGCGTTCGCATACCAGACCCTAATGATACAAGATCCACTTGGCAGGAGCGGCAATTGTGTACCAGACCCTAATGATACAGGGTCCACTTGGCAGGAGCGGCGTTTGCATACCAGACCCTAATGATACAGGATCTACTTAGCAGGAGCAGCGATCCCTAACCAACCCTATTAAACCAGATGGGGTTTTAAATGATTACCTAACCCTGAACTACCCACTGAGGACACAGGACACGTACCAGACCCTAATGATACAGGAACCACTTTGCAGGAGCGGCGATCGTGTCCCAGACCCTAATGATACAGGGTCCACTTGGCAGGAGCGGCGATCGTGTACCAGACCCTAATGATAGAGGGTCCACTTGGCAGGAGCGGCATTCGTGTACCAGACCCTAATGATACAAGGTTCACTTTGCAGGAGCAGCGATCGCTATCAGTAGGGTCTGGCACATGAACACCGCTCCTGCAAAGTGAAATGAGTTTAAACCGTAACCTCAACCCACCCTAACCAACCCTATTAAACCAGATGGGGTTTTAAATGATTACCTAACCCTGACCTACCCACTGAGGACACAGGACACGTACCAGACCCTAATGATACAGGGTCCACTTGGCAGGAGCAGCGTTCGCATACCAGACCCTAATGATACAAGATCCACTTGGCAGGAGCGGCAATTGTGTACCAGACCCTAATGATACAGGGTCCACTTGGCAGGAGCGGCGTTTGCATACCAGACCCTAATGATACAGGATCTACTTAGCAGGAGCAGCTATCCCTAACCAACCCTATTAAACCAGATGGGGTTTTAAATGATTACCTAACCCTGAAGTACCCACTGAGGACACAGGACGCGTATCAGACCCTAATGATACAGGGTCCACTTGGCAGGAGCGGCGATCATGTACCAGACCCTAATGATAGAGGGTCCACTTGGCAGGAGCGGCATTCGTGTACCAGACCCTAATGATACAAGGTTCACTTTGCAGGAGCAGCGATCGCTATCAATAGGGTCTGGCACATGAACGCCGCTCCTGCAAAGTGAAATGAGTTTAAACCGTAACCTCAACCCACCCTAACCAACCCTATTAAACCAGATGGGGTTTTAAATGATTACCTAACCCTGACCTACCCACTGAGGACACAGGACACGTACCAGACCCTAATGATACAGGAACCACTTTGCAGGAGCGGCGATCGTGTCCCAGACCCTAATGATAGAGGGTCCACTTGGCAGGAGCGGCATTCGTGTTATAGACCCTAATGATACGAGGTCAACTTGGCAGGAGCGGCGATTGCGTACCAGACCCTAATAATACAGGGTCAACTTGGCAGGAGCGGTGATCACATACCAAACCCTAATGATAAAGTGTCCACTTGGCAGGAGCAGCGTTCACGGTTCACGTACATCTTTTATTGACTCAGATGTCATCACAATGACATATTAGTCAGTACAATGTACAATATACAAAAATAACTTAGACTAAACTAACTACAAAATACAAAATGTAAACAACATGACAAATGCAAAAATATAAGTTATGAGTCAAGTTTTAAATACAGCATAAGAAAATGTAAAATATCAGTGTGATGTATCATTGACACAATGTTCATCCAACACATATACAATGTATGAATTAAAGATCATTGCCAGGATCAATAAATGACTATGTCTGTTGAACTTGGCAACATGCACACATGGCACCACCAACATTTCTGGTACATGGTACAGATGCTAATACAAGATGGCAAGTGGAACCATGTTGAGCATTAATAGACATTATTATAACATGGACATCCAACATGCCATGCTACAGCCAATAGCCATATTTATCACATGACAACATGCTGTACTTGGTAAGTTGTGAACTTGGGATCACTTGAATCAAGGTACTTGGCACACATGCAAATATAAGATGGCAAGTATGCCAATGCAACATGTATAAATCAACATGCACATCCAACATGCGAACATGGCAGTACTCACAAATTCTGATACATGTACACATGCTAAAACAAGATGCCATGTCCAACCAAAATAGTACATGTTCCAATCTAGAATAAATCTTGAATTATCACTTGCACATTCAACATGCCATGTTGAGCCAGTTGCTCTGTCTTTCACATGCTAGACCAGTAGCATCTTGTCAGAAAGGTACTTGCTAAAATATTGCCATGTTACAAACAAGTATATGCCAAGTGACTGCATCTTGTAGATATTACCACTTGGCAACATGGCAGAACATGGCATGTTTGGACCCGGTGGCCATAAATGTCTAATTCAGTTAGAACAGACCTCGTATAAATACTGAACAAATACTTGTGAATTTGTTCTGTAGTTTAACATTATGATCATAGTCAGATTGCGGATTGTACCAAGAGATGACTTGTATTATATACTAAGCAAATTAAACATGCACCCAAAATAAAAAACCACAAAACCTGTGCATCATTTTAGTTCACTTATCACTCTCAATAATACAAGAACACAGTGTGGGGTTGAACGAAATTTTTTGCAAACTTGCGCTTTCCCACAATCCCACAATAACAGCGCCATCTATCTAAACTCACTAAAATCAAATAACTTCATTATTTATCAAATAATATTAAAATGAGAATTCAGGTTGAAAATAGCATTTTTGAGAAATAGAACATAACAAATTCAATAAACTGAAAAAAAGTAGTATACCTCAACCAGGCTGTCGTAGAGTTCATCAGCCTTGACATCATCGACCTCATCGGTGTTGACAACCAGCAAACTTTCCCAGTCCAGAGGCGGCATCTATAAAACAAGACAATAACAGGATAAAATGTGACCACCTAGTAAGTTATTTGTGGGTTGAGGACTGCGAAAAAACCATTAAGACGTTCTTAAGTCAGAAACTTGGAATCGAAGCTGATAATATACGATTTGAACGAGTACATCGTATACCCCTAGGGCCAAAATCAAAATATAAATTCACGAGAACGCTGACAGCCAAATTCCTTTGGTACCAAGACAGGGAAAACGTCTGGAAGCAGCGATTTAAACTTAAAAACCACAAAGGGTTTTTCATGTCCGATAGCCTTCCTGCAGAAGCCGAACGAAACAGACAAATCCTGCTTCCTATCTTTAAAAAGGCGAAATCGTTAAATCGAAAGTGTACCTTGTATGCAGACACGCTTTCTCTAGACGGAGTACGCTACAAAGTGCGCGATTTACACAAACTACCAAGCTACCTTCTTCCACTTCAAAGCACAGTCAGAACCGAAGGTGATATCTCCCTCTACAATGATCAAGTCTCCCCCTGGGAGCTACACATGAATGTGTCTTCAACGAGAAGGGAGTAACCTACAATAGTTTAGCCCAATATATCGGTGCTTCAAAAGCAAAATACCTGGATGATCCGAATGCAGTGGATGCCATAATGATGATAAAAAACCAAAAGATGTGCCATCATATGTCAAACCTAACAGCCACCCCCACAAAACTCAACAGCTGGAACAAGAATCTCGAAGATGTGCTCAAAAAGGGTAATTACTTAAAATTCAGCCAAAACCCATACCTCAAAGCAATACTTAAATCAACTGGAACCAAAACTCTAGGTGAATGCAACCCACATAATGAGCTAACTGGAACTGGTTTCAAACTAAGTGACAAAGACGCCTTTAACCCCAATAAATGGAAGGGTAGAAACTTTGGGGGTTTATCTCTCATGGCTGTGAGAGAGGCAATATAACAAAAAAAACTTACATTGGCTTGACAGTCTTATACTCAGAGAGTCGGTGAGGTTACTTATATTCAATTATCATCACATTCAAAATATATACAGATAGAATATCTCACATTGAAATTTTGATATGAAATCCTAAAGTTTCATATATACAGTAAGTAGTCTTGACGTTATATAGGTAACCGAAACGACCCTCTCGTATAGGATTAAGCTCTACAAGCAGAATCCATCTCTAGTGCTTCGAATTCGGAAGAATGACGGACTCTCCTCAGAACTGTTTACACATATATATATAGTGTTTGTTGCGTTATTATGTGTTGTTTTTCATAGCAAGTACCATGTCTATAACCATGCAGCGTTTATGTCTATGTACACAAATGAGTTTTAAATCAAATCAATGGTTGTAGATGTTTAAAATTAACATATACTTTTTGTTTCCATAAATACCATGTCAATGTTTATAATGTACATGTAGTCTAGAAACCTTATCTTACAGCATTCATGTTTATGGTACCTAATGGTGCATATACCCTTCACTAGAGCTGCATAATTTAAATAAAGAATACTCTATACGTTTATACATGTTAATGATTTAAAATTTAAGATTGTAATTTTGAGTCATAATAAGGTAACTATGAAATGCATTAAGTGAAATCTTGTATTTAAAGTACACTTTGCAAATACTATACTTTGTATGTTCAGATATCTTGACGAATCACAAATAAGGTAAACATCTTAAACTTAACAACTTTTCTTCATACGTAATGCTGCATTGTTTTTTGGGCATGCAGTATAATGCGGTGTATATTATAAAAGGGTAATCAGGTGCTCAAATTTAAACTTAGCATGCATCATTTACACGGTAACTTATAACCATGCATTGTACGAGTGTATGCAACATAATAAGGTGCAAATCATAAAATGATATTCTCGTCCTCAAACTTAAACCAAGCATGCATTGTAACTTTGAAAGCATACATTGTATTAGTGTATGCAACATAATTTAAGGGGCAAATTATATAATGGTAATCTTGGGCTCAAACCTAAACTCAGCACACAATTGCTATACAATGGTAACTTTGCCAGCATGCATTGTATTAGTGCATGCAACATTATAAGGTGCAAATTATAAAATGATATTCTCATGCCCAAACTTAAATTAAGCATGCTTTGTGTAGATTGTAACTTTGCAAGCATGCATTGTATTAGTGTATGCAACATAATAAGGGACAAATTATATAATGGTAATCTTGGGCTCAAACTTAAACTCAGCACGCATTGGCTATACAATGGTAACTTTGCCAGCATGCATTGTATTAATGCATGCAACATAATGAGGTGCAAATTATAAAATGGTAATATTGTGCTCAAACTTTGTAAGTATGTATTGTATTGGGGCATGCAACATAATATAGTGCAAATCATTAAATGTGCTCATGTGCTGAAACGTTAAAATTATTATGCATCGTTTATAGGTAACGTTGTATGTATCCATGGTATTCGAGCCTGCTATATAACAAGGTGCAAATTATAAATTGTGCTCCTGCGCTCAAACACTTAAATGTACCGTCATGCTCAAAATTAAACTTAGCATCCACTGTTTAAAACTTGTAAGTATGTATTGTATTTGTGACTGCAACACAATAAGGTTCAAATCATAAAGTGTGCCCTTGTGCTGAAACTTTAAATTCATTATGCATCTTTTAGATGGTGACGTCGTAAGTATCCATTTTGTCAGTCACTGCAACGTAAGAAGGTGCAAATGATAAAATGTACTATTGTATCGTGCTTAAATTTAAACTTAACATGCATTGTTGATATGGCAACGTTGTAAGTATGTACCGTACTTGGGTATGCAACATAACAAGGTGCTAATTATGAATTGTGCTTTTTCGTTCAAATTAAAACACAGCACGCATTGTTTATACATTATGGTAACATTGAAAGTACGCATTGTATTTGTGGATGCAACATAATAAGGTGTAAATTATAAAACGTACTATCGTGCTCAAGCTTAAACTTAGCATGCATTGTTTATAAGGTAACGTTGTATGTATCCATGATATTGTTTTTGAGCCTGCAACATAATAAGGTACAAACTGTAAAATGTACTATCGTGCTCAAACTCAAACTTAGCATGCATTGTTTATAAGGTAACTTTGTAAATATGCACTGTATTTGGGCAGGCAACATAGTAAGGTGCAAATCATAAAATGTGCCCTTGTGCTGAAACTTTAAAGTTATTATTCATCGCTTATAAGGTAACGCTGTATGTATCCATTGTATTTGAAATATTGTGAAATGTACCATCATGCTCAAACTTAAACTTAAGATGCATTGTTTATAACGTTATATGTATGTTCTGTATTTGTGACTGCAACATGCACAATAAGGTGCAAATTATAAAGTGTGCTCTTGTGCTGAAACCTTAAACTTATTATGCATTGTTTAGATGGTGACGTTGTAAGTATCCATTGTATCAGGCCCTGCAACATAACAAGGTGCAGATGATAAAACGTGCTATCGTGCTCAAATTTAAACTTAATATGCATTGTCGATAAGGCATTGTTGATTAAACCCAGCACACATTGTTTATACAATGGTAACATTGAAAGTATGCATTGTACTTGTGTATGCAACATAATAAGATGTAAATTATAAAAGGTACCACCGTGCTCAAACTTAAACTTAGCAGGCATTGTTTATAAGGTAACGTTGATTATAAAACTTACACTTATGGTCAAACTTAAACTTAGCATGCTTTGTTGTATAAGGTAACGTTGTAAGAATGCGTCGTATTTATGCATGCAACATAATGAGATGCAAATTAATTAATTAAAGGTAACTTCATTTATTTGTGCAGAGAATAAAATAAAGTGCAAATGGTAAAATGTACTCGAACTAAACTCAGCATGCATTGTTGAAGATGGGACTTTGTAATTATGCATTGAATTGGTGCATGCTGCATAAATGTAATCCTGTGCTTAAACCGCTTTGTCCACATTCATGTATCTAAATGAGGTTGCAAATAACCACATGTACGATTGTGTTTTGTTAAGGTAACAATTTTTATTTGGCTATGTATCTTTATGAGAGTTGCAATTATGAAGCTGCAACGACATAAGTACACCACTTATTTGTACATACTTTAAAACCTCATCCATGTATAAAGTGCAATTCATGAAATGGTTTGACAATTTTTGTTATGTAATCAATGGTTATATATGAATCCCTTATTGATATGTATATGATATGATATATGTATTACATGTATGTAAATTGTATTGCATTAACATTTCAATCCTGTTCACAAACCTACCATGTACTTAATTAAAATGTTTTAACGATGTATTGTGTATAGTACAGATAGTACAATTGTAATTTAGCGAGTTAAAGACACAAGCTAAAGTGTCGTCATGCCATTTGGTGTCATATAAGACACGATTTTGCAGTTCGTTTTGTTTTGTTATTTTGTTTCGTATTCATTGTTTCTTTTTAAACAAACTTGTATATATTTAAATATCTCATCCTCAGGCGGAAACCGAAAATCTTTCCAGCCAACATACACCATGCTCCCATCTGAACTTAATAACACTTACATAATATATATACATGCTCCCCCTAATTCAAATTCACATTCAGCCTCAAAGTATAAGGCACTTTGCCAATCCTATTTCGATAAATACGTACCAAAATGAATAATTTAAGCATCATCTCCTATAACGTAAGAGGTATTCGAGATTATTCGAAAAGACAACGCATATTCCATCACCTTTCGGATATGACGCCAGCAATTGTTATGCTTCAAGAAACGCATTCCAACGAAAATGATTTAAACATGTGGAAAAACAATTGGGGTAATGAAATAATCTTCTCACATGGGTCCAACGATAGCAGAGGGGTAGCAATACTCTTGGATAAAACAATAAATTATACAATTCATGAAAAAATACAAGATAAAAACGGAAGATATATTATTTTAGACATTTCCTTTGATAAAGATAGAATACTGTTAATTAATTTATATGCTCCGACTCAGAACTATGAAAATCAGCAAAAATCCCTAATAGATGAAATTGAGAACCACATTCTAAACATGAATGCTGAAAATATCATTTTTGGAGGCGATTTTAACGCAATATTTAATCCACGCTTAGATAAAATGGGAGGGGAAAATGATAAAGTGACCACATATGTCAAGAAAATTGAAACCTTTATGAGTACCTTTGATTTGACCGACATTTTTAGAACGGCATATCCTGATTTAAAACGTTATACATGGAGACAAAAACGCCCCTTTAGACAATCAAGACTTGATTATTTTTTAATCTCTACCCATTTACTCAATCAATTTGATGATATTAAGACTCTACCTGGACTTTTATCAGATCACAGCATTTTAAGGTTACAATTTTCTGAAGTTAATAAAGAAAGGGGAGGGGTTTATGGAAATTCAATAATAACTTATTAAACGACTTGGAATTTGCTACCAAAATTCGCGATTGTATAGCTGAATCAAAATTAAAGCATGGTTACTTAGAAAATAAAGGTCTGCTATGGGAAATGGTCAAATTAGACATAAGGTCCACAATAATTTCACATTCCATTTACAAATCCAAAATACGTAAGAAAACTGACAATGAATTAAAAATGAAATTATCCAATTTAGAAATCAAAATAAATCAGGATAACGTAACGGAAGCAACGAAAAACGACTACTTTAATACAAAATTAGAAATTGAAAATTTAAATAAGAATGAAACATTGGCCTCTATTGTCCGATCCAAAACTAAATGGTACGAAAATGGTGAACTAAATAGCAAATTTTTCCTATCTTTAGAACATCGTAACTATATAAACAAAACTATTCAAAAACTACAAACTGACAATGGTACAATTATTCACGACCCAAAGGAAATCTTAAAAGAAGAAAAACGGTTTTACGAAAATTTATACACAGAAAAATTGAACGATGAAGACCTCTTAAATAACATTGATAATTTTGTACGCGGTTCGAATATTCCAAAGCTAAATGAAAATGAAAAGTTATCTTGTGAAGGGTTACTAACAGTTGAGGAATGCGCTAAATCCCTTAAAAATATGCCAAATGATAAATCGCCCGGCACTGATGGCTTCACAACAAATTTTTACAAGTTCTTCTGGATTAATGTTAAAGATTTGGTCGTAGACAGTTTAAACTATGCTTTTGAATCTGGAGAGCTATCAATTTCCCAAAAGCAAGGCGTCATTACCTTAATTCCGAAGAAAGACAAAATTAGATTATTCCTTAAAAATTGGAGGCCAATTACTCTATTGAACACCGACTATAAAATAGGTACTAAATCAATCGCGAATAGGATACGTAAAACTTTAACATCTATAATTAACGCCGACCAATCTGCTTATGTAACGGACAGATACATAGGGGAAAATATTAGACTTATAGAAGATATCTTAGAATTCACTGACCAAGGTAACATCCCTGGCTTACTTCTTCAAATTGACTTCGAAAAAGCCTTTGATTCGGTAAACTGGAAATTTATTGAGAAAGCTCTTACATTATTCAATTTTGGCGGGACACTGATTAAATGGGTAAAAACCTTTTACAAAAATGCTCAAACATGTATAACAAATAATGGGTATCAATCAACTATGTTTTCACCATCCAGGGGAGTCTGTCAAGGATGCCCCCTATCGGCATACCTTTTCATAATCGTAGCGGAAATACTAGCCATATCTATTAGACAAAATAACGAAATTGGAGGCATTCTCTTAAATAATACCGAAGTAAAAATTTCAATGTTTGCTGATGATACAACTTTTTTCATGAACTCCATAGCATCAACCGAAAGAGCCCTTCAGATTTTAAGAACCTTTTCAGAAATTTCTGGCCTTAAGCCCAACTTGCAAAAAACAGAAGGTAGATGGTTAGGACAATTTAAAACAAATCCTCCACAAATTGTACCCAAAAGTCTTGTATCGGAAATTAAAATTAACAATGAATCTTTCTACACACTCGGAGTGTGGTTTAGCCATAATATAGATGAACGGAACGATCGTAATTTTTCCCCTAAAATCAAAGCTATAGAAAACTTATTTAAAATATGGGAATGGAGGAATCTTAGCCAAATAGGGAAAAATGTGCTCATTAAAGCTCTAGCCATTTCAAAACTTACTTACTTAGCATCAATAATACTTGTACCAAAGCACATCATCAATAAAGTTCAAAACATCATTAACAATTTTCTGTGGAACAAAAAACCTCCACTTATCAGTAGTTTAACAACTATAGGCAAAATAGAAAAAGGTGGGATCAAAAGTTTACATTTTGAGTCGCAAATAAAAGCATTACAAATTCAATGGGTAAAAAGGTTATTCCAAAGCAGACCTTGCAAATGGAAACAATATTTTTACAGTTTCTTCCCAAATCTACAGCCTGAGGCAATCTTTCAATCTAAATTTCCAGTAGAAACCTTGGCTAGATTACCACCTTTTCACTTCAGTATTATGGAAACATGGAGATCTTTACATAATAAAGAGCCATATAATAAGGAACTCGCCTTAAATGAGTATATTTGGAACAATGATTTTATAAAAATTAATAATCGAACTGTGAGTTATGCTAATTGGATAAACAAGGGCATTCTTCAAATTAAAGACCTTGTTAACAATAACGAATTCCTTGGATTTAACGATTTCTCCTTAAATACAACATTAATGCACCCTTCGTTACCTTTTATGGCTTAATCCACGCAATACCACATACATGGAAACAATTAATTAGAAATAATCCAAATAATAAGAAACTTAAAAATGAAGAACTTCAAATTAAAGACCACCACACAATCAACGTCAATGCTATTAAAACTAAAACTATCTATTGGTATCTCATAGAGGATTTATTCAAGGAACCAACTGGTAAGAAATTCCTAACTACAAAATTTAATGTCTCAGAAGAAGAATGGAAACACATTTTCACTTTGCCTTTTAAGACTGTACGTGAACCAAGAATACAATGTTTTCAATACAAACTCATTTTAAATCTAACGCCAAACAATAACTTTTTAACTCAAAAGAAGATCAAAAATTCAAATTTGTGCGATATATGCAATAATGACAAAATCGATGATACCATACATTTTTATATTGAGTGCCCAAACTCTGCCAAGATTTGGGACGATTTCAAAATTTTCTTCAATGTTGATTTAACAAATAAAGACATTATTATAGGAAAATTAGATGAAGAAAACGAGGATAAAACTAAAGCCATAAATTTTTGTATCTTGTATACAAAAAGTCTAATACATAAATCTAGACTGATTAAAACTAAAATCACTTTTATCCAAATAAAGGAAATCATAAAATATAAAATCAAAGATGAACAAAACATCGCAAATTTAAATGATATGCAACAAACCTTCAATAAGACTTGGAGATGGGTTATTGAACTATTAAGCCAATAACTCTGTATCAATTTAAGGTATGGAGTATATATAATAAAACTGTGGTAACATATATGGTATGTTATTAAAGACATTGTGCAATTGTGATGTAAACACTTGTAAATTATATTGTTTGGAAATTCTCTGTACACATGGAGATGAGCTGTTGAAAAAAGTATCTATTTGTAAAATGTAAAATAATTATATCATATATTTAAGGTATGGAGTATATATTATAAAACCATGGTAACCAATATGTTCTTGAAGACTATTGTGCTATTGTGATGTAAACATTTGTAAATTATATTATTTGGAAATCCTCTGTATATGGAGATGAGCTGTTCAAAATAGTATCTATTGTAAAAATGTTAAATAATTATATGAACATGTATGTATATTATGTATGATGTATGTGTAAGATCCAATAAAAAAAAAAAAAAAAAAAAAAAAAAAAAGTTATTTGTGGGTTACAAAAATGTAACAATTTGTAACAAATGCCAAACACCAACCCCCAATGATAAACACTAGTTAAAAATGGTGGTTATAAAAAATTAATTTTATTAAATTAATTTAATTTAATTAATTTGGTTACTCAATGGAGAAGCAAATCCAAAGGAATACTATATTCATGAGTGTATACGTCACACTCACAATGTAATACTTACAATCTAAATATATACTCTACCCTTGATTTTATCATTAGAATCTCACACCATGACATCATAATACCTTACATGGACTGACTGACGGATGGAGGGCTTCACTATATCCCTACCAAACTTTCGTTCGTCGGGATGATAGTGAATTTGATTGTCTAAAAATGGTTACCATCTTTATTATTTGGGAGAATTTAAACTTTTTCCCCCTTTTTGTACTTTGAATCTTGAATAACATTACCAGCTGATAACATATTACAGATCTTTTGAAAGATATTATATATGAGATTGTAAGAAATACATTGGTAAGTCAATTATATATATTTGCAATTTTGCCATCCCTATAGAGTCTATAGCTCTGATTCTACCTTTAAGTGACATAAGCAGTTATTCATTAAAGTACATTGTTTTGTAGGAGTTCATATTTGAAAAGTAACATGTGACTCTATGGAAAATCGAAATCATAAACATACAGGACAACCTTCAATAGGTTTTATCCAAGTCCATTCTTAAGTGTACTAGTTATTACTGGACCCCCGCCAAATAAATAATAATGTGAGCAAATACAGCCACATAAACTCTAATAGCCTGAATAGGCTAACATGACCTTAGCTAAGTTATTGTATCTGATATTATAGGCTTTCAGTATTTAACATGTGTGTAGTCGGCACATAGACTTCATCAAGGCTAATCAATATAGCTTTGTACTCATAAAATGTCAGGGAAAAAACTAGAAATTGATGGTGTGACTTATCGCAGGGCTACATTGGCTGACCATCGTGCTGTAACAGAACTCTCGAATGATGTGAACCCATATGAAGGACTTGACTATTTGGAATATTTCTTTCCCAAGTACATCAGCCAGGGTAACAGGCATTGCTACTTAGCAGAGAAGAATGGGAAGGCTGTGAGTATTACAATACTAACTATTTAGACATAATTTAATAAAATTTGATTTTGTATATAAAGACATATTTTTAAAGTTATACCACACAGAATGTAATGACCAAAACTGATTCCCAGGGATTCGAAATAGTTGAACTTATGGATTAGGATTAAGTAAGAATTGTGAACTAAAGTAGGCATCTATAGTCAGATTCATAATTCCATTGACAACTTTGAATCTAAAAATAAGCAATCTCAGGACCACATTGTAATGGTACAATGAAAAAAAATAGAAACGTATGTACAAGACCTAACTTTTGTTTATTTGCAATAATAAAACCTGTATATCTGAACACCTCAATTATCAAAAACCTCTCAATATGAACACTAAATCTCTTAATTTATAGTCCCATTGACTTCCTTGTTTAAAAAACGTGAAATGTGAATACCTGCGATTCAAAACACTTTTGACTGATCCCAATGGCATTTGAATAAGACATGTTTTACTATACTTCAAACAGCAGCAGATGCTACAGTCAATAATGTTAAATTAAATATTTTCTGTATCTCTAGCTGGCCTACATGCAAAATATATTGGTTGATGGTGGACTAACAGCTATAGGACAGGCTGGCAGATCAGCCCCAGATGTTCAGCACAAAGGCATCTATAAGACCCTATTTGCCTACTTCGAAAGAGAGGTTAATGCTATGAACCCTCACTATGAAAGAGTATCCTATACAGCATACTTATCAGATTTCCAAAAAAAGTTTCTGAAAAAAGCAATCTACAAGGTGGTAGATACAAGGGTATGTTTACTTATATTGATATGTAATATATACAAGAACACAAATGTGTACAAAATGTCCCCACCTATAGGTGATCCTGTCAAATGGTTATCCTAAAAATGAGTAGATTAGACTTTACCGACACAATTTGAGGATGGAAAATCCAAAATGGCCACCTTAAAATTTACCCAGAATGCCAAAAAATAAGTCAGTTCTAGATTTTCATAATAAGAACCACCTCTGAAAATTTGAAATTGATCCGTCACACAGTTAACCAGAAAACATGTAAACAAAACTTTATAGACAAGATTTGAGGACAGAAAATCCAAAATGGCTGCCTTGACATTTATCCAGAATGCCAAAAAACTAATGTGTTCTAGATTTTTCATACTAAGAATCATCCCTGAAAATTTGAAATTGATCTACCAAAGGTTCACCTGGAAATGCGTAGACAAGACTTTACAGACAAGATTTTAGGACGGAAAATCCAAAATGGCTGCCTTGACATTTACCCAGAATGCCCAAAAACTAATCAGATCTAGATTTTCATACTAAGAATCATCGCTGAAAATTTGAAATTGACCCACCAAACGGTTCACCTGGAAACGTGTAGACAAGACTTTACAGACAAGATTTTAGGACGGAAAATCCAAAATGGCTGCCTTGACATTTACCCAGAATGCCCAAAAACTAATCAGATCTAGATTTTCATACTAAGAATCATTCCTGAAAATTTGAAATTGATCTACGAAACGGTTCACCTGAAAACGCGTAGACAAGACTTTACTGACAAGATTTTAGGACGGAAAAATCCAAAATGGCCGACAATAAAAAAGTGATTATGAGTTTTTGCTGATTTCTTTTTACAAAATTATCACATATAACTACTGTTAACAATAACATAGGCTTTAACAACAAAGTACACCTGAACTTATTTATAAAGCTACTAAATAGTTTAAGTATGAAAACTGAAAAACACCATTCAATATGATACAAAGTATTATCGCGCGCTAACTTTTCTTAAAACATTCAAAATGGCTGACATGACTGAGCTAACAGGTCCAAAACCTAATCAGATCTAGAATGAAGTGAGCTGAACAGGATGTTAAAGTTTTAAAAGCAACTGTGAAGCCGTTTTTCTTAAAGTTTGCAGACAAGGATTTTAGCATTTGACTTCAAAATGGCCGACAGGAAGTAGGTATCAAGCTAATTTTTTTTCATCCACATCTATATGCACTCATAAGTTATCGCTGAAAATTTGAAGGTGATATCTGTAGCGGTTTTTGAGAAAACTGCCGGACGTACGGACAGACGGACAGACAGACAGACGGACATACGGACAGACGGACGCGCCTAGGCCGACAATATGGCCCCACACTATGTGGTGGGGACATAATAAAAGTAATACAGTAAAACCTGTGTTAGTGAACACATCTCTCTAGTGAACACCTATCAACAGTGAACATTTTTTTTCGGCAAAACCTTTTTCCCCCATTGACTCCCATGTTAAAGTACATTCCTATAGTGAACACCTACCTACTGTGAACAGTGAACATTAAATCTTGGCAAATTTAATTGAATTATCCTGTCTCTAGTGAACATTGAATCTGATACATAAGATTTCTTGCGGATTTTCTGCAACTGCCTTATCAGAGTTAAGCAGTTAATGTTTATATTACCTGTCAAAAATAATTATTAAAAGGTCAATTTGAGATTTTGATCTCTTGTATTGAAACAGGTGTGACTAATTATAATTCTTAGTAAGCTTTGTTTTTGTAAGGCAGGATATGTGTTTAGCAGTGTCTAGAAGCATTGATTGCTTTAATTGGAGATAATCTGGTTAACTATTATTACCTCTAGATCTATCTGCTAAGTCCCAACTAAATCTTTTTCTCATCTCCATCATTTTAAAAACCAGATAAGGTTAAAATTAAGATCATTCTTAACTGACTCCATCTTGTAGTTTAATTAATTCAATCAAGTCCTTTAACTGACTCAAATGTGTTAAGAATTCCACTATTTAAAGAATTATGAAGAGATTAAAATTTGACAATAAAAGGATGAACCATTCAGGCAGTCTAAAATAAGTAAGTTTGTATAACACAACAAAAAAACAAAAATTTTTTGCAAGTGTCATGGGTTATCATAGGTATAAAATACAAATTAAATCAGTTATTCCCTCCTCTATTATTTAGGCTCGTTTAATAACTGGTCTCTTAAATATAATGTGGCAAAATGCTGCGAAATCAAATCCTTGCTGTAGTGAACACCTACCAATAGTGAACATTTTTCTTCGGCAAAAAAATGTTCACTATACACAGGTTTTACTGTAACCATTTTTTCTCAAAGAGGGCATCTGGCACCTATATCATTCTGGCTCAGGTCATAAGTTGAAAAATAAGTTGGAGAAGTAAGTTAAAAATCCCTACAGGAATTTAACATTAGTAAAATTATTGATTTGTCAGAAAATATATCCACTGCCAATGCCACCATATAGTTTAATACCATCAAAACAAATGTTGTAAACAGCTTTTAATCAAATGTAATTTTATCCCTACAGTTCGTCAGAGCATATAAAATGAACACGTCACCGACAACAACGATTGCCGACAATGATTCAATCCAGAACATTCCTGTCAAAGAAGTAAAGCAGATCAACATGCAAGAAATGCTTGAAATCCTATGTGATTTATCAACTAAACAGAAATTATTCCCAAAAGATAGCTTCATCAGCCTTTGGATGCCATTCAGTACTAGCATCGCTATCCAATCCAACATTAAACAAATCTATGATGACTCAACTGTATATGCAACTTTCGACAAAAATGGCAGATGCACCTCTGTTATATCAGCTACCATAATACATTGCCCATATGGACTGAGGTATGATGTGAACTTCTATGGTACAGGTGGGAGTGCTGATCTACAATTATTAAAGGCTCATATTCTGATACAAGCTAAACTAGCTTGGGACTACTCAATTGAACACAATAGGAAAGCCATTATGAAGATATTTTGGCCAACAGAAATTCCACTAGAAATGGTTGATGATTTTGCATTAAACGTTATGGGCTGGGATAAGGGTCCCTTTTGGCAATATCCTCAATATATATCTGCTGTAGCAGACAAAGAAAAAGCACAAGTAACAACATCAAAACTTTAGATACTAGTATGTAATTTATAATTCGTGAAACTGAAGTATAACAATGACTGATAAAATAACTTGCATCTTCCATAGAGTCAGCTGGCCTTTTGATACAAACATTATTTTCTGTAAATCACAAAAGAATCTCGAAAAGGTTTTTTTGAACAATGTTCTGTAATTGATTGATTTGTTTCATAGATGAGCATTTTTTCAAAACTTTGTTATTTACAAAAAATAAAGTTTGTATCGTCTCTTTATACTAATTGTAGGTATCAGGAACAGGTGACAGAAAAAGCTGGGAAACATGGTATATTTACAGTGAAAATGTACATAAAATGGGTGTATTTGCAAAAAATAGAAGACAGGCTTCATACCGTAGGTGGCCAAACCACCTTCAGTTCAGAGAGCTGGTATCAAGTCTACTGATAATGCACGATTGTAGGTTATCCTTAATCTGTATTCATTTCTAGATTTATATTTTGAATAAAAACAAAATATATGTACTTCCAGTCAGAATTCTGCGTTATTCATCTTTTAGTTTGGTCATCAATGTAAACGTTACTACAAGTACTTGCTCTATGTTACAGTCGATAGTCTAGAAAAGCTGAGATCACAATCACAATACTGTAAAAACGCACATTATATTTTATATCAGATTTCAATGTAAAACAATCAAGAAAATTCAGCTCATTGAGTGATCAAATGCCTAGTGAAGTCCAGTGAAGAGAACTGACATGTTCATTCTTTATTGGACATCATCGATCTGGCAAAGCAAGGCCCGGGGTCACTGTATATAAACTTTGATGGGGGTCCTAGGCTGAACCCTCAGATATCAGTATGTATTTGTATTTGTAGTTACATGTAAATAACAAGCCACATCAAATGTCAGAAATAAGGCTCTACCAAATGTCCAAATAATAATAGGACCAAATGTCACTGGGGGGTATCGTGATGCAACAACACCGTGTTGTTGCATCAAGATGGCCAGACTTCCGGTGTTAGATTTTCGTACGATATTTTGTTTCCCAATTTAAACCCATTTCTAGGACGAGTTCTCAATCAACCATACACGTGCAGTTAGCGCACGATCTATATTTAAAGAAATTGTCATTAGTATACATGTAGCATCATCAAGAAGCAATAAGTTCACGGTTTTAGTTCCTCACTATTGATGCAACAACACCAAACCGAAGATGCAACAACACTCCTCTAGATTTGAGCAATGATGCAGCAACACCAATTAATAGTATAATTTCAGAAGACCATAAATCTCGAGAGGAACAGATTTTTAAATGCTACGATTGCGACACCGTTACCCATTACCCATTTGCGTTCTTCTCAAGGCATTCAAAATACACATCCTGCGGGCGAAGATTCTTTAAATCGTCTTTAACATGGCAAGCTACAGTAACCCAATCTATTTTCATAAACCACTGTTCCATAGCTTGATGACCCTGACTCCATTTAGTATCATTCAAAATGGTGGACAAACATCTTTCGTTCTCGGTAAACATGACGAGCTATTGGAAATTATCTGTCATCCATCTGTAGAACAGTGATAAACTAGATATAGTAGATGTACGTTACCACTGTTTATCAAAATATAGCTAAAACAGTTTCACTGTAACATTCGTGAGCTTATCGGAGAACATTTCAAAAAGCATGTTAATGAGATGATTGCTTCATCTATGATATGATATGATTCTTTATTTCCTCCAATTTGGAGAGCCAACGAGTAAAAACGTCTAATTGACTTTATTAGGGAGGTTTAGTTACACGTTTAATGAAAATCTTGCACGGTGCACATGTAGAAGTATTGCTCTCTGTGGATTCGTTCTCTCCGACTAAGTAAAAAGGTAAACAAAAGTGATAGGATTTAGGGCCCAAAAAGGTAAACTGATAGGGGTACAGTAATCCCAGATTCCCCCCGGGCCCTCGGGACATATCATATTGTCTCTCGGAATAAAACCAATATTGAATCCCTCTTAGTAAATAACCTCTATATAATAGCATTGTATAACTGCAATATCATTAAACCAACACTCATCCTATACAACTCTTGAGAACGATGTACAACTCCTGGATAGCGTACACGACTCCTGAGCAGCGCATACAACTCTTCAACTTGATAAATGACGTCATACTTTGGGTGGTATAACAAAGGATATATACAATTGTAGACCTCTCTTGAGGTCAACTGTCAAAATTGTAAACCGATACTGTAAACCTTGAAAGTTCTGTTGACCGAGACCGGAGATCTAGGTCAACAGTACTCTCAGTGTTTACTGTTGAGGTATACACTTTTGTCAGTTGACCGAATAGAGAGGTGAACAATTGTTTGTTAGTCCGAAGAATATAATAATTGGACGAATATATAATCGAATATCAAGTGAACATATTTGATAAGTAAAGGTATCATATTTTAGCAAAAAATCTCAAACCGTCGAATACTTGTAATTTTTTACACAACTTATTTTTTCAAAATTAAAAAAAAATCAACATTCAAAAAACATTTTTTCAAAAGTAGCGGTCAACAGTACCTAGTAGCGGTCAGCAGTACATATTGTTGCCCGCTCATCAACCAATCAGAAATGAGTATTTCAATTGAGGTACAAACAACACAAAATGACTGATATCTGTTGTCTTTCCATGATTATATTAGTTATTTGTATACAATTTCCATACGGTAAATCAAGGGCATTTAATTTAGAAAATGTTCGTATAATAATCTTTATTTTTCAGATACAAATACATTAAGAAACCAAACAAAATACGTTTCATTCATGGACCACGGACTCACGCGTTTTATTCATGTCCCGACCAACACCTGTAAACAGGACATAAACAGTTTCTCTTGTTGTTCAATGATACATTATATTGGCGTTTTTGCATCAGCACATAGGTGTTGTTGTATCATCGATAATAAACAGAGTGGTGTTGTTGCATCAATAGTGAGGAATTAAAACCGTGAATTTATAGCTTCTTGATGATGCTACATGTATACTAATTACTAACGACAGTTTTTCAAAATATAGATCATGCGCTAGCTGCATGTGTATGATTATTGAGCAACTCGTCCTAGAAATGGGTTTAAATTGGGAAAACAAAATATCGTTCGAAAATCGATCACCGGAAGTCTGGCCATCTTGATGCAACAACACGGTGTTGTTGCATCACGATACCCCCCAGTGAAATGTCTGGGAAACAATCAAAACAGCCTCAAATTAAGGACATGTATAACCACCTGTCCATGTCTCATATGTCTTTACGATGGAACAAATTCACAAGAACTCATGTATTTGAAAAAACTTAGCTCAGTACCCCAGTAAGAAACTGGATATTATATCTCTGGAGAATGAAAAATGGGAAAATTTGGAGTCATAAGAATAAATTCAAGTAGCATGTCTTATCATGTCTTATATACACATTATTCCCCCTCCATCCGATCCCCCTCCATCTGATATTAATTTATTTCGTTATTTTTTGTATAACGCATGGAAAATAACTTTAAAAAGTGAGCAATGTCATGAGAATTGTGATAATAACGTCCCTTATACCTATTTATTACAGGTCGTGTAGACCATTGATGCCCGATTTATAGCAAAAACATTGACTTTTGAACGTTGGTGATGATGTGCCTTTCTTAATAGATCTCATATCTTAGAAGGGTATCAGTTCAAAAAAATACTAGATGGCCTTACATATTTTGCCATGCACTGCGCCTATTCATTTTGCAATTCAGTTTTCTCTTGAAAAAATAAATTTTCTGGATTTATTGAGTTTTCTTGCAGAAATCGCCTAGGTCTAATCCCCCCTCCATCCATTTTGTACAATCACCGGGCGTGATATACAGTCTTACTCGAGTCTCTAGCCAATACTTGGCTAGAGGGGATTTCATCTGGAATACTTCATGAACTTTGTGAAGTGGGTTGGGGGCTTAATACTTAATGCTTAATTAATAATGATTACCATACCTAATTTCTTAATAAATATCATAACATATTTCCTGTACGCTAGGTGCGTTCACACTCCCTGTCAACATCACATGGTCAATATTTAAATTATCATGAACATGTGACAAAATGGAAGCATGTATTTTTAGTGAAATATTTTCATTCTTAGGATATTTCTGTGAAGTACAGGTAAGATTGTAATTAATCATTTTCTAAACTAACATATATTGCTGCATAAACATACACATTTGCTGTTAGTCAAATGAGGGACAACTTTTCCAAGAAGAAGAAGAAGGGTTTGTGAACAGAAGGTGAAGAATGGATTTGTTTTTATTCCTCCTATGGATGAGATATGACATGATTTCATCAGAATTTCGTCTAAAATTAAAACAAAATGGCTCCAAGAAAAATGGCGATGTTCGAAAGCTGGATGAAATGTCGTTAACGTCTGACATTAGTAACTGGCTGTAAATTCTAAGTTAGTGATCCAGAAGATGTGAACTAATACATTGATCACTTTATGTGTGTTTTGGAATTTTTGGTGAGGTAATAAGACCAAAACTCGAACTTCAAATTGTGATGTGGAAAAATGGCGGACATATGATTTCAAATTTTATGATTACGACATGACCATTTGTTCATGCAAGAATATATCTTTACTGGAAGGCCACGATACTGGCCTTAGAAAAAGGTAAATACAGTCAGTCAATATTCTACCAACTCCTAGACTCTTTTGAGCTCTTCTGAGGTCCGATCACAGGAAGCTGTATCAACACCTGACATCTATTGGTGGCACCAATGGCACCACCTTCCATGAATTGGTGCAAGATAATAGTAATAATAGATCTACAGTTGGGGACAAAAATAAATGACAGGTCAATTTTCGATCACCATTTCCTAATTATGGTGGTCTGAAAGCCCATAATTTCCAATATTGTCTAGATATATATCCCTTAAAATGTGTATATTTTACATTTTGTATAATCTCATCCACTGATGTATGGCCTCTTGTAAATTCTCTTATTTTTAACATGAGAAATCCTCACTTCAGCAAATCCACCTGTCATTTATTTATGTCCCCAACTGTATATGAAATACAGGCTTATTTCAGGGTTTGGTCACCAATAGATCTCACTGTCAGGTGCTGATACAGGTCCCTGTGCGTCCGATCAGTTGATCAGTAAATTAATTACATAGATCACGATCAAACTGTCAAATTTCATGTAAAAATAATTCCTAAAAAAAGATGCCAGATTGCTAAAAAAAAATCCTAAAATTAAAAAATTGGTCTAAATAATTTATGAGCTCGATATCTGACCAAATTTGGTGGCACACTCATTTATAATACTAATAAAACGTGACTCACGATTAGTTCGTTGTATTATCCACACTTGGACAGCAAATATTGCTGTGTTTATTAGGTATTTAACACTTTTATTCCATTTGTTTACGCGCGCGATGGTATTTGAAAGTCAGACATTTTTATTTAGTGCGCCATCTGGCGTAGTCAATTTACCTTGCAAAATCTGAAGGCTCGAA